TTGGGATGTAGCTGATATGTAGGCCTACTGTAACAGACCAGGAATAAGCAGTAACTTTATTCAGAACTACCTCAGAGCCAATTGATAATATTGCTCTCATCAAAGTGTAATTATTTTATATTACAAATTACATACAGTGACCTCCAAAAGTATTGGGACAATGACAAAAGTTTTGTTGTTTTGGCTCTGAACTCCAGCACTTTGGATTTGAAATGATACAATGACTATGAGGTTAAAGTGCAGACTTTAATTCGAGGGTGTTTTCATCTGTATTGGGTGAACCGTTTAGAAATTACAGCACTTTTTGTACATTGTCCCCCCATTTTAGGGGACCAAAAGTTTTGGGACAAATTCAGGTTAGCATTTTTGGGGTAGGACGATACACTAAACTCGACTGAGGTAGAGTATCTCATGATAAGCTGTAGACCACACTATCTACCAAGAGAGTTTTCATCTATATTCTTTGTAGCTGTCTATTTACCACCACAAACCGATGCTGGCACTAAGACCGCACTCAATGAGCTGTATACGGCCATAAGCAAACAGGGAAACGCTCATCCAGAGGCGGCGCTCCTAGGGCCAGGGACTTTAATGCAGGGAAACTTAAATCCGTTTTACCTCATTTCTACCAGCATGTTAAATGTGCAACCAGAGGGGAAAGAAATCTAGACCACCTTTACTCCACACACAGAGATTCGTACAAAGCTCTCCCTTGCCCTCCATTTGGCAAAACTAAAGCAGGAAGCACCAGTGACTCGGTCAATAAAAAAGTGGTCAGATACTAAGCTACCGGACTGTTTTGCTAGCACAGACTGGAATATGTTCCGGGATTCTTCCGATGGCATTGAGGAGTACACCACATCAGTCACTGGCTTCATCAATAAGTGCATCAATGACGTCGTCCCCACAGTGAATGTACGTACATACCCCAACCAGAAGCCATGGATTACAGGCAACATCTGCACTGAGCTAAAGGGTAGAGCTGCCGCTTTCAAGGAGCGGGACTCTAAACCGGAAGCTTATAAGAAATCCCGCTATGCCGTCCGACGAACCATCAAACAGGCAAAGCATCAATACAGGACTAAGATCGAATGGTACTACACTGGCTCCGACGCTCGTCGGATGTGGCAGGGGTTGCTTGTGGCAGGGCCGCCCCCAGGTGGTAAGGGTAGGTAACAACACATCCGCCACGCTGATCCTCAACACGGGGGCCCCTCAGGGGAGCGTGCTCAGTCCCCTCCTATACTCCCTGTTCACTCATGACTGCATGGCCAGGCACGACTCCAACACCATCATTAAGTTTGCCGATGACACAACAGTGGTAGGCCTGATCACCGACAACGATGAGACAGCCTATAGGGAGGAGGTCAGAGACATGGCCGTGTGGTGCCAGGACAACAACCTCTCCCTCAATGTGATCAAGACAAAGGAGATGATTGTGGACTACAGGAAAAAGAAGAGGACCGAGCACGCCCACATTCTCATCGACGGGGCTGTAGTGGAGCAGATTGAGAGCTACAAGTTCCTTGGTTTCCACATCACCAACAAACTAACATGGTTCCAAGCAGACCAAGACAGTCGTGAAGAGGGCACGACAAAACCTATTCCCCCTAAGGAGACTGAAAAGATTTGGCATGGGTCCTCAGATCCTCAAAAGGTTCTACAGCTGCACCATCGAGAGCATCCTGGGGCCAAGCTTCCTGCCAATCCAGGACCTCTATACCAGGCAGTGTCAGAGGAAGGCCCAAAAAATTGTCAAAGACTCCAGCCACCCTAGTCATAGACTGTTCTCTCTGCTACCGCACGGCAAGCGGTACCGGAGCGCCAAGTCTAGGTCCAAGAGGCTTCTAAACAGCTTTTACTCCCAAGCCATAAGACTCCTGAACATCTAATCAAATGGCTACCCAGACTATTTGCAATGCCTGGCATCCGCCAAACCCAGATTTGTCCGTCAGACTGCCAGATGGTGAAGCGTGATTCACCACTCCAGCTGACGCTTGGCAATGCGCATGGTGATCTTAGGCTTGTGTGCAGCTGCTCGGCCATGGAAACCCATTTCATGAAGCTCCCGACGAACAGTTATTGTGCTGACGTTGTTTCCAGAGGCAGTTTGGAACTCGGTAGTGAGTGTTGCAACCAAGGACAGACAATTTTTACGCACTTCAGCACTCGGTGGTCCCGTTCTGTGTGCTTGTGTGGCCTACCACTTCGCGGCTGAGCCATTGTTGCTCCTAGACATTTCCACTTCACAATAACAGCACTTACAGTTGACCAGGGCAGAAATCTTAACAACTGACTTGTTGGAAAGGTGGCATCCTATGACGGTGCCACGTTGAAAGTCACTGAGCTCTTCAGTAAGGCCATTCTACTGCCAATGTTTATCTATGGCGATTGCATGGCTGTGTGCTCGATTTTATATACCTGTCAGCAACGGGTGTGGCGGAAATAGCCGAATCCACTAATTTGAAGGGGTTTCCACATACTTTTGTGTATATATAGTGTATTTATGCGTTTAACTTTCTCACTCATCATTATTCACGATTCATTCATGATTATCTATAATCATGGTAGCATCCACATTAATGTAGAAGTGTTTAGAAACATATTATATTCTTATTTACAATAAAAGTGACTCCAAAATGACACAATTACATTATTTACCATCCATTTCTATTGGCCACAAAATAATCTGAAACACAACCAAAACAAACAGCAAATGCATCCAACAAGTTCGTAGAGTCACAAGCTTGATGTAATCATTGAGTGCTAGGAATATGGGACCAAATACTAAACTTTTGACCACTTTAATACAGATTATGTGAATTTGTCTCAATACTTTTGGTGCCCTAAAATGTGGGGACTATTTACAAAAGTGTTGCAATTTCAAAATGGTTCACCCAATATGGATGAAAACTGACAGACTGCACTTTAACCCCATAGTCATGGTATCATTTCAAGTGCTGGAGTACAGAGACAAAACAAAACAAAAATGGTCACTGTCCCAATACTTTTGGAGCTCACTGTAATTTATGCTTTACTGATACAGATGATACATCATCATCATGTACAGATGATAACCGACCATTCCAGCCCCTCCACATCCTCAGACTCCCGTCTTTCCCCTTCAGCCATGCAAGTTTAATACGGTTTTCTTAAGGCAATTTTACACACTGTTATGAAGGGATCAATAAACTATCGAGCACGGCGGCTAAACAGTCATTAAGGAAGCGCTGAGTGAATTGATTTGACACTGAGAGAAGTTGATCTCCTTTTTAACTGGTTGTCCTTTCAATGAGCAGTAGAGTGATGGGAAATGGCACAACATAAATCCGGTGGTGCGTTCAGTTCGGTTCAATGTTTGCTACGTTTGTGTGACTGTTTGTACTAAACTACACATTTCCCCAAAACGGTGCGCAGCATTCTTATTTTGAAATACGTCTGCTCCCGTTTGGTGGGTGTGGCGTGGTGTGGCCTGATCAATTTGTGTTTGACCATTTTTTAATTGCAAAACTCATGCAGCACACCATACACGATTGTCCTCTGGGCCACCATAATCATGCCGTACTTGAAATGGTTGTACAGTATAATTTCCTTTGAATTAAATGTTTAACACCGTTCTGTCGTACTGAACGCACCCCAGGTGTAGAATCCCTAATTTGACCTGTGACCTCATGATCTTTAGTTACTCGTATGTCTTCTGTTCTGAGAGAAGTTGCTTAGATAATCCCTCCCTATTTGTCTATCCCCCCCCCCCTCTCTCTTCCTCTTTCCATTTCTCTCTCTCTCTCATGGCTGTTCCTCTGTTCCCTTTGTTATCTGTGTCTGTCTGACTTTGTCTGTCAATCTCTGTCTCTCTGCCTCTCTCTGTCACTCCTTTTCTCTCTGCAAGGGCTGCTCCTCTGTCACCACATCACCATGGCAACGTCGTCACTCTGTACCTGTCGCCGTCTGTCTGTATCTTTAATTACATTTAGACAAAAGTCAGTGTCTTGTGTTTTTTCTGTCTTCTTCTTTTTCACATTTCTCCCCATCGGAACGTTCCTCCCAGCTCGGGCTGCGTGATTAGCGTTCGTCGGAGGGATTTGCATAAGAACAGTGAGACAGCGGCGCTGTGGCATAGGAGACCCCAGGAGAGATTAGCGACATTAGCATGCTGGAGCCTACAGGGCTCAAGCTACAGCTAACTGTGTCTATGCAGGAGATTGTCTGACTTGCTCTACTACTCACAGACAGGCTCTATACAGAGAAACAGGGACAGTTGGAGGTTGGACACAGGTTTCCTATGGACCTAGTACTTAGTCTGTCCTTAGGGTCCCCAGCCCTGGGCTAGGTTAAGTTAAAGTATTTTTAGTGCAGTGTCTTGGTTAGTGTGGATCTGAACTGGAATCTGAGTTTACAAGAGCTGCTTGTTTGCCATGGGGTTTGTCTTGATTTCTTGTCCGCCTATGGGGTTGTTGGCTTGGGGATTTTGTATACCTTTGACAGGAAATTGATAAAAATGAATTCATCTCTATGCTTGTCACTAGTTACCACAGCCCAAAAGTCAAAACTATGGCTAAACCCCGCCTATTTCGACAATTTATCTTCTTAAAATCTGCTTTTAAACCTAACCTTAGCCACACTGCTAACCTTATGTCTAATCCTAACCTTAAATGATGACCAAAAATATTATTAAAAGAGAGAGGACCCCACACACCTGCTGTGTCACGCACACAAACAAACACACACATGCATTCAGCGTTGGGCCATTTGCTGCGTGTGATTATTCTATGTTATTTTAAAGGTGGTTGACCTGTGCTGGATGAGGAGTCTCTAACAGAAAACCTTTTTCCAATCAGTGTGTGGGTGTTTGCTTATTGTGCACAAATGACAGTGTTCATTTCGCTCATTGACGATGATCAATCTCTCTCCTCCCTTTCACCTCCCCCCTCTCTTTTTCTTTCCCTCTCCTTACCAATTTTATCCACCTCTATTTTCTCCCTCTCTTTCTATCTCTAGCTGGCTGTCCAGACTCTCTCATAACGGAGTTGCATCACTTCCGGGCCCTAGGTGATGAACAGGTGAGTCCTGAACAGTGTACCCAAACAAACAACCCCAGCCAAACTCCTGTCTATCCTATCTAGAGGGAAACTAGCATCCCCACCTCCACCCAGCCTCAACCTCAGCCCTTCTGTCTCACTCAGGTCACATGGGAAATATGCCCCTGGTCTCTCTGTCACATTGTCACATGTAACAGTCCTTTCATTGTCTCATCTGGTGCTATAATACAGAATATGCCACTATCCTGGTGTTGCAAGCTCCATGCTCTACCAACTGAGCTACCAGCCCCTTTCAAATAGCCTAACATCTGTCCCTAAGGAGCAACATCTCTCTCTCTCCATCCATCGTGCAACACCTCAGCAGGGATAGCAGGAGTCGGTTTTAAGAGGGCGTGTCTAATTCTCTACTCTACCACTCAATACTCTTCATTCACCCCCTATGCCAGGGGTATTCAAATCTTACCCTACGAAGTAGTGGAAAGCAGTGGAACTGGCTTTGAATTTGAGGGCCCTATACTCTCCTTATCTTCAAACACTTCTATACTCCCACTGGAAAATAGTGTCATTTTGAAGCAGCTTACCAATAAGGAAAAAGATCAACAATAAAGACCATACAGCATTGTTCACTCCTGAGACTCTTCAGGCAAACACACTTTCTTCAACACTATTTCAACTCTTCAACCTTATTTCAATTTACTCCGACATAGCATTAGCACATTTGCAATAATAAACACAATTAAGTGATGAAACAATGTGCCTATTGCATGAGTGAGTCATTGGCGGGGCTTTGAATTCTGAATATGAATGCTTAGCCAACTCTAAGCTTGCCCTGTGGCTCCATTGCTCAGTGAAACGCTCCATTCTGAAAGCATAAGTGGTGTGAACCGGATGGTTAAAAGCCCCTTCTGAGCTGGGCCTTTATGCAGATGTTTGATTGAGGCATGCATCAATTAGCCTTTGTCACAGAGACACAATTAGCATGACTATGTGTCTGGTCATAATGCTGTGTGTGTGTGTGTGTGTGTAGTGTAGTGTATGTGCATGAGTGCACCTCTCTTTTGCTCTGCCTTTTTCTTTCTCTCGCTCTCTCTATTTCTCTCAATTAATTTCAATACAATTATGCTTAAAGACATGAAATACCATATTGTCGAAGCGGAATTTCATATACTTCAAATCCATCAAAATAATAATAATTAAATAACTAATGAATCTCTCTCTCTGTGTATATCAGTATGAGAGGTACCAGCAGTATGCAGCAGAGGAGTGCCTACTCCAGATGGGAGGAGTGTTATGTCCAGCCCCTGGATGTGGAGCAGGCCTGCTGCCTGAGGAGGACAGGAGGATGATCCAGTGTCTGCTCAGCAACGGTTTGGGATGCGGGGTGAGACGTGCACACATGCATACACACACGCAAGCACACAACACATGAAAATATGTAATTATGACACAATTTACATGATGTTCTCTAATTAGCCACTCGATTAAAGATTAGGATATAGTTCACCATACATTAGTGCTGACTGATTGCATGTTTGCTAACATCAACATCTTCATTACAGGGAAGCAGAATGGGGGTTGCTACAAGGCTCATCTCTCACCTACAGTATCTCACTCTCTATTTCCATCTTGATCTCTCGATCTATCTGTCTCCACTAACCGCAGCCTGGCTTAGGAAACAAGGTTATTGTGTTGGAGCCATAGACAGTCTCCTTTCCTTTAAAGACTGCTGTTTTTAAGAGAGAGAGAGAGGTTTGTGTGTGTGTGTGTGTAGCCTGTAGCCATAAGATCCCAGGTGACATTGAGAGGGTGGTGGTGTGTGTGTGTGTGTGTATGTGCGCACATTCGTTCCAGTCCATCCAGAGGTCTGTGGGAAGCAGATAACGCCTTTATAAGTGTCAGGTTGCTGCTATAAGACAGGGGTCCTATCACTTTAACACTCCCCCAAATGCATTTCTCTTTTTTTGGGGCGGGGGGGGAGTGATGATGTGCTCAAGGCCTTAGGATACTGGTGAGCTGGCTTCTCTTTAAGACTCCACATACAGAAATCAATATTGCCTGCCTCCCTGTCTTTTTCATGTCCTCCAAGCTAGTGTTTGTGAGCTGGCTTTACGAGCCCCTTGCTGCAGCTCCGGCAGGACGTACAGCTCCGATGGGCCCTGGCGGACCCGGCTGCAGCCGCAGGGTACAATAGACACTGGTCAGTAGAGGAGACCTGTAAACATGTAATAGGACTGGTTATTTCTGTGCACCATGCAGGTCCTAGTCTCGTCCACCAGCCGGCTCTCAGTTGCAATTAGCCTGGGGACGAGGTTAAACAGGCCCTAGCACTGAATCTGAACGCAGACATGGGAGGAGGGCTGTAGGGTTGGATAGGGAGAACTGCAGGGTGTGTGTGGGTGTTCGTATAGTGTGTGTCTGTTTGTGTTAAAGAGATGGTGAAATATTCCTCCGCCTTTGGGACTCCAATGTGTGTGTCTGTGTGATTTATGTACAGCAAGAGAGTGTCTTTGTCTTGTGTCTTGAGTGAGGTGATTGTTTGAGTCAGAGACTCTTTCTTCTTACAGTGCCTTCATAAAGTATTCACACCCCTTGACTTTTTCCTCAAGTGGTATTAAAATTGATATAATTGTTTTTTTTTTTGTCAACGATCTACACAAAATACTATAATGGAAGAAAAAATCTAACATTTGTATAAAATTTATGAAAACTTCCATTGATCTCACTGTGCAATCATTACACAAGGACTGCGAGAATGTGTATGCGGAGGAGCGATGTATACATATATCTGTGCAAAGTTAGAATTTCAGATTTCATTATGACAGACCACATCAAAATGTCAGGAATGCATTTGACTGGGTATGGAATGTTTTCAAAATGCGTCGCTGTTAATATATCTTGATTAGGTAAGTATTAAATCGCTTGAGTCAATATATGTTAGAATCACCTTTTGGCAGCGATTACAGCTGTGAGTCTTTCTGGGTAAGTCTCTTAAGAGTTTTCTACACCTGGATTGTGCAATTGTATCCATTTATTATTTTTTTAATTATTCAAGCTCTGTGAAATTGGTTGTTGCTCATCGCTAGACAACCATTTTCAGGTCTTGCCATAGATTTTCAAGCAGATTTAAGTCAAAACTGTAACTCGGGCACTCAGGAACATTCGCTGTCTTCTTGGTAAGCAACTCCAGTGTAGATTTGGCCTTGTGTTTTAAGTTATTGTCCTGCTAAAAGGTGAATTCATCTCCCAGTGTCTGGTGGAAAGCAGACTGAACCAGGGTTTCCTCTAGGATCATTGCCTGTGCTTAGCTCCATTCCCTTTATTTTTTATCCTGAAAAAGTGCCCAGTCCTTAATGATTACAAGCATACCCATAACTAGATGCAGCCACCGCTATGCTTTAAAATAGGGAGTGTGGTAGTCAGTAATATGTTGTATTGGATTTGCCCAAAACATAACACTTTGTATTCAGGACATAAAGTTAATTGCTTTGCCACATTTTTTGCAGTATTACTTTAGTGCCTTGTTGAAAACAAGATGCATGTTTTTGGAATATTTTTATTCTGTACAGGCTTCCTTCGGTTCACTCTGTCAATTAGGTTAGTATTGTGGAGTAACTAACATGTTGTTGAGCCATCCTCAGTTTTCTCCTATCACAGTCATTCAACTCTGTAACTGTTCTAAAGTCACCATTGGCCTCATAGTGAAATCCCTGAGCGGTTTCCTTCCTTTCCGGCAACTGAGTTAGGAAGGACGCCTGTATCTTTGTAGTGACTGGGTGTATTGATACACCACCCAAAGTGTAATTAATAACTTCACCATGCTCAAATGGATATTCAATGTCTGCTTTTATTTTTTACCCATCTACCAATAGGTGCCCTTCTTTGCGAGGCATTGGAAAACCTCCCTGGTCTTTGTGGTTGAATCTGTGTTTGAAATTCACTGCTAGACTGAGGGACCTTAAAGATAATTGTATGTGTGGGGTACAGAGATGAGGTGGTCATTCAAAAATCATGTTAAACACCATTATTGCACACTGAGTGAGTCCATGCAAATTATTATGTGACTTGTTAAGCAACATTTTACTCCTGAATTTTGTAGGCTTGCCATAACAAAGGGGTTGAATACTTATTGACTCAAGACATTTCAGCTTTTCATTTTTCATTAATTTGTAAACATTTCAAAAAACATGATTCCACTTTGACATTATGGGGTATTGTGTGACCAGTGACAAAACAATCTCAATTATTTTAAATTCAGGCTGTAACACAACAAAGTGTGGAAAAAGTCAAGGGGTGTGCATACTTTCTGAAGGCACTTTATATGAGAGAGAAAGATGAAGAGAGAGATGGAGAGAAAGGGAGGGCAGAAGGGGACGACTTTGGCACTTCGTCAGTAAGCTCTCTCACAGAGCTCTTCTTAGAGCTTCACTAGAATGCTCTCATTTAGAAGAGTTCACACTGCTGCTGTTACACTTAGTTCAAACCTTCATGTGCCACATGATTCTGTACTGAGACAGACACTGCAGTGTGCTGAACCTACATTGCAATATTATATCCACCCACTACTGAGCAACAGCACAGGGCTGCACATCTCTTAATGTTTCATTTAGTTGACTTACAAAGAGCTATGTCAGTTTTTGTGTGTGTGTGTGTGTGTGTGTTTGTATCAGTGTATGTGTGTATGTTTACCCTCTGAGGGTGCTGTCTGGGGTGCTGTGATCCGTTGTGTTGCTCAGTGGAGGGAGGCGAGGGGAAATGGGTTTGTCAACCACCGGAACCCCTGCTGCAACCCCTCATGTGTCTTCCACACTCCACTGGGCAGCTCTGTCTCTGTACCAGCCACGCAACCCACCCACTGGCCAACCCTCAACCCTCCCGCTGGCCAACCCTCAACCCATCCGCAAACCTTACCCCCACCCGGCCCAACTCGGCTAGACAAATTACTTTTTCCTGACCAAGAGACCTGATCAGGAAGAACAGAGACCCCAGGTCATAGGCAATTGTAGATAGGCTCTTGCTGTCATACAGTTAAAATGTGAGTTTGTTATAACATGTAGTGATATGAAGCTTCTGCTGAAGTGGGACTTATGACAAGTTACTGTGAATGTTGCAGTAAACAATTCAAAATTACTTCACAGACAATCAGGTCACCGTGCTACAGTGTAGTGTAGTGTCGAGTCCTGAGAGTCCTCAAATTCTTGTTTGGGCAGATCGCCTCGTGTCTCAGACAAGCTTTGGCGCATACACCACGGTCGTTTGATGAAGCGACTGTTCAGAGTTCTCTGCCGAAGATGGTGATGGAGGCTCATCTGAGGGAAGAGTGGGAAAGAACACGGGAGGGGGAGGAAGAAAGCGCCTGTCAGAAGCGCTCCTCTTCTCCCCTCGTCTCATCACAGGCGGTGCCATGCAGGAGTTTGGAAACAAAGAGGCGTCTGTCTCCCAGACCCTGAGAGGAGAGCTGTTATCTGTCACACTTTAAAACAGCATATGATAGAAGAAAGAAAGCCCCCTCTCCTTCAAAACTCCAGCCCCTTTGATGAAGTGCAAAATCACTGTTGCGCTTCAAAAGATACAGTCGAGCTAAAAACACAAAGCATCGTCTAGATTCCTAGTTAATCCCTGTTGAGGATGGATTCAGTGAATATCGGCTCCCTACTTCCACATGTAGGCTAGGTTGCTGCTAGTGGGGGAGCGTATGGAGATGGCGCCACCCAGTGTCTATCTTAGGAACTTGTATACAACCTGTGGGAGAAGATGCAGCCAGTCATTAAATGCATTGAAACCAGGGGTGCGTCTTAATAGTAAAACATTACTTCCTCTCCACGTCTCCTTTCCTTCATCTGCAGTGATGTGATGGAACTATACCGATGAAAGCAAATTCATGGCTGGCATCCATTGGAAAGGAAAGGGAGCCACAATAGACTATTAAGATGCATCCCAGTTCAGGTTTTCAGTGTGACTAAATGGATAATATTATTAAGGCAACACGTTGTGTGTCTCCTTGCAGTTTGTGTTCTGCCGTGACTGTAAGGAAGGGTTCCATGAGGGGGAATGTCGTGTGAGGTCATCACCTGTCTCAGGAGGAGCCCTGCAGGTAACTGAGCCAATCAGTTGTTTGCTGCTCACTGCTGCGCTGTCTCCGCTGCCCCCTACTGTCCATATGACCAGGATTAGTATCTGAAGAGTGAACACTGTAACACACTTGTAATGGCTTGTAACAGTTCATAATTCAGAGTTGTGAATAATGATGAATTTAGAGATATTTTATGCTTTATGTATGACTTGAGTTTTAAAACATGCCACAAGATGGCATTCCTAAATCAACCACCATTCACACTGTATCCACTCAAGAAATAAACTCCCAGTCCCCCCCCCAGGGTTATGTAGTGGACGAGGAGGCAGCTCTTCAGGCTCGGTGGGAGCAGGCCTCGCAGGAGACTATAGACGAGACCACCCGCCCATGTCCACATTGCAAGGTCCCAGTGGAGAAGAGTGGTAAGGCACTGTTTCTCCATCCCGCCAACTCACTCCATCCATTCTCGGATCCTTATTCCAATATATACATATATGTTCTATTATGTTCTATATCTATGTTGTTTTCCATTTGCCCTTTATTTATTCCATCTCCTTAACACCACCTTCTGCAGTGGGAACAATGCTGTATAATAGATTTCAAATGCCATCCTTTCATACATTGTCCTTAGTCTTCTCTTCTCCTTCTTGCCTGTCTGTAATGTTGTGTTTCTATACTGTGTTCCCAGGTGGCTGTATGCACATGGTGTGTCCCCGTGCCAATTGTAAATTTGAGTGGTGCTGGATCTGTCATGTGGAATGGAACAGGGAGTGTATGGGAAACCACTGGTTTGGCTGACTCTGAGACCTCAGAAAGGCCTGCCACCACTCAGGAATACGTACCAAGGATTGTAATGCAAAATCAATCATGGTGTTTAAAAGACTCAATAAAGCTGTGCCCTGACCTATCTCAAACTCTCAAGCAGTGACCTCATTTGCCTTCAGTCACATTGTATAAAGACACAATGGTTGTCCAGCTTTAACTGGACAATATAGTGAATTACACGTCATTATTTCCTTTTTGTCAAAGGGTGTCTCTATGTCCGTTGTAAATCACAACCTTGTTATAAAGAATATTATTTTGTCTGTGTTTATATAATATATCCCATTTAGCAGACACTTTTATCCAAAGCGACTTACAGTCATGTGTGCATACATTTTACATACGAGTGGTCCTGGGAATCGAACCCTCTATCCTGGCGTTGCAAGCGCCATGCTTTATCAACTGAGCTACAGCTGACCACTCCTTTAGTCTTGATGTTACTTAAAGGTCTGTTAGTAGTCTTTTTTGCACCTGCTTTGTTGCTCTAGAGTGGACTTTAGCTTTCGAACACTCCACCCTTCTTATGACATTATTGTGGCATCAGTCAATCACATTGTTATGGCAACCACGTCCTGTCAATCAATGACAGCTCTGAGCTGTCCCTGCATGTGGCCAAGTCATGGTGTTGTCATTTTGGAGGCCTTAGCTAAGATAAAAATGTATATGAAGACCATTGGAATCCTATATCTTGTCAAGAGTGGGGCCACATGTCAGTGTGCTGACTTGGTGATTTATATGTACCTTAACAAGCCACAATACATCTGTACCAAGCACACATAAGCCGATAAGAAGCCATAAACATGCCCACAGTTTCTCCAACATGTCTTAACAGCTCAGACAAACTCCAATGCTGTTAAACATTAAAAGATAGGACCATTGCTTTGTCAGTGTCATCATTGTTAACTTTATGACATAAAGGCTGTTGCGTAACAAGCAGATGGGTCAGAATGTACCATATTGTTCAGGTACAGTACTCCAGGTAGCTCATTAGTAAACAAACAGCTGGAAGGAAAAACAGTGAAGGGGCCTGCAGAAGACTTTCCTTTTACCTGATATCTGCCTAACAACAATCCACTCCTCATCTCTTTAGATCACACGGCTTTAGCAGGTTCAGAATCTACCGGAATATACCAACTCCCAGTGTTTTGAGTGAGAGCCTTTGTTTGGAAATAGCCGCTCATTGTAGCGTTACCGTACCTACACTGGTAGGCTGGTCGCAGTCATATTGGAGCTGTGTAGTTAATTGTTTACAGAGAAGCCTTCAGGCCTGGAACACAGCAGGATGAGGAGACTGAACCGGGTTAGTGCCTCTGGTCATGACAACCCTGCCATGGAGATGACTGATGGAGTTGTCAACCAGGTGAGGAGTAAATGGCACTTTGAAATTTAACCAATCCGCCTCTCAATGTTGTTATCTGTTGATATTTTTCCATTTCTTTCTAGAGTAATCTGAAACCCTCTTCTCAATACATTTTCAATCATTACTCAGTTCCAAACTGTATATGATTATAGAGTAGTGTGTTACTATATTTCTTATTATTGGGTGGTATATTTCAGGATTGGACATTTTAAGTACAAGCTATAATTATTTTTTTGTTTGTTTTTAGTCATTTAGCAGACGCTCTTATCCAGAGCGATTTACAGGAGCAATTAGGGTTAAGTGCCTTGCTTAAGGGCACATCGACAGATTTTTCACCTAGTCGGCTCGGGGATTAGAACCAGCGACCTTTCGGTTACTGGCACAACGCTCTTACCCACTAAGCTACCTGCCGCCGTATGATGCAGTTCTATATACTGTAGTGTGATGTATGTGTGTCACTGCAGTATGAATGGCAGCCAGTTGTTGGAACTCCGATCTCTAAGACATCAGTATCCAGTGCTGCGAAGGCAGCTGCCCAGTGGGCATCTTACACCTGCAGCCGCTGGAAACGAGCCTGCCGTCAGTGTATGAAGAGAAAACCCACAGGTACCATTTCAGATAAAACGCCAAACTCAGATACACTCAGATAAGAGTTCAAATACTCTGCACTCTTTCAGGCTGTATGATCACCTTCTTGTTTAAAGGGGAATTCTTTGAGAGCATGTACAAAGGCCTGGCCTTGGATGAGGATGTCATAGATGGAGGAGACAAAAGCTTCCACCTCAATAAAAGACTGATGGACCATTTCAGAGATCTGGCTTCCAGCAATCAGGACACTGATGAGGTGAGGGGTGGATGGCATTCTGCCTTTAAGTTGTAAAATGGGGCTAAAGGTATAGATTAAGGTATAGATTAGATATGGTCTGATTGAAGGCTAGTGATGATTCATACGGTCAATAATCCTGTTTGGTCATAGGTGGACCTTCAGTACCTGAATGATGTAATCGCAGATGGAGCCGACCCCAACTCAACAGACCGATATGGACAAACTGTCTTACATGAGGTGAGACTGAAGTCTTTACATGTCATCAAATGGCTCAAAGACCTTCTGCTGTGGCAGATCATTCTGAGTGGCTTCCAGCCACTGTGTGTTCACAGGGCTCTTCTGCCTGGTTGTAGATCTCGAGGGCGTGGAACGTGGACGTGATGCGTTTCTTCCTGGAGAGGGGGGCTGATGTTCTGCGTCCTGACTCCTACGGGGTCACGCCCCTGCATGTTGCCGCAGCTCTGGACTACGAGGAGATGATCCACTTCCTGTTGGAGAGGAAAGGTCAGAGGTCAATCGTCTTTGTGTCACTTGTGTGTTACTTCTGTGGGTGAGTGATTTCAATGTGTTTTGTACTGTAGCTCACATATGTATGTCCTGTCCCTTTAGCTGACATTGGTGCTCAGACCAACATGGATCATCAGACCCCTCTGCACTACGCTGCTAAGAACGACGCAGTGGGGGCAGTCAGGGTGCTGCTGCAGTATGGGGCAGACATCTCCGCACGAGACTACAAAAAGAGAACCCCTCTACAACTGGCTGCCAACCTAGGTAATACCCTTACTTGCCTCTGAGTGCACATTTCACACTCAATACTTTGTATTAGAATAGAATGAAACACAACTTTATTGTCCATACACACATGGAAATGTGCCCTTCACCTCACCTTACAAATAACTACATTGCACATTACATAGTTCTTGCTGTACTTGATTATGCTTCTTTTGTTGTACTCCTGTGTGTATTCAGACAGGAGTGAGGCTGCACGGACGCTAATGGAACTGGGGGCAGATGCTGGGGTGAAGGACTCTGATGGTCAACTTTGCATCACCGCCATGATTGACAAGATGACCTCAGTGGTAAATATGGGTTGGATGGTCACTGACCAAATGAGTCATACTGTAGGACATGCTCCAATTGTATAGTTTGGCCTGACAATGTGCTAGTTGTTGTGATATAGTGGGTTCTGTATGTCATCATCCTATAGCATTGTTCAGCTCTCTTTGGTGGTGTCAGGCTCATTTGGCGCTGAACCAGTTCCATGTGACTGACCGGATGACCAGGCAGCAGTTCTACTACCTCCACCTGCTGGAGCCAGAGCCACCCTGCAAGCAGAATCCACCAGGACAGGGCTCACAAGGTAACCTATCTAAATAGTCTGAAATAAATACTATTTCCACAGAACAAAATGTCCTATATGGCCAATGATCCCACTTATAATAATAGACTCTGTTTAACAACCTAACTCAGTGGATCAAACTGTGCAACAGTCTTCTAAACTTTGGAGATCTTTTTTTTTAAACTTTTGTGTGATCTCTAATTTCAATGTTTTGTCTTCCAGAGGGTGTTGCCAGTGAGCCTACATCACCAGTATGTTCCCATCTTTTAAGGCTAAACAGGCTAAAAAAGTGATAATGGATGAAAACTATGATGGAAGACTACATATGAGTCAAATATGTAAAATAAGTCAACTAATTTGATCATAATTGCTATATGAATTTTCTCTGAGATTTTTTCTCTCTCTCACCACAGTTGGAGTTCATAGTACACCAGGGGAAGTTGGATCTCATCATGCACCCTGTGGTTCTGAAGCTCATCACTGTCAAGTGGAAACTATATGGCAGGTCAGTTCATCAGTGAGAGAGACTTTGAGAGAGACTTTTGCCAGAGAGAAGTGGCAGGTGTGTCGCTCCTGCCAGATGGGGCTCTGTCTCCCCTCTTGCCCCCTCCAGTCTCATGCGCTGTCATAAATAAAATATACCATAGGCCCTAACCATTCACACAGTTAGACACATAGCTAAAGGGATCTACTGTTAATGGTGGCTCAGTATTTCACTCTGAATGGTAAACTGGTGTCTCTGTAGGTTGGGGGCTTGGATACTCCTACTCCTTAACTTCCTGTTTATAGTCTCCTGGACGACCGTGGCCATCTCTGTGTCTGTCATCCGAAACGAGGAGCCTTATGTTTTCCCTGAGGTGAGAAAGTGAAGGACAAAGGGAACATTATATATATGTGTGTGTGTGTGTGTGTGTGTGTGTTTTTTTCATTAACTCTTCAGAATTACATTAAAAGTGTGGTGTTTTAAGATTCACACACATTTCAGTCCTTCATTTGGATCCACAATGAAACAATGTGAATATAAAGGTCAGAAGTATTTCACAGGTCATACAAATGTTTGGACATGTGATTGCTCATGAGTCATTGATAAAGTCATTGTGGACCCCAGAAAGAGTAGCTGTTGTGATTGTAACAGCTAATGCGGATCCAAATAAACAAATCTAAATATAAAAAGTATATCTTCCTGCAGGACTGGTGGCGTGTGTTTGGGGTGGTGGTGGCTCTGGGGCTGACAGTGGTGGAGGTGGGCCGGGAGGTGGCGGAGATGATAGGCTCCAGGAGGAAGCTAAGGAGCTGGCAGAGTTGGTGTGAGCATCGCACCAACGATGACCTGCGCTGCACACACCCAATGTGGCCCGAGGTACTTTTCTTACCCAGTAGACACACACAGACGCACATCTTAGAGAAGTTTCTAGACCTGATCTAGGCATACACAGTTAACCAAAATAAACTGAATTAAGATCTAAGGAGAGTCCTCCTGACCCCAATACATTATTTTGGCAGTATGCCCTTTGTAAGGCTACAGGTTGTTATAATCCCCATTGAGAATGTGCAACATGACATATTCTTTAAATTTTTTGTCTTCCTGCTTCAAAGGAAAAACATTTCTTGGAAGAGCAAATCAAGTTTATCCACCGCATGAAGGGAAACTACTTACAAGACCCCTGGTAAACACATTTGTGTTATATACGATACAGTACATCTCATATGGATATGGTGTAACTCTGGCCCTTAATAATGCTCATATATTACCTAACTGGCAAGCAGACAATGGTATCTAATTTGGCTGTGTCACAGGAACATCTTTGATTGGCTGGTGTACATTCTGCTGATGGCGGTGTTTGGGATCCATGTGGCAGACATCTTCTTGTTGGCAGGCACACTGCGAGACTACAGCCTGCGCCTCTTCGCTGTAGTCATCATCTTCCTCTGGCTCCGGCTGATGAAACACGTCCGAGCCTTCAGGTGACCAGACTGACCACCACTGAAGAGTCCTCTTTTAGGGATCATTTCTTTACTTGTCTCCCTGATGAAGTGCAAGGCATTCATTCATTTTAGAGCACCAATCTTGTGGTGGAGAATAATTAATCTTTACTTCCCTTCCCCCATTGATGACTGTTCTCTAGTCCCCAATGGATCATGGAAGGGAACAATATGTTCTGAGGAAAAAATAAAAACACAACTGAAATTAAACCCAAATGAATAAAACACCTGGACTGGGTGTCTGAGCTATCCCACGAACAATGCATATTGTTCATTGGGTATCTCAGACATAATAGTGACACCTGGTCAGCGTCCCCATAGGTACACCTGGAGTTATCAGGTTCCATGACAACAACACATGAATGGGGCCCCACAGGCAGTCGTGAGTCGTGACAACAAAGGAACTAGAGCTCATAGGTCATCATATGGTCATGGCCCTCATGTCCAAAATAGGATACATTTTTAGAACAGCATGTCTGGATATTTCCAAATATAAAGTAGCGAAATACTGACCCACATTGGACTCATACAGCAGATCTTAGAATCATTGTACCTGAAAATTCCACAGCATTACACCAATACCACAACCTTTTATCCTCATTCTGTACAGGGTTATGGGTCCTTTCATTGTCATGCTGGGGAAGATTGTGGGGGATGTGTTGCGTTTCCTCTTCCTATATGCAGAGATCTTCATCCCTTATGCATGTGCCTTCTGGATTATATTTGGAGGTAAATTGGCCAACAAACCATGAAGTCATGCATATTTTATAAAACACACCCACAATATGATATGGTATACGCTACTGCAGCTGTCCTAGTATGATAAAAAATACACATAAACAAATGTATTTACAGTTTGTCTGTCTGAGTCTGTGTGAACTGTCCTCCCCAGGTCAGGCGTCAATACCCAGTATGCGGACTGTACCCCAGCTGCTCTACAGCCTGTACCGCATCACTCTGGTGGATGAGTACGAGTTTAATGCCATGGTGGAAGTGGACTCGATCATGGCCCACTTCCTCTGTGGTACCTTCCTGGCTCTGTCCTCCATTCTGTGTGTCAACCTGATGATCGCCCTTCTCTCGGACACCTTCCAAAGGTATGGGCCACTAAAATTATATTTGGCAAACTAGGAGATCAGTAGTGTGCATATCAGCCTTTACAGCTTACATTCGTGTGTACTCAAATACTGTACTGTACAGTTTGGGGTCACTTAGAAATGTCCTTGTTTTCCATGAAACCATACATGAAATTAGTTTGAATAGGAAATATAGCAAAATGAATAGGAAATGTAGTCATTGACAAGGTTAGAAATAATGATTTTTAATTGAAATAATAATTGTCCTTCAAACTTTGCTTTTGTCAAAGAATCCTCCATTTGCAGCAATTACAGCCTTGCAGACCTTTGGCATTCTAGTTGTCAATTTGTTGAGGTAATCTGAAGAGATTTCACCCCATGCTTCCTGAAGTACCTCCCACAAGTTGGATTGGCTTGATGGGCACTTCTTACGTACGGTCAAGCTGCTCCCACAACAGCTCAATAGGGTTGAGATCCGGTGACTGTGCTGGCCACTCCATTATAGACAGAATACCAGCTGACTGCTTCTTCCCTAAATAGTTCTTGCATATTTTGGAGCCGTGCTTTGGGTCATTGTCCTGTTGTAGGAGGAAATTGGGTATGGCATGGCGTTGCAAAATGGAGTGATAGCCTTCCTTCTTCAAGATCCCTTTTACACTGTACAAATCTCCCACTTTACCACCACCAAAGCACCCCCAGACCATCACATTGCCTCCACCCACCATGCTTGACAGATGGCATCAAGCACTCCTCCAGCATCTTTTCATTTGGTCTGCGAATCACAAATGTTCTTCTTTGTGATCCGAACACCTCAAACTTCGATTCGTCTGTCCATAACACTTTTTTCCAATCTTCCTCTGTCCAGTGTCTGTGTTCTTTTGCCCATCTTAATCGTATCTTTTTATTGGCCAGTCTGAGATATGGCTTTTTCTTTGCAACTCTGCCTAGAAGGTCAGCATCCCGGAGTCGCCTCTTCACTGTTGACGTTGAGACTGGTGTTTTGCGGGTACTATTTAATGAAGCTGCCAGTTGAGGACCTGTGAGGCGTCTGTTTCTCAAACTAGACACTCTAATGTATTTGTCCTCTTGCTCAGTTGTGCACCGGGGTCTCCCACTCCTCTTTCTATTCTGGTTAGAGCCAGTTTGCGCTGTTCTATGAAGGGAGTAGTACACAGCGTTGTACGAGATCTTCAGTTTCTTGGCAATTTCTCACATGGAATATCCTTCATTTCTCAGAGCAAGAATAGACTGACGAGTTTCGGAAGAAAGTTATTTATTTCTGGCCATTTTGAGCCTGTAATCGAACCCACAATTGCTGATGCTCCAGATACTCAACTAGTCTCAAGAAGGCCAGTTTTATTGCTTTTTTAATCAGCACAACAGTTTTCAGCTGTGCTAACATTATTGTAAAAGGGTTTTCTAATGATCAATTAGCCTTTTAAAATTATAAACTTGGATTAGCAAACACAACGTGCCATTGGAACACAGGACAGATGGTTGCTGATAATGGGCCTCTGTACGCCTATGTAGATATTCCATTAAAAATCAGCTGTTTCCAGCTACAATAGCCATTTACAACATTAACAATGTCTACACTGTATTTCTGATCAATTTGATGTTATTTTAATGGACAAAAAATTTGCTTTTCTTTAAAAAACAAGGACATTTCTAAGTGACCCCAAACTTTTGAACGGAAGTGTATATTGTTTGTCTACATCAGGTTTTAGTGTTTATCTCACTCAACAAACAAACAAATGACTCAGTATGCATCTGTCACTCTCAGCGTCAGTATGAATGAGTATACCACACTGTGTGTATGAATCTCTTCTGTCAGGGTGTACGACAATGCACTGGCCAATGCAGTAATGCAGCAAGCAGCCATTATCCTGCAGGTGGAGGAATCCATGCCCCGTCTCTGCCGTTTCTATGACGACCAGCACATCCACCGCTTCTGTGCCCCTCTTGGGGAGTTATACGATGATGACATCAGAACTGACTCAAAGCGGCACGCAGAGCTGAAGACGATCACCACTCAGATCAAGGTGACAGGATGGGACATTCATCTTTAACACCTGCATTTGAACTGTATGTCTTTATATATCTGTGTCTGCCTGTGGGTGGTTTAGTTCAGGGAGGGAGAGTGCTTGTTTCTCTTTATGCATGTTTTTTTACTTGTTCCGTCACTTCAGGAGACCCTAGATGAGTTCCTGGAGATCCAAAAAGAAGTGAATCCCTCCGAACAACGAAGACCTGAAGAGAGTGACAGGGGCTCATGGTAGGCACCGCCTCTCTTTTACCTGAATTTAGGAGTATGGAACAACTATGATGTTTTGTGGAATATTTCCAGGCGTGTGTCAAGATCTACAGTGGGGAAAAAAAGTATTTAGTCAGCCACCAATTGTGCAAGTTCTCCCACTTAAAAAGATGAGAGATGCCTGTAATTTTCATCATAGGTACATGTCAACTATGACAGACAAAATGAGAAAAGAAAATCCAGAAAATCACATTGTAGGATTTTTAATTTATTTATTTGCAAATTATGTTGGAAAATAAGTATTTGGTCAATAACAAAAGTTTCTCAATACTTTGTTATATACACTTTGTTGGCAATGACACAGGTCAAACGTTTTCTGTAAGTCTTCACAAGGTTTTCACACACTGTTGCTGGTATTTTGGCCCATTCCTCCATGCAGATCTCCTCTAGAGCAGTGATGTTTTGGGGCTGTCGCTGGGCAACACGGACTTTCAACTCCCTCCAAAGATTTTCTATGGGGTTGAGATCTGGAGACTGGCTAGGCCACTCCAGGACCTTGAAATGCTTCTTACGAAGCCACTCCTTCGTTGCCCGGGCGGTGTGTTTGGGATCATTGTCATGCTGAAAGACCCAGCCACGTTTCATCTTCAATGCCCTTGCTGATGGAAGGAGGTTTTCACTCAAAATCTCACGATACATGGCCCCATTCATTCTTTCCTTTATACGGATCAGTCGTCCTGGTCCCTTTGCAGAAAAACAGCCCCAAAGCATGATGTTTCCACCCCCATGCTTCACAGTAGGTATGGTGTTCTTTGGATGCAACTCAGCATTCTTTGTTGTCCTCCAAACACGACGAGTTGAGTTTTTACCAAAAAGTTCTATTTTGGTTTCATCTGACCTGGACATGTACTGGCTTAAGCAGGGGGACACATCTTTCACTGCAGGATTTGAGTCCCTGGCGGCGTAGTGTGTTACTGATGGTAAGCTTTGTTACTTTGGTCCCAGCTCTCTGCAGGTCATTCACTAGGTCCCCCCGTGTGGTTCTGGGATTTTTGCTCACCGTTCTTGTGATCATTTTGACCCCACGGGGTGAGATCTTGCGTGGAGCCCCAGATCGAGGGAGATTATCAGTGGTCTTGTATGTCTTCCATTTCCTAATAATTGCTCCCACAGTTGATTTCTTCAAACCAAGCTGCTTACCTATTGCAGATTCAGTCTTCCCAGCCTGGTGCAGGTCTACAATTTTGTTTCTGGTGTCCTTTGACAGCTCTTTGGTCTTGGCGTAGTGGAGTTTGGAGTGTGACTGTTTGAGGTTGTGGACAGGTGTCTTTTATACTGATAACAAGTTCAAACAGGTGCCATTAATACAGGTAACGAGTGGAGGACAGAGGAGCCTCTTAAAGAAGAAGTTACAGGTCTGTGAGAGCCAGAAATCTTGCTTGTTTGTAGGTGACCAAATACTTATTTTCCACCATAATTTGGAAATAAATTCATAAAAAATCCTACAATGTGATTTTCTGGATTTTCTTTTCTCATTTTGTCTGTCATAGTTGACATGTACCTATGATGAAAATTACAGGCATCTCTCATCTTTTTAAGTGGGAGAACTTGCACAATTGGTGGCTGACTAAATACTTTTTTTCCCCACTGTATCTCTTCCTGTCTCTCCTAGGGAGAGGGGCTTCTCATCCCCTGTGCAGGGGGAACACCTGCAGACTCTGCAGAGGCTCCAGATGGACCAGACCCAGCAGAACCAGGACCTCAGTGCCCTGAGGGCAGACATGAAGAACCTGCAGGCCCTGATCCACCAACTGATCCAGTCCCAGACCAGCTCATGTCAGTATTATGTTGACCTCATAAAGAACCTTCTATACAGGGTCTATACACTAAGACAGACCAGATAACTAGTCTAGTGCAGTCTGATTGGGTCAAAGACTAAACAAAGAGTAATGTCCATTCAAAACCAGAGGGAGTGCATATATGGATTAAGAGTCTTTACACATGATGAAGTAATTTGAACTGACATCATGACTCTATCATTCAAATAAGAGAAGGCCTATCATATAAATAGAACTCTTACTCTTTGTTTAGTCTTTGACCCAGTCAGACTGCACTTCGCTAGTTCTATTTCGTTGAGGCCTACTATGATAACCTGTCCCTGTTTCTTCTGTGTATCTCTGTGCTAGAGTATAGCTATGTTTCACTGTCTCCTGTCTGTCCATAGCTGATAGATTACGTTATTTTGTCTCTGTACAGGTGTGGAGTGTGGTGTGAATGCAGCAGAAAGCACTGGGTCAGAGACCGTCGAAGCTCCGCCATACAGGTGAGGTATCACTGGTTTAAGGCATCTTGGTTCTCTTTCGTTTTCGTAACGGGTCGCCAAACGACCTATGGGAACTCCTTCTCCTTCATGTGATGTGATTAAGATGCTTAATATCAAAATATGTTTACATTCACACCACACCCTTACTGTACCCATGTGACCTGTCACTATAAAAGGCTGTGTGGCGTGACATACTGTATTTTCTTCACTCTCACCTTTGTGTTTTACATTACGAGATTGCTATTAATCCCCTTCAAATTATTTTCTTACGGAATGACGATACTTCAACGACTCGAGGAGGTGCCATGAGTAGTTGATTTTTATCTAATCTACTCCCCCTCTCTCTCGTTATTGTGCCTGCCAATACTAACTAACTTGTATTGCTTTGTATCGGGCATTTCCGTCCTTGTGTGTTAGCTAGCTAGCTCATTAGCTTCGGGTCTATCCCGTTACCTCAGAAGTTAGCTCATAGCTAGCTAGCTAGCTAAATTAGCCACACATAGTTACCGTAGCTAGTTAGCTTGTTGTAACTGTTGTTGGCGCTTGTTGACTCGCGGTGTCGTGCCAGTCTCCGCTTGACTTCCACACCAGCCCGTTGATCCAGCATCTCCACTCCCTAGCTTGTGATCACGGAGCTCAGCAGTGCTGTAGGTTACCGGTCCTTGCTTGACTGAGTCCACCAACGCCGAGACTGACAGTCCATGCTTGACTGTGCCAGTCAGATAGCTTCAAATAGGTGGGAGTTTCGAGCCCGGACCTTGAAACATATTTAGGCGGAAGTCTCGCCCCCGAAGCACGATGGGTCAGAGCCAACGGTAAATATAACTTTCTCTCTAAGCATCCAAATCCGATACTGAGGCAATCGAAGCATACACCAAGACACACCGAAACAATTATTATTTTTTTGTTACCTTTTTCTTGGAGCACACTTCTGTTATGTGAAAATCCGTTCTTTGCACACGGATTCAGTGCTGTGCATAGGATGTCATTCCACCCATGTCAACAGTGTGAAAAACAACTCCCACCTTCAGATGAGCACACACTTTGCGTTCTTTGCTTGGGAGTTGAACATTCTCAAGGGGCTGCACAGAGTAGCAGCTCTTGCACTCACTGTCAGAAATTCAAACCAAGAGCATTGAAATCTCAACTTGCGCGCTTATAGGGTGGAGCCTCCGGATTCTCATCAGATGAGTTTGCCACACAGATCAATGATCATTCCAAACGCTCCAGGTCGAATGACGGGTCTTACTCCCCTTGTGATCCGCCGCCCAATAAATGCCATCGCTCATCCTCGCTTGGGCACAAATCTTGACACACTGAGATGCGCAAGGAGATTAAGTCAGTGGACAGTCGTATGGCTACCATTCAGTATGCCCTCGAGCACCTACTTGCCAGGCTTCCCCCACTGGTACCAAACCCAACCCCTACCTCTGAGCGGAGCGTGGTTGTTGAATCAATCAATCAATCAATCAAATTGATTTATAAAACCCTTTTTACATCAGCAGATGTCACAAAGTGCTATACAGAAACCCAGCCTAAAACCCCAAACAGCAAGCAATGCAGATGTAGAAGCACGGTGGCTAGGAAGAAACCTATAGAGGAACCAGGCTCTGAGGGGTGGCCACTCCTCTTCTGGCTGTGCTGGGTGGATATTATAAGAATATGTGGCCATTTAAGGCCAGATTGTTCTTCAAGATGATCAAACATTCATAGATGACCAGCAGGGTCAAATAATAATCACAGTGGTTGTAGAGGGTGCAACAGGTCAGTACCTCAGGAGTAAATGTCAGTTGGCTTTTCATAGCTGAGCATTCAGAGGTTGAGACAGCAGGTGCGGTAGAGAGAGAGAGAGCGTCGAAAACAGCAGGTCCGGGACAAGGTAGTACGTCCGGTGAATAGGTCAGGGTTCCCTAGCCGCAGGCCGAACAGTTGAAACTGGAGCAGCAGCATGACCAGGTGGACTGGGGACAGCCAGGAGTCATCAGGCCAGGTAGTCCTGATCCTAGGGCTCAGGTCCTCCGGGAGGAGAAGGAGAGAGGGAGAAAGAGAGAATTAGAGGGAGCATACTTAAATTCACACAGGACACCAGATAAGACAGGAGAATTACACCAGATATAACAGACTGACCCTAGCTCCCCGGCACATAGACTATTGCAGCATAGATACTGGAGACTGAATCGGATGACACTGACGGTCGACCAGAAAATATCCTTGTCTGAAACGTTTAAGAGGGCAAGCAGGAACCTCAACGTGAAACATACACCTACTGCCATGGCATCCACATCCAAGTTTGATGAATTCAGTTCTTCAAAGACTGAGACATCCATACCGTTGTTTAAATACTTTGTGCGTGAACTCCAATGCACTTGGAGCACGCCAAGTGACAGAACCCCTGCCATGCCAAGCATATGCACTCGCTTAGCTACAGTTCATGGTGCAGATGAGAATAGTTTTGGCCATTTCCCCCGTATGAACAAATAATTTGCTTCGCTTGTTATGCCTGCTTCTCTCAGTCACAGTTCAGACCAAGAGCTGCCTAACAAATGATGAAGGGCATCTGATCAATTCCTATGCAGGACACATGACAGCACTACTTCAGCCGCTAGGCTTAGCAATTCAGCAGCGATACTGGCCTTCTATCGGTAGGAGCTGCGGCCCACCTCCTCCAAGTGTCTAAGGAGGACAGAGAAGCACAGATGGCGCTTCAGCGCCTCATTCATTTACATTTACATCATTTAGCAGATGCTCTTATCCAGAGCGACTTACAAATTGGTGCAAATTGGTGCATTCATTCCAAAGCCTAAAATGCATCAGCCAGCAAACCATTACTCCAGTCCCAGGGCCCCAACTGGAATGCCAAGAAACCAGGCTCAGACTCACGCTACACCTGCTCAGGAGTGGAGGAACAGACACTCTCAGCCCTACCAAAGAGGTGGAGCACAGCATCACCCAAGAGGCAGAGGTGCACCATATACAGGCCACGTCCCCTCTGCACCAAAGCACGCAGAGCCTCGGTCCTGAGCTGGAAAAGGTCAACGGCCAACAAATGGGTGTTACGCACTCTAACACAAGGCTACGCACTACAATTTTGGTAGCGACCCCCACGTTTCAGGGGTGTCTTGAAAACAACCGCTCGTAACCCTGTTCAAACACTCTGCTCAGAAATCTCCTTGAAAAAGCATGCCATCGAAGAGGTAGAACCAGCGCAACAAAACTGCAGGTTCTACTCAATCTATTTTCTGGTGCCAAAAAAGGGCTGAGGCCTCCGTCCGATCCTGGACTTAGAGTGCCTTAATCGTCATCTTTCAGCACTTCCCTTCAAAATGCTGACAATCAAAACCATCCTTCAGTTAGTACAACCAGGCGAAAAGTTCACCACAGTGGACCTGAAAGACGCATACTTTCATATCCCCATTCTACCAGCACACAGAAAATACCTGAGATTTGCCTTCGAAATACGTGTTTTTCAGTTTCACATTCTACCCTTCGGCCTTTCACTCGCCCCTCACACTTTCACAAAGTGCATAAGTGCAGCGCTAGCCCCCCATCGCCAAGCAGGAGTCAGGGTCCTGAACTACTTACATGATTGGCTAATATGTGCAGGGTCACAAAGCCAAGCTTTGGCACACACATCCATGGTCTCACATCACCTCTCTGAGTTGGGACTAACAGTGAGCTTGGAAAAGAGTTATCTGGTCCCCACTCAGTGTGTGCACTTCCTGGGCTTGACACTGGACACTCAAATCATGCGAGCAAACCTCTCTCCAGAAAGAGTGGGATCTTTGACAAATTGTCTTTCAACATTCAAACTGAATAAACAGGTGACAGCACAAGAAGAGTCAGAGGCTACTAGCCCTCCTAGCTGCTGCAGTCCATGTTGTACTATTGGGCTTGCTCAACATTCGGCCAATACAGCGGACGTACAACAGACACGTCTATGTCCCAGAAGGGACAAACACAAAAAGCTGATCATTTCAATGAGTTGCTGGAGAGCAATACAATGGTGGCGCCTAGCACTTCAAACTCCCAGTGGAGTTCTCCTAGGCGCAGTTCACAACCGGTTGACTTTGACCACAGACACCTCCCTACAGGGATGGGGAGCAGTCTTGAACCAGTTAGGGGCCCATGGTGTATGGTCAGCACCATGGAAAATGGCTCACATCAACGTACTGGAGCTCAAGGCGGTTCACCTTGCACTCCGGCAGTTCCTCCCAGTACTGAGAGGACAACCTGTACTGATACGGACAGACACTACAACCGTGATTGCACACATCAACCGCCAGAGCGGACTGAGGTCAATGGCTCTGCACCAGGTAGCAAGGGAGCTACTGCTTTGGGCAAACAGACACCTTATATCCCTCAGAGCAATACACCTGCCGGGGATGGAGAATCAGAAGGCAGGCCCTCTTCCTTCAGACTGGAGGATACATCCCACAGTAGTGGAGATGATCTGGGCGCAATTTGGAAGGGCCATCGCCGATCTGTTCGCATCGCAAGACTCAACCCATGATCCTATGTGGTTCTCCATAAATGGTCCAGCAGGCCCACTCAGGGTCAATGCCCTATCACACTGATGGCTAAGGGGGCTGCTGAATGTTTTTCCACCAATTTCCTTGCTCCCTCAGGTCTTGGAAGATCAGTCTCGAGAGCGCGTCAGTTCTACTTGTTGCTCCACATTGGCAACAACATCACTGTTTTTCAGACATTGTACAGCTGACAACCTCCCCCCATGGGAACTCCCTCTTCGAGTGGACCTCCTGTCACAAGTGAATGGCAAGCTTTGGCACCCCAAACCCAGCATACTGAAGTTGTGGGAGTGGCACCTGAACGTGACCGCCTTGTAGCTGCAGGGTTGCCCTCCTTGGTAATTGATACAGTTCAGGCAGCCAGGGTATCCTCTACGCTAACCCTGTATTCCTACAAGTGGAATGTGTTCAGGAAGTGGGTGCATTGATTTCCTCCAGGGTATGGCTGCAGGGAAGTCCCCATCTACATTGAAAGTGTATATGGCAGCCATCTCTATGGATCATGACCGGATTTCGGGTGCATCACCAGGGGCACACCCTCTAGTATCGCAATTCATGAAAGGAGCCCACAGGCTATGGCTCCCCAAGACTCCTTCAGTACCCTCATGGGAGTTTGATGTTGTCCTACTTTCACTTATGAGCCCACCATTTGAGCCCCTTTCTTCACTTGAGATTCGTGAGCTCTCAGTCAAGACTGCCTTTCTATTGGCTATTGTTTCAGCCAAGCGTGTTAAGAATTACATGCACTTTCTACCCATCCTTCATGCCTCACTTTAGCAGACGATGGATCTAAGGCAGTGCTTTGGCCAAATCCAGCATTCTTACCTAATGCTAACCAGCCCTTAATCATAGCGGCATTTCACCCGCCTCCCCACTCCTCACAGGAGAGTCGTGAGTTGCATACACTTGTCCGGTTAGGGCACTGAGTGCCTATCTTGCTACAACAAGAATTGTTTGTCAAACAGAACAGCTTTTTGTGTGTTATGGGGAGAACACCAAAGGGCGCATTGTCTCGAAGCAGAGACTGGCACATTGCAGTGTCAAAATCATACGCAGCAGCAGGTAGACCAACTCCAGATGTCATGGTAGCGCACTCCACCAGGAGTATGGCCACTTCATGGGCCCTGTTCAGAGGGGCCTTGCTGGACTCTATCTGTGCTGCTCCAAGTTGGGCAACACCCATGACTTTCATGAGTTATATCCACACCATCAGTGGGATCTGTGGCTCTGGACACGGCACACTCTCTCAACCCAAAGAAGTGAGTGTACTGTTGTCCGAACAACCTCTTTGGTACAGCCTCTCCCATAGGTCGTTTGGCACCCGTTACGAAAATGAAAGAGAGCGTTGGGTTACGGATGTAACCATGGTTCTCTGCGTAACGGGTCGCCAAGCTTTCATGTCTTTCCTCCACCTCCATGAGGTTTGAGTGAAGTAATAGACAGTATGTCATACCACATAGCCTTTTATAGTGACAGGTCACGTGGGTACAGTAAAGGTGTGGCGTGACTGTAAACATATTTTGATATTAAGCATCTCAATCACATCGCGTGAAGGGAAAGAGTTCCCATAGGTCGTTTGTCGATCCATTATTCTATTCAGAGAACCAAGGTTACATCCGTAATCCAACAATTTTTGTAGTATTCCTTTGTTGTAAGCCTGTAATTGCATGGTGCACTCTGCAGATGGCCACAGGGTGTCTCAGAAGTCTGCTTCACAAGTACAGGGTGTGTCCAATTTGACCTGTTTACTTTGAACTCATGAGTGTTGTAATCTCCAATCCTCCAGGGCCTCAACAGGTTGACTCGTTGATGCTGAAGATGATTGTAACCACAGAGACTGCACAAGCAACAAGAGATACAGGACCAGAAAAAAAGGATGAAACCTTCTAACTAATACCTATCTCCTTATCAGTTTTAGGTTATTCAGATCATTTATGGTATCTTATGATATGACTACAATACATGCAGTATTTTTTTGCTAATCTAATAGACACGGTAAAGAGGTCAAATGGAAGCAGACTGTGGAGGATAGAAGGAGGATGCCGTATTGGCGCATATTCAACAAATCGGATATTCTTCAAATCTGTCAAATCCGGTTCCGGTGGCATGCATTGAAATGCATGGCTTTTCTTTTGCAAAATAACTATGAATGAATGGACTTATTTTCAAGTAATTGTTAACATACAGTATAACATCACATTAAGGTGTGGGGACGTTTACTGTATTACAAGGAACAATAGCAGGTCTGTTTCGCTCCAGTAGCTGGCATATTCTGTCCATTACCAATTCACCTATGGGAACATGGCTGCCCTTAACACCCGACAACAGAAAGAGTTGGCCACTACTACCAAGAGATTGATCGTGACAAAATTACTTCTACCTTCGACTTGCAATCAAAACCGATAAATGAATATCTTGCACTGCTAAAGTAGATACCTACTCAACTAAAGTGGAACGTTTGGAGACAGCAGCCAATCTGACAGAAGCGCGACTCCATGACCTGGAAAGAGCGTGAACTAAGCTAAAAGGCAAAACCAATTTCCTAAAAAACTCAAAATCCTTCCCGTAAATTCAATGTGCGGGTCACAGGACTTGAAACTGGTGTGGAAGCGGGCAACCCAACTTCCTTCATGAGTAATATTATCTATGAACTGTTTGGGCGGGAGAAGCTTGGTCCCATGCACTGATAAACATTGTGCACCGTACGAGTCCTCTCCGGAACGGATCTTTGTGTATGATTGTACGAATCAAATGGCAAACTGTTCGCCTCACAGTGGATTCGGGGGCTCTGACCAATGGGGAGAAGAGGCTCTGCATCTACCCATATCTGAGTGCTGAACTGCTGAAACAGAGGGAGACCTACAACGAGGTGAGGTCCCAGCTACGCAAGCTAAACCTGAGATGCTGCTTCATCCACCCGGCAAAACTCATCTTAACCTTCCAGAATACAACACAGACGTTTTCCACTGCCAAGGAGGCTCAAGACTTCTTCGATAAGCACATTAAGTCCAACACACAAGGGGACGAGCCGACAGATTTATTGTAGACTAACCCCAATTTGGCTCGCTCAATATTCAGGTATGCTATCCACACACAATCACGCAGCCTAGCCGATGGCTGTGATGCTGCCCTCAACATAAGACAATGGTGAGGAAACCATCTCAATTGGGTAAAACGAACACCATTATTATTATTATTATTATTGCTGAACATTGGACTTGGTTATTATTATATTGCCAATGTTCCAGGACATTTAGACAATGATGACTCCATGCCAATTAATGAGCAATGGACAATATGTTGAAGTGCCAACAGACTGGGGCTGCTTCCTTGTGGGGCTACAGCACATTGCATCCCTATGGGCTAAACTGTTTAGGATAGATGACCAGTCCCATATGGGCTTCCACACAATTCCTATTTTTAATTATTTTTTCTTCCTATGTTTAAGGTAATTTATACCATATTGCTTATTAACACTACAGCTAACAATTACATCATTAATATATATATATATATTTTACAATGGCAACACTAGCTATTCTCTTGGAATTTGAAAGCCTAAACTCACCTATTAAACGTTCCAGCTGTCAATATCCTCGCAAGAAACCATATTGATATAGCAATGTTCCAAACGGGCTGCATTTTCATTAGCTCCAAACAAAACTAAAAGTGTAATCATAATGATACATAAGAAACTCAAAATTACCATCTTGGGTAAAGGTGAAGACCAAGAAGGCAGATTCACTTTCTTTAAATGTATCCATAATGGAAAGAAAATTCCCTTTATTAATGTGTTTGTTACAAATTCATATGATCCTACATTTTTGATTCTCCCAAACAGCATATGGTTAAAATTAACTGAATTCCATCTGGTTATTGGGCAGACATGAATGCCATTTTGGACATGCAGGACAAATCTAATAAGACCAACTACAATCCACACACAACCAAGGCTCTCCAGAATATACTCTCTGATTACAACCTCATTGATGCCTGGCGAGCACATAATCCTAAAGCAAAAGAGTACATGTTCTACTCAAACAGGCATAAATCATTCTCACAAATCGATTTCATACTATTATCTACACTCCTATTTTCTTTCATCAAGAAAATAGAAATTCGACATATGAGCTTGTCTGACCACCACGCTTACTACTGCCAACTTCAAATTTCAGAATCTCCTAAAAGAGCCACAAGACGGCATTTCAACGTTTCATTACTACATAATCCTACATTCTGGGATCAATTTGAAATTGAACTAAATTATTTCATAATGATCAATCAAAATTAGGTCGATGACCCCCGGATTCTATGGAATGCCACCAAAGGTTTTATTAAAGATAATGCAACTGCATTTGCATCTGGGTTGAATAAATCACACAATTCAAAAAGATAGCAGAATTGTTAGCTGTGTTTGAGCATTCTCAACAAACACTCTTTTCAGACCAGGTACCTATTACTCTTTCCAAAGTTAAGACAGAACTTAATTTATTGATAAAACAGAGAGCAGAATCTGCCATCCATCGAGTAAGACTCAACCACTACTTCCATGGTAATTGTCCCAGTCGTTTACTGGCCAACAAGCTATGCAGTAACGATCAATGTTCAATAGCTGATTTAGCAACTATTGAATATGAAACAAGGGAATTACTATCAGAAATCAAATGAATCAATCTAACATTCTCCCGCTTCTCTAAAAAACTGTACACCTCTGATTGTAAATCCACCCCAGGCCAGACTAAGTTATTTCTAAAATAATTAAGAACTCCTCTTCTCTCAACAGCGGAAGCCATCTCGCTGGGAGCCCAAATCTCTCTCAATTAACTCAAAAGGGCATTGGATAGCATGAATAAAGGCAAATCACGTGGATGGGATGGTATTCTTCCTGAGGTCTATTTAAAATGTTGGAATCAATTAGGTCCACTATTGCTCTAAATTATTAATACAGCCGTTCACAAAGGTTCATTTGGGAGAGATTTGAACACAGCACTAATTTCGCTTTTATTTAAAAAAGGTAAGTATGCCACCCAGTGTTCTCATTATCGCCCCCTTTCTTTGATAAACACAGATATTCAACTGTTTTCCAAAATGTTGTCGTCTTGTCTCGAGACTTACTTAACCAAATTGATCCACACAGACCAAAGCGTGTTTGTTAAAAAGTGTTTGTCCTCGGATAACCTCCGTCGACTATTACATATCTTATATGCTTCATTAGAAACAACAGCTCCTTGGGCTATCATCTCTCAATGCAGGAAAAACTTTTGATAGACTAGAATGGTCATATCTCTGGTCTGTCTTGGAACATAGGGGAATTGGCTCCAATTTCATTAATATTATTAAAATACTATATGCCAATCCCTCAGCCATAGTTATAACAGGCAATATCTGCTCTGCTCCGTTCAGAATCACTAGAAGCAGCAGACAAGGCGATCCAATTTCGCCTCTGCTATTCTTATTATCCATGGAGCCTCTGGCCCAGGCAATTTGTCAGTCAAAGGAAATAACACCAATTCCTCTCAAATCTACTGATCACTTCAACTCATTATACACAGACAATATTGTACTATATCTAGACAATGTATCTGAATTGCCCCCAAACGCATTGAAGATCAAAGATAAATTCAGCTTAATCTCAAGTTATAAAATGCATCTAACCAAATCAGCCCTACTGCCTCTCAAGACCCTGATGGAGGACTCCATCTCTACTTATGGAATCCCAATCGTTTCCCATTTTAAATATTTGGGAGTAGATGTATTTCCTTCTTTAGATAAAAACATTGCCAGAAAATTTAACAGAACGCTCAAATCAATTAAACCTGACCTCAGTAGATGGAATAATATCCCAGTTTCTTTAACCGGCAGAAAATCTATTGTGAAAATGTATATATTGTCACGGCTGAATGTAGTTCAATGCTTCCCATGGCTCCCCCTTCTGGCTATTGGTATAACATTCATAGAGCGGTTTCAAAATGTATATGGCAAGGTAAACGATCCCAGATCAAATTTATACATTTACAAAGAGGGAAAGACATAGGAGGACTATCCATACCAAACTTTAAATTGTATTTCCAGGCTGTAGCATTTCGTGCCATCCTAAATTGGTTTAGACATGATTATTCTGCCCCCTGGCTGAGTATAGAGAGAAATATGGTGTCTCCTATTGCCCTGGAAGAGGTGTTCTTCACTAATATATCCCTTAAACTATTTAAACTGCGTTTTGGTCCTATTATTGCTCACATTATTTTTATTTTGGTGCAAAATTGAAAAACAATGTAACTTGGAATCAAAATGGAATGCCCATACTACAATATTTCACAATAATGCCTTGCCTTTTTCATCCCCCCAAAGGTCCAAATGTGGAATCCATACCCTTACCGATATCATGGACAGTAACGGTTTGAGAACATTCCAAGATTTGAAAGGTACATACACATTACCAGGCAACTCCTTTTTTCTATTTTACAACTTAGGTAAGCTATGCTGGCCTATGGAGGCCCTTGGGAAACCCAACTACCGAAAAATCCAATGATGCGATTTATAAATATTATCTGGGCTCCCGAATGGACTGATCTCTATAATATAATTTATAAACAACTTTTCGGAAAGCTCATATTCTGAGCTAGCCATGAAAAAAGTATGGTCCACAGATCTAATTGAATCGGAACCACGCTTTAACTGGAACAAAATATGGAAAAATATGAACTTGGTGTCCCGTAATCCAAACCATCAATTTATACATTTGAACTTTGTTCACAGACTGTATTTAACACCAAGGAAACGTTTTATGATGAAATTGGCCCCAACGCCCAACTGTTCACTATGTCCCCTAAATCAGGTAGGCACATTCCGTCATATGATGTGGGAGTGCCCTGAAGTTAAATGCTTCTGGGGCAAAGTTACAAAATTAATTTTGAGTGCATGAATGTTAATATTCATGCACAGTTACTATTAGAAGTTCTAACATTAGAATTATCGACAGCGAGAATTAATGGTGCTAGTCAAGGAACAATTGAAGCCTGGACGAATATACTTGACTCTAAAGAACAATCTCAGCTAAAGCCCCACACATACAAACCAATTATATATATTTAGACTTGTTACTTTCTTTGGAGAAAGTAGACTCAAGGAATGGATGGATGGGAGGGGGACTGATAAGCAACCTTGGTTGCTGGGTGGGATGGTAAGAGGTGGGGGGGGTTAGAGGTGGGAAGCATGGTTTCCGGGTGGGAAGGGAGGATGCTGGCCGGTGAATGGGGACTGAGTGAGGGAATGGGTTATCTTTGTATGCATTTATTTGATTGTTTTTGTAGATCTGTAACCAATCTCAAAAAAATAAAAATGACAAAACCAAATAAGAAGTTGGTCACAAAAAAAAATTTGGTCATTGATGTATTTTAACAGGCCCACAATGTGGTTACTAATGTCCAATTTGGATATATTGTAGGCCGTCATTGTAAATAAGAATTTGTTCTTAACTGACTTTCCTAGTTAAATAAAGGTAAAATAAAAAAATATATATTGGTAGTCAGTCATTTTTAACGGAAAATGCAGTTGATTAGTGACGGCGACATGAACATGTATTGGGGTTGACATCCACACAAGCGATATGGATATTACTTTACCTCAACATAGTGTGAAATGCACATATAAACAACACCCTAAATCAGTGGCGATTTTAGCATGTCAATCTTGGTGGGGCAAACACTTTTTTTTTTTTGATGCATGCCAGCGAAGCCACTACACAACTCTAAACAATACATTAAATGCACTATAACGGTGCCCACAAACTTTTAGGGTCTACATAAAGCTGTCCCGACAGATGAGTTTATGGCTGACTTGCTTCAATAAATATGGTTTCTACTGACTCCTTTTGGATTTGTGTAACTGGATAAGAACTGCATTCTCCTTCAATAATAATGAATGTCGACATTATTTTTGAACCATACACAAACATTATTACATTTATGTTCAGTAAATTCATGATATAATTAACACTTAGCTCTAAGTATAAGCAAGTGCAGGCAAACGAGCTGCGATGAGGTAGGCCTATTTGTTCAGAAATTTCTAAATGGACAGCGGCAGAAATTCAGATAGATGTTAGTTCAGATAAATTCTTGAAAAAGAAAAGGAGAGCCGCACACTCTAGGAGCTCAGATGCAATAATTGAATAACCTAATAACCAACGTTTCGACAGCCAAGCTGTCTTCATCAGGGTATAGTTCAGATAAATTCAGCAAGATGTTGAGGCCTTAACTTTACTCTTCTTTAAGTCACCACAGAGAGAGAAAGAGAGAGACCCAGACACAGCGGGAAGTATTTTATTAGGCTATGTGGTCTAAAAAGGAAGGCCAATACAATCACGAGGATCCTCAAGACAATATACAGAAGCACTGACAGCGCACTGCGCAAACAACACAACCCTCGCAATATGAACTGGGTCTATTACTCAACTTTTTGTTGAACAAAAATATTTGAATGGGAAGAGACTGTCACTGGCAAACATGGTTACGAGGAGGGGACACTATAATATAATGTTGTTGGGTCTGTAAGAAAAGCACCTGAGCTAATTATAACACACAAAGTAAGCAAAACAATTAAATGCATCATTCTAACATTGCCTAAAATTATTAATAAGATACTAATGAGAGACCTATATAAGCAAAACAACAATGCAGATGTACAAACTATGACATATATGACGATAAGCTGTTAAGAGGAAAGATGACATTTCTCTAAAACAGGCTATAGGCTAAATGTGCACCATCAAGTAAGAACAGTTGTACAAACAGTCCCCGCAGTGCTGTCTCACAATTGCCACACCATTTAATGCATGCTATAATTCTGGCAAGCACGTACCTATTCTCCTCCGTTTGTTGGTTGTGAAGGTCGATGGCTTACCTATATGCGGTGTCTAGCTGAGCTACAACGTTTGATTTCCCCAGTAATCCGAGTTTAACAGCGTTGTCTATATGTGATGCACAATTCTCATGTTTTGATACCCTTTCAGACAGATGTTTTAAATCATTAAACCCAGACTTGGACAACACACCCTCTCCACTGAATAGCAGGCAGGGGAAGCAAAATAGTGATTGCTTTGAGATGCTTGCAGTTAGCCACTGCTTCCTTCCAAACCCCTCATTGTTGAATTTGCGATTTCCGACTTGTTGTGTAATGTTTATGTCCAATGGCCAATGAGCACCAAGAGGTTTTATCTCTAATTTCTCTTCATATGACAAGGATTGAAAAGGATTTGCCAGTAGATTGTCAACGTGATTCATGACGATGACTGCTTGTCTAGCTTGCTAGCTAAGATTTTGAAAGTATGATGTTGACATGATCAGTCCAATCAAAGCTATGGTAGATAAAACGTGATTTGATGTCATTTTATCTGTGGCCAATGACCTTGAGCCTTCTTGGACAGGCACTTCTACTGCCCTGAATGACAGGTTGCCACTGCCCTAAATGTAAACACATTTTGCTGGGGTCAATGAGGAGATTCGGGGTCTTTCCCCCACGCGTTTCCATTGTTTATTTCCAGTGACCTCTTTATCTATCCAGCCTATTTATTTGACTCAGTTATCACAGAGCTTTATAGGCCTAAATGCTTGGGTGAATCAAGAGCCACACATTTCAGTTGTTATTTACTGATCTGGTCGGATTATGATGCTGCCTTTAAATGAGAATTTGCAATGGTCCGCTAATGTCTGGCAGTCTGTCTGCCACTAAATACATGCTCAACATTATTATTGTACAGTGTAAATAAAGGAATTGCACATATTTTGTCATAACTTTATGGAGAATGTCACTACCATCATCATCATCAGCAGCATATTAATTATGAATCTTTTGAGCTATTCTGATTGTACAACTACTAGTAGGTAGGCTTCTACCGTGTGTCTCATGTACCCAGTGCACTTTAGAAAAAAGTCATCTAGGTTGGCCTGTTCCCTGACCATGTTGTGTCATCGTTGATCCTACAGCCTCTCATTTTCCATTAGTCAGCTTAAAAGTTTCCCCACTCTCACGCCTGCACTACGAACGGCTGATATCCGTTTCCTTCTACACTGGACGGACTAGCTAGCGAAGATGGCGGCGGCAGAATCTGATCGTGAAGTACCGTCTGTTCTGTGTACTGAATTCCTGAATTTCTCTGCCAAGGACACAGCTTCGGTATGTGACAGTTTTCATATGTGTATATATTTGATGTGATTTTTATTATCAAATGGTGCAGAACGCACCAATTTCATCGACTATATTCATTTCTATATTTTTCCATCTCGAATTGTTTTTCTTCAATGCGATGATGATGGCCTTGCTTGGCTACGGTACGGGAACATGGCTAATGCTAACTAGCTTTCTAGAAAATGGCATTAGCTAACCTATGGCATTGCATAACTGTAAGATAATGGTTGGAATCGATAATATACCAGCTACTTTATATTGGTAGGGATGTGTCCAGGATTATTTTAAACAATACTAGCTAAAGTTAGCTAGATCGTTTTATTTATAGCTAACGTTAAAGGCTAGGGTCACTTGGCAGACAGTATTTTTGGTATTGCTGGCCAACATAATTTGTTCGCCGTACTGTCTGGCGGTAAAGCAGTTGTTGCTGTTCCATAACTAGCAGCAGTAGTTAGCTATCCTGTACAACTTGCTTACCAACAAACCGTAATGTCTGTTGTTGGGAATTGTCCTTATTAGTTCCGTGAAATCCGCCCTGTTAACAAAACCCGTTGGGTCACACCGACCGTGTTCTTACACAAAATAGTACGCAGCATCATCTGGTTATGTGTGCAATAAAAGTTCAATATTTACCTTATGTTACCATTTCAGTTAAGCCGTTTATACATACAGTTTGATGCATACATTCGATAAATCCAAAGTATGCAGAACGCACTGCAACTACCTCTGCAACGCAATGCTGAAAGGCAAACTCAGCATTCCATTGGAAATTAATGTACTTCTGGTGTACCAAAACGCAATGATGATGTCGGTCTGATCGAGGGGTAGATGCCAGGTTACAGAAAAGCTTGAAGTTGGCTATTTGCACAAACCTAGCTAGTTATTAATGCTACCTACTAGTCACATATTGTTAATAACGGTAAAACAGATGTTTTCCATTCCCCATGACCCATCCAGTGTGATACAACACTTGTTGATTGCGATTCGCTAGCCAGAATGTATTGCAAATGTGTCAAATTGTTAATACAGTGTCCTTGTACTTGGGCCTTCAGTAGCTCTGGCGTCAATCACTACCAACAGATGTGAGAACAATCCATAACATTAAGCATCGAGTCTAATTCTAAATATGCTAAACATTGTGTTGATCACGCTAAACTAAATATCAACTTCAGTGATCTTTCATTTCCCCATTATACTCAGCCTAAGCCTACAGATTGTCTACATTTGACATCTGCCCCCCTGCAGGCTATACCAGGCTAAGAGCTCACTTTCCACATATGATGCAACATGCCATGTACTAGATGTGACTGTGCTAGTCAATCACTGTCATTTGATGAATTGACATTAAGGGTTACCCTATTGCCTGCGGCAAGTGACTTCAGCAGTCACAGAAGTTGAGCCTGCTCCGAGGTTGCCCCATTGGGCATAAATGCAAAGAATTTCAGTAGTCTGTTCATTCTCGTTCCTCCCCTGTGTGTAGGTAGAAATAGGTACTATTTCATGCAAGTGATCCAGTGATTGTCAGGAATTTTGTGTTGACAATAAGGCTATTGTTATATTTTATAGAGCCCAACCGATATATCGGTTCACCAATATTATTGGACTATATTGGCCTTTTACCGCTATATCGGTATCGGACGATTATTCCACTGATAACCAATATTCAATAAATAGCATGAGATTCCCTTCTTTCATCCTAATCTGAACACTTGTGGCCATTCTCATGATATACCCTGATGAAGACAGCTTGTCTGTCGAAACGTTGGTTATTAAATTATTACTTCTGTGCTCCTATCCTTTTCTTTTTCAAGCCATTCTCATGATGTCATTAATTTAACAATGTAAGAAATCAACATTTGAATCATATTTCTTGGACAATTGCTCTTTTGGATGGCAATTTGAGGATTCAGTGTGGAAACATTTAACTTTTCCTTTGTCCCAGCGTAAAACAGTATATTGGCAGATATATCGGTAAATTTTGTCCCCCCAATAATCGGAATCGGTATCAGACCCCAAAAAACATATAGGTCGGCCTATAATATAGAGCGGGAGTGAGTGGCAGTGAGTGGCTCGCTTATCACAGCAGCATGCCCCAGCGAAACAGGCAAAGGGACATGCCAGATACTTTAATTAAAGGAAACGTGAGGATAATGCACTTACTGTTTGACCAAATAGGACGTTTGGAGTGAGGTGACCATGTACAGCCAAGTCAAAGGGGTCGCAAAATGTGACTAAATGGTCGCAGTCTGGAGCCCTGCCTAAAGGCTAACATACCTTTGCTCATCATTCAAGATTCAGCTCTGCTCATCATACAATAAAGCACACCCACTATAACTAGGTCAAATTCATACAAGTTGGACCTGGACTGTGTTCACAAATGCCCTCAAGTCTGAATGTCTAACAACGGGGTGTTGTAATATTCACGTCTCAATGTTTCCCCCCTCTAACAGAAATGGCTCCAGGTGACCGACCTGTACAAGGAGGTGTACCAGCACCTGGCCCGCTATGTCCCCAAGATCTACTGCCTGGGGCCCAACCTGAACCCCCAGAGTGAGGACCTGCTGGCCCAGCTACTGCTGCAGGCCCCTCTGGAGTGGTACCTGTGTGGAGAGGACCCCTCCATGGGCCTGGCCAAGCTGGAGCAGAACAACCAGCCCTCACAGCTCTGTGGACACGTCTTCAGAGTGGGAGAGCCCACCTACTCATGCAGGTGGGGGAAGTTGAGGTCTCGTTAGACAGGCAGACAGAAAGACAGACACACATACGTACGTACGCACACACACACGTATGCTAACTGTCCTTTCCTGTGAGTTGGCCAGGTGAATTGGGTCAGGTTGGTCCTGTGTTAAGTCTCAGGTCAAACCGTAAGCTTCCTGGTAAGCAGTGCTGTCTGGATAAGGTCGAGGTCACTTCCTTTACAGGAACAGCTTGACCATAGTAGCTAATTCCATACACACTTAAGTGTGTGTTCAATGGAAAGTAATTGCAATGCATACCCATGCTTATTGTACTGTATGTACTGTATAGCCTAATTGAACATCCATTCCATGAGTATTGTTTTCATTTTTCCTCAAGAACTCCTTTGTATTGGTATTGAGTAAGAGGGTCACCGGGTCATGTTAACATGGGATCAACATATGACCTGGTGGAACCTTGGAAGACAATGTTAGGTACTGTTGCTGTCCCTCCTGCTTCTCTCACAATCTATCTGTCTCGCCTGCAGGGAATGTGCTGCAGACCCCACCTGTGTGCTGTGTATGCAGTGTTTCCTGGGCAGTGTGCATAAAGAACATCGCTACAGGGTAAGAAGGACCACACAACCTCTATCACACACTCAATGGTTCAGGATAAGCAGGCCAACAGCCCAAACAATGGCTAGTAGTGCTGAGCCATTAACTGTCATTTCGTTAATTTTTTGTTTATTAAACAACTAATTGACCCAAGTCGGTTCAATAACTTGAATTCCATTTAGTTCTGGGTTTTTTTTTCTGAGCCCAACGCGCCGTTTCTCTAGAGAGAAATCATTCACGAGAAAGTCAAGAACTATGTGGGAGGTGGGCTGAAGGGAGTTGTAGGTTTCATTAAGGAAATTCAAACTAGTTCAGCGCAGAAACGTGGAAATTAACTACATTGACCATAATCCATTGCGTCTGATTTTCCCGGCTCAGACAGAGATGGATCAGAAAGGAAGAGGCAAAGCCAGAGGTTTCACTCTAGCCAAAATCTGTCCAAAATAAATAAGCCCAATGTATTTCTATGGGTTTATTTTGGACCTAAGCTTGTCGCCTGCCTTTGGGACAATGACTCCCATTGTTAGGGCGTAGACATGAGTATCTCGTCATTATATACAAATCTCTGGCCGGATACACCTTTAAGCCTGCTATGTTAGGTTAGATGCACACAGACTGCATGAGAGAGGAATGTACACAACACAATGATGAGAGGGACAGAGACCGTTTGTGAAAGTATGCCTTATCTACTTTGAAGAACTAGTTAAAATGTATTTTGTCAGACAGCTCTGCAGCATACAGGCTAGCTAGATAGGATGACTAAAGACAGTACAGTATGAGGAGCACATGGATAACGTTAGAGGGTCTGGCTTGCTGGCTGCTACTGCCTGAGCAGAGATGATGACTTTAAGGAATGGAAGATAATCATCAAATAAAAACGAAGTAATATACACAACTGAAATATTATATTTCATAGTAATTTTCCAAAAAAAATCCTACTGATGTCTTCCCAATGTGGACTTGTTCACAATTTTTTTGATTTGGAATTTCCATTAAAAGCTCTAAAATCATTGTAATATAATTATTTCATAATACAAATAATAATAACCGAAAACCGTGATTATTAAAAATGTACTGCTATGATTGCCATGAGACGGGTCACCCAGTTTCTGCACTGAATTCAGGCTGAGGATCAGGCAGGCTAATCGCATTTGGGGCTGGCCTGGCTTGCCACTCTCCTGCCATGTGAGCCTCAGGATGGGTGCACCTATGCTCCTCAGGTCTTAAGCTCTGTTCACCCACGAGTAGGTACAAGTTGCCCCTAAGCACTGATACAGGGTCAGATATATATACTGTAGTTTTTAGGCCTACTAACAGTTAAGGTTAGGATTGGGGGGTAGGGTGAATTTATCTTACCTTGAGTGCTTACTCATTCATTCTGGTCTTATCTTACTCCCCTTGTTTGTGTTCTAGAGCATTCTAAAACCCTCTACTTCAGGGCAGGCAGATGTATGTATGTCTGATGTAGAAGGTGGTCGTGGTCGTTGTTGTCGTCTTCCAAATGTAAATGATCCAGAAGCTTCTCTGTCTGCTGCACATGACTGTGTACGTGTGTTGTCTTGCCTCACATATTGTCTCCCCTCCAGATGACGACCTCCGGGGGAGGGGGTTTCTGTGATTGTGGAGACACAGAGGCCTGGAAGAAGGGCCCTTACTGTCAGAAGCATGAGCCCAACATCAGTGATTCCTGTCAGGAGGTGAACAGCTCCCAGCCACAGGTACAGTGCATTCAGAAAGTATTTAGACCCCTTGACTTTTTCCCACATTTTGTTACGTTACAGCCTTATTCTAAAATTGATTAAATAGTTTTTTCCCCTCATCAATCTACACACAATACCCCATAATGACAAAGCAAAAACAGTTTTTCTTTGGACATTTTTGCAAATTTATAAAAAAATAAAACTGAAATATCACATTTTACATAAGTATTCAGACCCTTTACTCAGTACTTTGTTGAAGCACCTTTGGCAGCAATTACAGCCTTGAGTCTTCTTGGGTATACAAGCTTGCACACCTGTATTTGGGGAGTTTCTCCAGTTCTTCACTGCAGATCCTCTCAAGCTCTGTCAGGTTGGATGGGGAGCGTCGCTGCACAGCTATTTTCAGGTCTCTCCAGAGATGTTAGATCGGGTTCAAGTCCGGGATCTAGCTCGGCCACTCAAGGACATTCAGAGACTTGTCCCGAAGCCACTCCTGCGTTGTCCTGTTGGAAGGTGAACCTTCACCCCAGTCTGAGGTCCTGAGCGCTCTGGAGCAGGTTTTCATCAAGGATCTCTCTGTACTTTGCTCTGTTAATCTTTCCCTCGATCATGACTAGTCTCCCAGTCCCTGCCGCTGAAAAACATCCCCACAGCATAATGCTGCCACCACCATGCTTCACCGTAGGGATGATGCCAGGTTTCCTCCAGACGTGATGCTTGGCGTTCAGGCAAAGAGTTCAATCTTGGTTTCATCAGACCAGAGAATCTTGTTTCCCATGGTCTGAGAGTCCTTTAGGTGCCTTTTGGCAAACTCCAAGCGGGCTGTCATGTGCCTTTTACTGAGGAGTGGCTTCCGTCAGGCCACTCTACCATAAAGGCCTGATTGGTGGAGTGCTGCAGAGATGGTTGTCCTTCTGGAAGGTTGTCCCATCTCCACAGAGGAACTCTGGAGCTCTGTCAGAATGACCATTGGGTTCCTGGTCACCTCCCTGACCAAGGCCCTTCTCCCCTGATTGCTCAGTTTGGCCGGGCGGCCAGCTCTAGGAAGAGTCTTGGTGGATCCAAACTTTTTCCATTTAAGAATAATGGAGGCCACTATGTTCTTGGGGACCTTCATTGCTGCAGAAATGTTTTGGTACCGTTCCCCAGATCTGTGCCTCGACACAATCTTGTCTCGGAGCTCTACAGACAATTCCTTCGACCTCATGGCTTGGTTTTTGCTCTGACATGCACTGTCAACTCTGGGACCTTTATATTGACAGGTATGTGCCTTTCCAAATCATGTCCAATCAATTGAATTTACCACAGGTGGACTCCAATCAAGTTGTAGAAACATCTCAAGGATGATCAATGGAAACAGGATGCACCTGAGCTCAATTTCGAGTCGCATAGCAAAGGGTCTGAATACTTATGTAAATAAGGTATTTCTGTTTTTTATATTTAATACATTTGCAGAAGTGTCTAAACCTGTTTTTGCTTTGTCATTATGGGGTATTGTGTGTAGATTGATGAGGGAAAAAATGTATTCAATGAATTTGAGAATAAGGCTGTAACATAACAAAATGTGGAAAAAGGGAAGGGGTCTGAATACTTTCCGAATGCACTGTATATCATGTCTCATTCACATCTAATAAAAATACACAGTTCATTCACTGCTTTTACTACACATTGTTACAGATTGCTAATTGCCACTTTAATAATTGATGAATCATTCTTTGAGGTTGACACAACATTATTTGACTGTGTATTTGCAGGATCCCCTTGCCCACCTGTCAACAGACATGATTGCCCGCTGCTATAATGTATTTTCCATTGTGCTGAAATACGCCGTGGACATGCTCACCTGGGACAAGGAGAACGAGCTGCCCCTGGGCCTGGAGCCTCCGTACGTACACACCCACACATGCACGCACACAGGAAGTAATTTGTGATCACGTCATGTTCTTTTTGGTCGTCATGACAACAAAATGATTTTCCTTTATAGCCAGTTAATATTCATGTATTTTTATTTCTCAGAGACCGAGGTGACACCTATTACTGCATGCTCTTCAATGACGAGGTCCACACCTACGAGCAAGTCATCTACACCCTCCAGAAGGCTGTCAACTGCACCCAGAAAGAAGCAGTCAGCTTCGCCACCACAGTAGACAGAGATGTGAGTGTTTTAATGACTAATGGCTTCGTGTTAGTGATGGGGGAAAAACATTTATAGTTACGTATTGCAATATCATTTTTTGATGATATTGTATCGATGTTTGACTCCCAAGTATTGATGCTAATGTAGGTAGGGTTAGCTAGCGCTAGTCGGCTGGCTGTACATGCGCCAAAACTCCGGTATTTTTCATCCTATATCTTGTTATCCATTTTCTTTAAAATAGTAAGCCAACATGTTTTCAGCACTTTTATTTCCCTGACTGATCAAAACTCATTTTCTCATGCTCTCTCGTCTCTCTGCAGCAGACATATAGTGAGCAATATCATCACAACATCATCACAATAAAATCGCAGTATCGAATCGCAATACATATGGAATCATGAGAATCGCAGTACATATCGCATCGGCACCCAAGTATCGCGATAATATCGTATCGTGTGGTCCCTGGCAATTCCCAGTCCTACTTCATATGTGTGTAATCATTCTCTTTACAGGGAAGGAAATCGGTGCGCTTTGGTGACTTTGCGTTCTGTGAGCAGGCCAAGTCAGTCATTGTGGTGAGTAGCCTGGTCTGGGGAGCTGTATGTATCTCATTGGAATCTCATGAGATGACAGATGCTCACATCCCACATCTGCCACCAATTAAACCATGTTAGTTTACAGTAATTTGTCATGAGTGTATATATTCATCTGTGTGTGCAGAGGAATACGAGTCGTCAGTCTAAGCCCTTGCGGGTCCAGGTAATGCACTCCTCGGTGGTGGCTCACCAGTGCTTCGCTCTCAAAGCCCTCCACTGGCTGGGCCACGTCATAGGATACTCAGGTCAGTCTCCTTCCTCTCTCCAAACTACATGAGAAGTATGTCTAACTGCCGTTGGATTGTACACTCCATATCCTCTTGAAATATAAAGAACTTTAACCCACAATCTTTTTGAAATGCCGCTCATAAGTGGTTTATTGGAGGGAAAATATGTTTTGGTCACGTCAGTCTTTACTTTTGCTACACATCCATGTTTGCTTCGTTTTTTAGTCCTTGTGTGTGTGTGCCCGTTGACAGCAGTGTGTACTCTCTGTGTGTTTGTGTGTAGATGCTCTGAGGAGGATCCTGTGTCAGGTGGGCCTGGAGAGAGGGCCAGAGGGAGAGAACTCCTCCCTGGTAGACACACTCATGCTCTGTGACTCCAAGATGTGGAAAGGTGAGGAAGAGGAAATGCATCCTTTTAGTTGTCCTGCCAGGGTTGGGGACACTTACATTTGAATTCAACTCAATAATAAATGGCAAATGTCTATTTACTTTGAGATTTGATTGAATTGGGATGGCATTGACTGACCCCAACCCTGTCTCCTGCAATGCACATAAAACATAAAGAACCCTTCCATAAGCACTCTGTTCTGACTAATACCTGTTTTCCAATCCAGGGGCCAGGAATGTTTACCACCAGCTCTTTATGAGCAGCCTTCTCATGGACCTCAAATACAAGAAGCTGTTTGCTATCCAGTTTGCAAAAGTAAGCCTCTTCTTTTGACCCTTGATTTGAAGGACCAGTATGGCCACCTACTGTAACACAGCTATGTGGAACGTCACAGTGCATTCTGTATTAGGAGAAGCGCTGGATGGGCTAATGTCAAACTGCTTCTCCAGCTGGCCCCCTTTAATGAGGAACTAATGTGTCAACATCACATCAGCAGGGCCGAGGACTTAGTCCTGATGTACATAAGTGCTAGCTCAATGTCTCATGTAAAAGTATGGTATAGCTATTGCAGAGGATTCGATACTGTCTTGAATTGAAGATTGATATGATGAAAGAATGTATTGTGTGAATGAGTTTTTCATCAAGATCATCCCATGAGTACTCTGAAAGAAACTTACACCATACCAATTCAGTCATATAAACACACACACTGCCAGTTTCCCAGACACACCTGAGCGGGTCTAGTCTTATCATAAGAGCAGATTGAGGGTGTGTTGGCACAAGGCCTGGATGGGGCGTTAACTGCATCCATCACATCCTTTAACCTGTCCTCCTGGGTGGCATAGCTGAGAGGACAGACGGCAGGCTTTACCTCTGATCTGCTTTCCTCTCAGCCTGCTTGGCATGTAACACAGCCCCACACACTCCCAGTCCCTGTCTGACCCCAAAATCCTAGGATGTCCGCTCTGCTCTCACACACACTCGGAGCCAAAGCTCTACAGGTCTCCTGAGCTTAACCTGAGAGCATAGATATGCACTCACTAGATCACATGAGCTAAGACTAGAAGCCAGGAGATTGGAAAAGATTGGCTGGCCAAAATCTTACATGGAGGAGCATTTAATCCAAACTTTGATTGGACACAATTGGTCTGAAGCTCTTCTGTGATTCTATATCTTAGCTTTCGGAGACCTGGGTGGTAAAGGGCTTCAGAAGCTTAACGGGGGAGAAGGATTAAGTTACCCTTAGACACTGATCTGAGGTCAGTTTTGCCTTCCTCCTCCCAAATGGTTAAGCTTACGATTTGGGGAGTAAGCTGATCCTAGATCTGTGTCTAGGGGTTACTTCTCCCTGGAGCTTAGAAAGGAATTGGGGGGAGTGAGGAGAGGGAAGGAGGGCACACGCCTTTGACCAAGAGGTGAATGTCCCCCTTGTCGTTTAGAATTACCGGCGCCTCCAGACAGATTTTATGGAGGATGATCACGAGCGTGTAGTCTCAGTGACCTCTCTGTCAGTTCAGCTCTTCACCGTCCCCACTATGGTGAGTAACCCCAACCCCACGCCTGACCACACACCTCCCAACACACACACCTTCTCTTCTTCTCTTTTCTTCCCCATGCCAACACCATTAGAATTATGAGCGCTTGCAGAGCGACTATGTGAAAGATGACCACGACAGGGAGTTCTCAGTCACTGACCTCTCCGTGCAAATGTTCACAGTGCCCTCCCTGGTGAGTACGGGCCACAGGGTCGGGGTGAAATGAGATGGTACCACCTGAGATGGGACGCATGCTGAAAACCACAGGGAATTTAGACTTATTGTGTATGATGTCACATCCATAGAGAGAAAGTATGGCCATCTAAATCATGGGTTCCCAAACTTTTTCACTCAGGGGGGCCCCCTTCCAGCATTGGGTAACATCCTGCGCACCCCCCCCCCTTGCACTTCTATACATTTTGCCATGTCTAATGTATTCATGTGATATTTGAGTGACTAAAAAATTACAACAACAAACATTAGCTGACATGGGCTAGTTGATCTGGACATTTCTGACAAGTTATAAATAGCTCTCTAAGGTATGCAATGACTAACATGACAAGAGGAACTGATGATGCACTACCAAATGTCAAAGTTGCACCTTGTGCATTCTACTATTACAACTTTCAACAGTAAGTTTAAAGCCAGACTAGGGCTGTGGCGGTCATGAAATGTTGTCATGATATGAAGAATCAATCAAATGTATTTATTAAGCCCCTTATGTTAGGCCCTGATCTGGCTATGCCATATGGCTGTGGGCTACACTAGTTCATTTAGCAGACAAGATTTGCTTAGAATTCCATGGCATTATTTTTTATTTTATAGTATGAAGAATACAATTGAACATAGCTGAATAAAATAGAAAGGATCTTTTCTCCAAACGATTTCCAAGGAAGTGAGCACATGCGGCTATTCTGTGTTGAGTGGTTAACAAAGAAACAGGTCCTCCTATATGCTTAATTTAAAATTATTTATAATAATATAATAATAATATGCCATTTAGCAGACGCTTTTATCCAAAGCGACTTACAGTCATGCGTGCATAATTTTTTTTTTTGTGTATGGGTGGTCCCGGGGATCGAACCCACTACCTTGGCGTTACAAGCGCCGTGCTCTACCAGCTGAGCTACAGAGGACCACATATTTATGCAACCTTAGTTGTGATACAAACGTTTGGCTATATGTTTTGATTTTTAATACAGTACATTCTAGGGTTGCATGATGCAACTCTAATGATGATTTGAAAAAAGTTGCATGAAAGGCATGCGCTCTGCTCTGTTTCTTGTGCAGGCTGCAGGCACTTCATCAGTCTCTTCATTGACAATTTGACAAGCACTTGATAATATTCTCACCAGGCCTCGAATTTCCCAGTGGCATCCCCTTGTGTGGCTGTAATGCCCCCTAAAAAATCCCAAGGGCTGAATATAATAATTATAATTCCCTTCTCCCGGCTGCCATGTACCAACGCAGCTCTCACTCGCATGGCTCTCTCAGATATCTCATTTCTTATTAGCCAATGCCCGTCACGTGATCGGGTCCTTCTCATAGACATCTCAGCTAAGAAGTAGGCTACAAGTGAAGACGGACACATTGGGGACGCAACAGCGCGCGTCCCTCTTATTGAATTCCGAGGCACATATTGAAGAACTGACCACATTTAGCCTACTTTTCATCAGCCAACAAGATGAGTAGGCCTAACGAACAGCAAAATCACTAGCCTATGTTAATCTACTATCCCCCATAGTACAAAAGTTGACCTATTTTGTTGGTCAACTTGTCCTGTGCAATAAATAAATATTCCAAACATACTCTGGGACAGTTGTGGGATGCGATAGATCCCACATTAATACAACCACTCGCATTAAAAACCTTTTAAAAGCAATTAGGCTGATGCAACGGATCAGAATGTTTAGCTTAAAATGTTGATAAACTATTAGGCTATTTCTTCACGTTATAAGCGCAGCAATGCGCACACAGCAGTAGGCTATAAGCGCAAATGTTCCAAAATGCAATCAATTATCGGGAAAACACTATTCTCAAAAGTGACCACAAATACGATTATGCATGTTATGCTTTATTATAAAGGTGTATTTTTATGGTGAAAATTATCTTCCAAACTTGAAACTCACGTGCCGCCTATGTATGCCAGTTAGGCTCTACACTGGTTGTAAAGCAGATGAATGTGCTTAATTTTAAGAAGTTATTTGGCCACTTTAGTTGTGATACAAACCTTATCAAAACATACAGGCCTATGGGCTAGGCTACATGAGGTCTGCGACTATGATTTGGAAAAAGTGGCCAAAAAAAAGCATGCACTGTTTCTTGCCTTACTGCACACGCTGGGCATCATTCACAAGTGACAGGCTAATATTGTCATCCATCAGACTATTCTTAATTTAATGTTGTCTTTACATATACTAAATAATATGTGTGAAATTAGTTTTGATTTAGAATGGACCATTATCATGCACCTGTCTCGGATTAGGGGCATGGGGGGGAAAAAAGACATGTCATGTATGCACTTAAATAGCGAATGGAGGACGCTTTTCCCGTGGTTCATTTTCATGCCAGCCAGTTAGGCTATACTCCTTTTGTAAAGGAAAGCAATGTGCTTAATATTAGGAAAGTTTATAAATAAATATACATTTACATTTTAGTCATTTAGCAGACGCTCTTATCCAGAGCGACTTACAGTTAGTGAATACATTTTTTTTTATATACTGGCCCCCTGTGGGAATCGAACCCACAACCCTGGCGTTGCAAACGCCATGCTCTATCAACTGAGCTACATCCCTGCCGGCCATTCCCTCCCCTACCCTGGACGACGCTGGGCCAATTGTGCGCCGCCCATGAGTCTCCCGGTCGCGGCCGGCTGCGACAGAGCCTGGATTCGAACCAGGATCTAGTGGCACAGTTAGCACTGCGATGCAGCGATGCAGTGCCTTAGACCACTGCGCCACTCAGGAGTTATATAGTAGGCCTAGCCTATAGAAAGGTGATGGGATCCTCCTCTTTTTTTTAAAAATAGAGACCATCAAAACTGTTTTCTCACGCAGTTGCATAACCTATAGAAATGTTGCGCAAAAAACATGAGCTCATAGGCTCTCATGAAGTGTTTTATTTGATTTTCGAAAACATTTGCATTGAAGTCGGAGTGATTAGAGGGACAATAGAGTGCTGAGTACCAGGCAGTTAGCAAGTTTGGTAGGCTACTAATAACCATCAGCAGCATCAGAGCTTGGAGAAACCTATTTACCATGACTAAACGGTCACATGGAATTTGACTGCGGTCATGACTCGTGACCGCCGGTCTGACGGTAATATGGTCACTGTAACAGCCCTAAGCCGGACTGAGTTCCTTTAAAAAAAAAAAAAAATGGGGGGAGGGGGGTCCCTGCCGACCTCAGTTTGGGAACCACTGATCTAAATCATGAGTGTCATCTTAATAGCTCCATTCTCAACGTTGGTTCCTTGAAAAGGGTGTGGCATGCTAAACTGATGTTAGATATTTGATTTTTCCTAACAACATTATACAGTCAGCATCCTGTTTCATGTCTTAATCACAATAACTATACCCATGTATTATAGAAATGAAAATGTTAAAGAATAGTATGTTATTCGAATTGTAGGCCAATGCTGTACTGTAGTTTAAAGTAATTGTCCAGTGTTTCCAGATTTCTACATTACCTATAATTGAACTCGTTTTCCTTCCAAAAAATTGTAATGAAGTATGTTAAAAAGCAGCATTTCTGTGTTGGATTGGTGTGGGCATACCCCAACAACAGAATGGTGTGGGCGTATACTGGTCATTAAAAATATTCACCCAAGTAGACTGCTGATTGGCCAGCTCCTCCTCCTCAGGAAGATGACATCATCCTCTGTTTGAGATATAATTTATGCTTTGGCCACGTAGGAGTGAGTATAGGATGAGTCAACAACATTATTTGGGTATGAGTTAACAGAATATAAACTTTTTAAAAGTGCGATTTTCACTGGACAGTTACTTTAAGGCTGTAGTATATTGTCATGTTTTTACATAGATTTGCCTAGATTGTGTGTAGTGATTATTTGACTCCAGAATGTCCTGCTACTTGAGGCCCCCTGAACCTCTTCCTTCCCGGCCCAGGCGCGCATGCTGATAACAGAGGAGAACCTGATGACCACCATCATCAGGACCTTTGTGGACCATCTGCGCCACCGCGACCTGCAGGGCCGCTTCCAGTTTGAGCGCTACACCGCCCAGCAGGCCTTCAAGTTCCGCCGCGTCCAGAGCCTCATTGGAGACCTCAAGTAAGCTGCATGCATGTGCACACACACACACACACACACTGGGCAATATAACAGTGTGTGTAGATTAGTTGAGTGAGTGTTGTACAAAGCCAGCATACTGACCACTGTGGAGTGTGTGTGTGTGTGTGTTTCTGAATGTGTTGTAAACAATGTTGCTGTGTGTGTGCAGATACGTCCTCATCAGTCGGCCCACAGAGTGGAGTGACCAACTCAGGGAGAAGTTCCTGGAGGGACTGGACACCTTCCTGGAGCTGTTCAAGTGTATGCAGGTAAGGACAGGTCACCAATAGTGGTGGGAGACATGGGGAGTCACAACCCCTCTGGGCATGATTGAGACTATGCAGGTCTGTGGAACAGAAAAAAATAAGATGGGTGGTAGACTAGCTAGCCTGCAGGAAAACTTACTTTCACCTGCCCAGTTCTTTCGCACCAGAGCAGATGGAGAAAATGAGACTAATAAGATCCATTCCCCTCAGGGCATGGACCCTGTGGTGAGGCAGGTGGGCCAGCACATAGAGATGGAGCCTGAATGGGAAGCAGCCTTCACCCTGCAGATGAAGCTCACACACATCATCTCCATGATGCAAGAGTGGTGCGCCACAGATGTGAGTGACTGGACGTGTACATGCACGTGTGTGTGTGTGCATAAGCACATGAACGCACACACACTCACTTTCTCTCTCACAAACTCTCACTCTCAAATGCTCACTCACTCACAAACACGCAGCCGGCTTCTCTCACTTGTGTTCCTATTGTTTCTTCCCCTGTGTGTGTGTGTGTGTGTGTGTGTGTGTGTGTATACAGGAGCGTGTGCTGATTGAAGCCTATAAGAAGTGCCTAACAGCACTTACACACTGCCACAGTGGCTTCACCGATGGAGAGCAGCCAATCACACTGAGCATTTGTGGACATTCTGTGGACACCATCCGCTACTGCGTCTCTCAGGAGAAAGTCAGCATCCACCTGCCTGTGTCCCGCTTACTAGCAGGTAGGACACACACACACACACACACAGCTGAATGACAAACCACTAATGCTTTGGCTATGATATTGATGGAGAAGAGTCTACACATTAAGATGGTCACTGCTGGTTTTCTGTTTAGGTCTCCACGTTCTCCTTAGTAAGATGGAGGTGGCCTACAGATTCCCTGAACAGCTTCCACTGGTAAGCATGCAGGAGTGTCTCCGTGTGTGGTTGTTACAGGTTCAGCTAGCCTTTGCAAAATGTGTGTTTTTGTGTGTCTTCTAATAAATCTCTCGTATGGTCCTCAGAGTGAGCTGAGCCCCCCCATGCTGATAGAACACCCCCTTCGCTGCCTGGTCCTCTGTGCCCAAGTGCACGCTGGGATGTGGAGGAGAAACGGCTTCTCATTGGTGAATCAGGTAAAAACGCCCCGTCCATCATTATTATCTTTCTTCCTCTGCGCTGTATATCAGAACTCACATGTTGTAAGTGTTGTTGTTCTTGTGGGGTTTATAATGAAGAGAGTTCATACTGTACTCTTGTTGCAGATCTACTACTACCACAATGTGAAGTGCAGAGTGGAGATGTTTGACAAGGACCTCATCATGCTGCAGGTCAGTTTGTTGTTTCAGCTAACAACCTAATGACGCTAACGGTCAACAACGTGTTACAGGCTTTAACAAGTGTTTGTGTGTTCACTCCAGGCCGGAGCTTCCATGATGGATCCCAACCACTTCCTGATGATAGTCCTGAGCCGCTTCGAGCTCTACCACATCTTCAGCTCCGCCGACTGCAGGAAGAGATACAACAGGGAGAACACCAACAAGGTCTGCTCTCTCACTGACAATGACAACTTAGTTTAGGCTTTTTACTCTGTTTGTACTCAGTTTAGGTGTGTGTGTCCATCTCTTGACTGACCTGACTCCCTGTGTCTCTGTTAGGACGTGGTCCAGCAGAACAACACTCTAATAGAGGAGATGCTGCACCTCATCATGATGGTTGTGGGTAAGTGCCCCACTATCCTACCGCTCACTAGGACTTGTTGCCTGGGGGTTGGGTGGTGTGTGTTTCATCATGTACTCGGAGCCTCTGTTTGACTTGTTTCCTTGTGTTAACGATGTTGGTAGAGTACCTGATGGGTATGCGTGTTTGTTGTGTCAGGTGAGCGTTTTGAGGCTGGTGTCGGCCAGGTGGAAGGCTGTGACCAGATCAAGAGGGAGATCATTCACCAGCTGTGTATCAGACCCATGGCCCACAGCGAGCTGGTCAAGGCCCTGCCTGAGAACGTAAGGCATTACTCCCCTTTCTCTCTCTTCCGTCTTTCCGTCTGCCTCTCTCTTGCGATCTTTTTCTCTATATTAGTCTATCTGGTAGCAGGGATTCAAGTTCTTCATCACTGCGATGGATTTCTGTCAGATTCTGATCAACTTGATTATCCCACCAGGGGGATATTCATTTGGTCATGTGCTTAAAAAGACAGTACATGAAAACACAAACTACACAAAATAATTCATAAAGTGCTATAGCTACACATTTAAAGTGAAAGTGCAATATGCTGTATACTGAAGGGACCAACAGACTATCTATTATACAGCCTAATGGCTGTTGGAATAAAATAGTCTCTTTCCACTTGTCCGGCTGCTGCTGTGACTGAATTTTGAGTGAAGGGAATGAGTACTGTCCTGTAAAGTGCTTTCAAGTTTTAGGAGGATGAGTTTTGTGTACAGGTTGGTGGCTGATTCTTGATCTATACCAATTATCCTTCCTGCTGTCTTAATCAAGCAGTGAAGCTTGACTTGGTCTTGCACTCGCATGTTTCCGAACACGCATATCAGACCAAAGGACAGCACACTCTGCAGGACAGATTTATAGAACATTTGTAAGATATGGTGGTCGACATTAAAATGGTTCAATTTGCATTAAAAAAAACATGATATTTTGCAATTTCTTTATCTTTGCAAAGGCACAGTCATTGAATTTCAGTTTGTCTATTTCGATTCCCAGGTACTTATGTGGTCACTCTATCGACTGATTTCCCCATTGATCTTCATAGGGGGGGGTGGAGTTTTGTTCCTTCTGAAATCGATTGACATCTCTTTTGTTTTCTTAACGTTTATTTCAAGAAAGTTATCTGCACACCACTGGACGAATGTTGCAGTTTCTCTGTCAACCTTGAAGAGAGGCTTGGTCTGTGTGGAGGAAACCTACAACAGCGGTGTCATCTGCATATTTAAAAAATGTGTGGGCTGCGTCAGAGGCTTGACAATCGTTTGTGTACTGTGTGTACAGTATCTGTGAAAGTACGCATCTATGAGGGGCTCCCTAAATGACGTGTGAGATTTGAGTAAACATGTTTGTTTTTTGGAGGGGGGGGGGTGATTATTTTGGGTTAAACACTCCAGGCCACACTTGAATGTCTAAAACAATAGAAAGTATGTAGAAATGATAATTGACCAAACAACTGCCTGTTTTCTGGGCCGCGAATTGATTTTGACAAACAAATCGGTCATACGTTTTCCAGACGATCTGAGATCAACTTAAGTTTCAGTCATGGGATTTTTTTGTTTGTTGCTTTAACCCACCTTTGTTATTTAGTCTCTGTTTCTCTCTCTCTCCTTCTTGCTCGCTCTGACTATATTTCTCTCTCACTCTCTCTCTCCCCTTCTCTCGCTCTCTCACTCCCTTTTTCACCACACGTAAGTTCAGGCTGACTGCCCGTCTGCAGTTTTCACTTGGAATATCCCTTGGAGTCATGGCCAACAATATTTAACTAGTGACATAAGCTGTCGTGGCATGGGCTTTGAATGCTCCCATTTCCCATGATCTACACACCATCTGGAGCTTTGGATGAGACGTTTTCACTGCAATTGGAAAAATCAGTATCTCTTTGAATACCCTGACACCTAGTGGTGAACCTAAGCAGTGCAGAAGATGTGCAAAAGCTAGTCTGTCTTGGCCTAATCTCAGTTAACCCAGAACTAAAACTTTGTGTAATTTGGTCATATGTTTATGTAGTCTGTCTACAAGAGATTAAGTACATTTGCACAAACTTTGGCTTGTGTTAGCCGGAACGCAGGTCAGCCTATCCTGTTTCTGTAGTGCGAGGAAGCTTGATGTATAAGCTTTTTGTACTTTTGGAACATTTCTGGGATCTTTTATTTCAGCTTATGAAACATGGGACCAACACTTCACATGTTGCGTTTTATTTTTGTTTAGTGTGTGTGTGTATATATAGATTGTTTTAAATGCGCGTAAAACTGCGGTAAATGTGTGCATTTTCCTATTTCAAATATATATTGTTCAAAACAAGCTGTTCATTTACTTACTACTCTGCCCGTCAGTGTGACTGCCAGCAGCAGCAGCTCCGCCTCTGTGGGTGCATAGGCCGTGCAGAAATCATTTGGATTGTTTTTGCCAGCAATTTGCTTTGAGGGGGAACTGCCCTAATGAAATTGCTGGATTTCATAGCATAAATTATAACCACACAAAGTAAATGGACTGTCATGCTGCTTTGTTGACAAGTCCATCCACCTTGCGCCCTGGGTATTCAGCCAATCAGCCGCCACTGCACTCTAACCACAAGGCCACTGAGAGATTAAGCTTGGCCCAAGTGACAGCTACACACAGCAAGAAACAAGGCTATTATAAAGGCAACCCCAGCTCTAATATGTCACTTTAATCTATCCCTTCTTTAGGAGAACAAGGAGACTGGTATGGAGAGAGTGATCGACTGTGTTGCTTCGTTTAAGTAAGTAGCTTTCTCTAGTTGTTTGTTACATGATGTTTAAACTGACCTCCTGACCACTCAGGTTATTAATGTGAAAGAGTTTGTTCATGGTGACTTGGCTGAATAAAGATCAGACAATTAGATATGTATGATGCGCCCATATTAGATATGTATGATGCACCTATTGTGTCCAGTTGTGTAACATGTTGGTCACTCATGTCCTTTGTGCCCACAGGAAGCCTGGCGTGACAGGCAGAGGGCTGTATGAGCTCAGGCCAGAGTGTGCCAAGCAGTTCAACCTCTACTTCCACCACTACTCCCGAGCTGACCAGTCCAAGGCAGAGGAAGCTCAGAGAAAGCTGAAGAGACAGAATGGAGAGGACACGGGTAAAGAGTCTCAAAGAGAAAACACTTGCCTTGTATACATGAAGCACATCTTAAAATGGAATTGATTATGTAATTATTGCAGACATTGTGGTGATTGGTTGTGGTCTTTCAGCTGTCTCTATCAAGGGCTCCTTTTTGTTTGTTGTAGCCCTGCATCCTCCGGTGCTACCCCTGTTCTCCCCGCTGTTTGCCAGCCTGGTGAACATTCTGCAGTGTGACGTGCTGCTTGGAATGCTGGGAGCCGTGCTGCAGTGGGCCGTGGAGCCCAGCGGAGGGCACTGGTCTGAGTCCATGCTGCAGAGGGTGAGGGGGACCAGGACCACACTGTGCGTGCGCGCGCGTGTGTGTTAGAGAAAGTGTGTTAGTGTCTTACTATGTTTATTTGTAGGCCCATTAGAAGCATCTCTGTCCATAACCGTATGTCTGTTTAGGTACTGCACCTAATAGGTATGGGTCTACTTGAGGAACAGCAGCAGTTAGAGAACAGCAGTGAAGACAATGACGTCTCTTTCAACTTCACCCTCAAAATCTCCCGTAAGTCAGTCCCGCCTAGCCTGGGTACCAGTCTGAGTTATCGTTCCAGTCCTTGTCATGCTAAACATGACACTGAGTACAGGGAGTGAAATGTTAGCCTGAAATCCAGAACCTGTTTTGCTAACTCTCTCACTCTGAAACTATCTGCAAAACTGAACGAGAGAAATCTTAGGGATGTTGCTCTAAGAATAATATGGTCATTCAAACTGTCAAACTTGACCTGCACACTGTCAAGGTTGACATTTTGAATGACCCATCTTTTTTGTTGTTGTTGCGACATTAGTAAGATTTCCATGACTTTTTAACAAAGTGTATGTAACTGTCCAGTATGTGGGTGTATCCTAGGCCCAGGGGAAGCCCCCAGTAACACAGCCAGTGTCCTGGCCCTCCTGGAGAACCTACAGAACGCCCATCACCTGGAGGTCCACAAGGACATGATCCGCTGGATCCTCAAGGTGGGTCAACATTATTACAACCTCCCCTACCAATGCAACTCTCATAGAAGACACCTAGTGTTTGAGTTGGTACACTGCAATAATGTACATGCCATGGCCACCAGGAGGCAGCATAGGGCAGCATGCAACTAGTGGTCATCATGACAAATGCATATCCATGATTACTTCTGTCAGATAAAATAGAAAGATGTATTCTTGTGTTTTATATTGATTTCTCACTTTTTGACGAGGTAATATTATGAGGTAATATTATTGTGTCCCTGTGCAGACGGTGGCCAGCATTAAGACGATACGGGAGCTGACCGCCTTCACCTGTACAGTGACTGCCAGCGGGAGCCACGGTCAGGAAGAGGTGGGTCTAGCACATCTAAGAGGAGTTGCACCTAGTGGCATTTATTTAGTTTCTCATGAATTGAATAGAAAAATATATTGCATCTGTGTCTTCCCTTCCTACAGATGGTGTGTGACAAGGACAAGGCAGAGAGGAAGAGGAAGATGGAGATGGCTCGCCTGCGCAGGGAGAAGATCATGGCCCAGATGTCAGAGATGCAGAGACACTTTATCAATGAGAACAAGGAGCTGTTCCAGCAGAGTCTAGAGGAGCTGGATGCCTCCACCTCTTCCTCACTGGAGCACAGGTACTGACAACACACACACACACACACACCCCACCACACAAACAAACTTGTATTTCACCGCTCAATCGCCACCCTAAACTCAATCAAACTCTATAAGCTGTCTCTCACCTGCCCCCCTCTCTCTCCTGCAGCCCCACTTCATCAGACGCAGCCCTGGTGTGTGTGGGCCCCAGGCGGTCTTGTCCCAGGGAGAAGAGGCAGGTGGTGACGTGTATCCTGTGCCAGGAGGAGCAGGAGATCAGGGCTGACGGCAAGGCCATGGTGCTGGCTGCCTTCGTCCAGCGCTCCACCGTCATGTCCAAGAACCGCAAAAGACCGCCGCACGACCCCGGTGAGAGAGAAACTGAAGGGCCTTAGGTCACAGATGAGTAGAAGTTGCCCTTAGGTACAGATCTAGGATCAGCGTACCTTCCCTCAAGTCCTAACCTTAACTATTGGGTGGAGGAAATGTTAAACTGACCTTAGATCAGTGTCAAGAGGCAACTTCATCCTACCCCCTAGACCACAGATTGGAGGATGTATAGTCTTTATTTGTTTTTTTGTCCGTGAATGATATACTAGCATTGCTTGACTTACCTGCTTATGTTTTCCAGAGCATTACGACCCTCTCTTCATGCACCCTGACCTGTCGTTTGGCACCCACACAGGCAGCTGTGGCCATATCATGCACTCTCACTGTTGGCAGAGGTGAGCCAGACTCAGGGTTCTACAATACACTGGGCATACAGAGCTGGGGCAGGGCACTATGACACATACAGGGGGTTGTGTAAAATGGAAGGTTTGGATCTTGAGGTGGAAGGATTCAGTGGGCCTGTAGAGTTGACTGTTGGTTGGGTATCTGGAAAATAAACTCAATAGTTCTTATCTCCTGTGTGTGTGTGCAGGTACTTTGAGGCGGTGCAGGCCAAGGAGCAGCGGCGTCAGCAGCGACTGCGTGTCCACACCAGCTACGATGTGGGGAACGGGGAGTTCCTGTGTCCGCTGTGCGAGTGCCTCAGTAACACCGTCATTCCCCTGCTCCCCCGCGCCAAGGGCTCCAGCAGGTACCCAATCACACTATATTATAATAATATATGCCTTTTTAGCAGTCGCCTTTACCCAAAGCGACTTAGTCATGCTGCATACATTTTACTTACGGGTGACCCCTGGAATCGAACCCACTATCCTGGTGTTGCAAGCGCCATGCTCTACCAACTTAGCTACAGAGGACACGCGCGTGTTAATTTGGGGTGCATCTCTCATAGTCTAATTTGGTTTCCTTTCCTTTATCTGTGCTCATCTGCTTTCACCTATCCATCATTTTCAGAAGGCCTATAGTGAATTCTCAATGGGAATTTGCTTTCACCCGTCCAGTTCCTTCAGATCAGTGCAGAGGAAGGGGAAGAGAGGAAGCCACTTAAGACTACTGAGATGCACCCTCGGTCAGGAAACCACACTTGACTGGTAGTGGATACAGGATCACAGCGACCACACATTGATTAGTGGTTGTCACGTGATGGAACCCCCTCTGGTCCCTCGCCTCTCCTTCACCTCCAACCAGTCCACCCCCCCCAGTTAAACCAGTTTAGTTCCCTTCAAGAGTTCTGACGTCAACAGTACCACTTCACTCTCACACGAGGTCAAGGCTCACTCGGCACTAAGGCTCAGTCGTCACCTCCAAAACTACAGAGGTCATTCAGACAATTTACACTTTCACATAGAGGGCTGATAAAAGTTTTCAACGATTTAAAAGAAAAAAGACCATGCTAGCGAATGTATGTTTTTGGTTATTTTTATACAATTCAGGTCATTATTGTAAAATAAAATATGTTCTGATAAATATTAATCAAAGAATGGCTCTGATGCATCTGCACTGAGTGTAGAAAACATTAGGAACTGCTCTTTTCTTGACATCGACTGACCAGGTGAATCCATTTGAACGCTATGATCCCTTATTGATGTCAGTTGTTAAATCCACTTCAATCAGTGTAGATGAAGGGGAGGAGACAGGTTAAAGAAATATTTTTAAGCCTTGAGACAGTTGAGACATGGATTGTGTATGTGTGCCATTCAGCGGGTGAATGGGCAAGACAAAAGCTTGAAGTGCCTTTGAACGGGGTATGGTAGTAGGTGCCAGGCACACCAGTTTGTGTCAAGAACTGCAATGCTGCCGGGTTTATCACGCTCAACAGTTTCCCGTATGTACAGTGGGGAGAACAAGTATTTGATACACTGCCGATTTTGCAGGTTTTCCTACTTACAAAGCATGTAGAGGTCTGTAATTACAAAAATCCAGAAAATCACATTGTATGATTTTTAAGTAATTAATTTGCATTTTATTGCATGACATAAGTATTTGATCACCTACCAACCAGTAAGAAAAGCAGAACTTAATAGCAATTACAGAGATCATACGTTTCCTGTAGGTCTTGACCAGGTTTGCACACACTGCAGCAGGGATTTTGGCCAACTCCTCCATACAGACCTTCTCCAGATCCTTCAGGTTTCGGGGCTGTCGCTGGGCAATGCGGACTTTCAGCTCCCTCCAAAGATTTTCTATTGGGTTCAGGTCTGGAGACTGGCTAGGCCACTCCAGGACCTTGAGATGCTTCTTACGGAGCCACTCCTTAGTTGCCCTGGCTGTGTGTTTCGGGTTGTTGTCATGCTGGAAGACCCAGCCACGACCCATCTTCAATGCTCTTACTGAGGGAAGGAGGTTGTTGGCCAAGATCTCGCAATACATGGCCCCATCCATCCTCCCCTCAATACGGTGCCGTCGTCCTGTCCCCTTTGCAGAAAAGCATCCCCGAAGAATGATGTTTCCACCTCCATGCTTCACGGTTGGGATGGTGTTCTTGGGATTGTACTCATCCTTCTTCTTCCTCCAAACACGGCGAGTGGAGTTTAGACCAAAAAGCTCTATTTTTGTCTCATCAGACCACATGACCTTCTCCCATTCCTCCTCTGGATCATCCAGATGGTCATTGGCAAACTTCAGACGGGCCTGGACATGCGCTGGCTTGAGCAGGGGGACCTTGCGTGCGCTGCAGGATTTTAATCCATGACGGCGTAGTGTGTTACTAATGGTTTTATTTGAGACTGTGGTCCCAGCTCTCTTCAGGTCATTGACCAGGTCCTGCCGTGTAGTTCTGGGCTGATCCCTCACCTTCCTCATGATCATTGATGCCCCACGAGGTGAGATCTTGCATGGAGCCCCAAACCGAGGGTGATTGACCGTCATCTTGAACTTCTTCCATTTTCTAATAATTGCGCCAACAGTTGTTGCCTTCTCACCAAGCTGATTGCATATTGTCCTGTAGCCCATCCCAGCCTTGTGCAGGTCTACAATTCTATCCCTGATGTCCTTACAGCTCTCTGGTCTTGGCCATTGTGGAGAGGTTGGAGTCTGTTTGATTGAGTGTGTGGACAGGTGTCTTTTATACAGGTAACGTGTTCAAACAGGTGCAGTTAATACAGGTAATGAGTGGAGAACAGGAGGGCTTCTTAAAGAAAAACTAACAGGTCTGTGAGAGCCGGAATTCTTACTGGTTGGTAGGTGATCAAATACTTATGTCATACAATAAAATGCAAATTAATTACTTAAAAATCATACAATGTGATTTTCTGGATTTTTGTTTTAGATTCCGTCTCTCACAGTTGAAGTGTACCTATGATAAAAAATTACAGACCTCTACATGCTTTGTAAGTAGGAAAACCTGCAAAATCGGCAGTGTATCAAATACTTGTTCTCCCCACTGTATCAAGAAAGGTCCACCACCCAAAGGACCTCCAGCCAACTTGACACGACTGTGGGAAGCATTGGAGTCAACATGGGCCTGCATCCCTGTGGAACGCTTTCAACACCTTGTAGAGTCCATTGGGGCTGTTCTGAGGGCAAAAGGGGGTGCAATGCAATATTAAGATGTTCCTAATGTTTTGTACACTCAGTGTATACCAACAGTTTTGTTTTTAGCATGTCAATGGCCAGCCCATATTTGTATGCTTATCAATAAGTGTGACAATGAGTAGGTCAGTGCATTGTCCAGTCCGCTTCAATATTTCCTCTCTCCAGTTGTGAGCAGCCTGGTCTGGGTCAGTGGCTAAAGACCAGTGGTCAGCAGATCAAGGCCATGCACTCTGCCCACAGGAAACTCCAGCCCATCAGTGAGTATTCCTTCCTGCACAGATCATTCTTATCATAGCACCACCCATTCATACTGTAACATAACACCAGACATGCTCCGCCATGTCTGTTTTAATTCATCATTAGCGATCACAATATATCAGCATTGAGATGAAAGTGTTTCTGAAGTGATACGACAGAATGTGTCTATGCATTCATGTTATGTCACTAAACTGTGTGATGTGTGTGTAGGTGTTGACGCTGTTGAAGAGACGGTAGAAGAGGGGTGCCCTGCCCCTGAGGGTTTCAGAGTAGACCACACTCCCACGTAAGTGACTGCTCATGACTGACACTGTAACCCGAGTTATGAGAGAGAGCTATTTGGGTGCAGGGCAGGTGACGACGTCTCAGAGTAAACCAAGACATCTTTGGGTTAGTTTGTGGTTTCCTCTGATTTGGATTTTGTTCACCTACCCGTCTCTTCAGGAGTCCCTACTCCAGCACCATAAAGGAGATGCTGACAACGTTTGGGACAGCGACCTACAAAGTTGGCCTTAAGGTGCACCCCAATGAGCAGGACCCCCGCGTCCCCATCATGTGCTGGGGCAGCTGTGCCTACACCATCCAGTCTATAGGTAATGCACAGACACACACACACAGACACACACACAGACACACACAGACACACACACAGACACACACACAGACACACACAGACACACACACAGACACACACAGACAGAAAACAAGATGAATTAAAAGAATGAGAGAACCAACATAGTTTAAGGTGATATAAAACCCATATCAAAGGTGCACATGTGGGATTGAGTTAAGTCTAGTGACTGTATTACCGTCACACCGGCAGTCATACTTTTAAAACTCACCTCACTGTGATGATCAATTTGAAGAAAGAACTTCAACAGCAGGTTGAAACGGTGTAAAACATAGTTGTTTCAAAGCCGAACACAATGAAATGAAATGTACTGCGCTTTCTACAGTGATGATTAATTCAAAACGCTTATGAGCCCAAGCCCGAAAAAAAATTAATTTGATAAAAATTATCACTGTGCCGTTATACAATACATAGACTACTGCATGTTACACATGGAAGAAAAACATAAAACAAAACTGATTTTAAAATGTCTTTGGTACATAATTGGTCTAGCCTGTACTCCAAAAGTAAACAAATCCTGCCCATTTGATAATGGGCCATTCTAAATCGAACCTAATTTGACATATTAGTAAAGACAAGATTCAATTGAGAATAGTCTGATGGATGAAAATATGATGACTTGATGAGAGAACAGCTGTGCAGCCTGAGGCAAGGAACAAGGCGCAAGCTTTTTTTGCTACTTTCTCAAATCATCAATAGCCTATCTTTGCACCATGCAGCCCATGAGTGTTTTGATTTCTAAGACCTAAGGTTTGTATCAATCACAACTAATATTGCCAAATAACTCTCAATCAAGCATATAGGACCTGTTTCAAATGATCACTTTTACGCTCAACATATCCACTTCATATGCACACTCGCTCTGTAATGGGAAAAATATCCTTTCTATTTTATTCAGTTAAGTTCAATGATATTCTTCTTACTATAAAATCAGATAAAATAAAATAATGTCATGGGACTTTTAAGCATATCTTGTCAGCTAAAAGCCTACAGCCTACGGTATGGAGCATAGCCAGATAACATAGGCCTACAGTAGGCCAACTCATATTCTGTTCTTCTGAAATACGTTCTCTTCATATCATAATGTTTATTTAGACCTGACTACAAGAAATAATGAATTATTGTGATGGTGTAAATTCAATGTATTCATTAGACTTTTTTAAATGTAGATGTTCCAAAGATGTGCATCAGTGGCTTGTATGCATGGAGGCCTGGAGATGCTAAATGTGTTTATGTTAATTAACAGTAAATTACCGTGAGACCGGCAGTCTTTTGAATGACAATAACCGGCTGACAAAATGTCATGACCGCCACAGCCCTAGTTCTTCGTTATTTAATGGGTCAATTCATACGTTTCAAATGCTGAGAATGGTCCACAGATGTCCAAACACAACCAGAGCATAGACTCCCTTGTTGTGATGTTCAACTGACTTTTTTATTTCATTTTTCATTTTGCAGAGCGACTGTTGGTGGACGAGGAGAAGCCTTTATTTGGAAGTTTGCCTTGTAGACAGGTAAACGACGACAACCTCTCCTTCTAACCTATGAGTCAGTGGACAGGAGTCTTATAGGAAGTAGTGTTATGTGGAGAGGTGCTAAGACATATTTGACACTGGGGTTTGTGTGTGCAGGATGACTGCCTGAGCTCCCTTGCCAGGTTTGGCTCAGCGTGTTGGACTGCAGCCTCTCAGCCCTCTGTGCAGGGCCACTTCATAAGACTGGTAGCAGGTAGGGCAGACACTGTCAACAGGCGGCTGCAGGACCAGTAGGCTGGCCTTTTCAGTGCCTGAATTCAAATTCACATGTGTTAATGTTGCATATGTTGAGGCTTTTTTTGGTCTAGGGATTTGAGTTTTATAGTTACATTGATGGAATGTGTGTGTTTCTGTAGCATTAATTCCAGACCCCCAGGTGGAGACCTCTCCCTGTATCCTGGACATAGACATGTTGCACCTGCTGGTGAGTGCCCCCCCCCCCGAGCGACTACATATCCGCAAAGACCTCAAATGATCATCAACACATCAATAATACCATCAGCCATACAGACATGCATGACAAGTGGCATATCAGGTCTCTGGGCTCCCAGATCATAATCAAACCCATTGTTGACTCTTACCATAAAACCTTTTACATCGTGTATAAGTGTAAAGTCAACACCGATCCCTCTCTCAGGTGAGTGTGGTGCTGTCCTACGGATCTGTCCACTCCCAGGACTCGTCAGGGCTGAGTGTGGACGCTGTCCAGCTGCACCTCTTCCACCTCATCACTGTGGCTCACATGGTCCAGATACTGCTCACGTCAGGCCCAGGTAAGAAGAGAGCGCACCCTACACCTGGACAGGGTGTGTGAAAATGTGTCTGCATGCATATTAAAGTTCTCTCAACACCAGCTAAGATCATACCTTTGGATAGTTGAAGAGAGAGTAGTTACAAGTCGTTGGAAGTTAACCACTGTCAAATGGAAAACATGTTTGTATGGCATAGAGAAAGGAACAAACATGTACATTCTGTGCGTCAACAGAGGAGGTGACCATGGAGCAGGAGAGTGAGGGAGCAGAGAGGGAGGAGGAGGAGGCCATCTGCTGTCTCTACAACACCCTCAGAACACACCTGGGCAGGTGAGGCAACACTGGGAACTCCCCAGAATACACACTCACCTACCCTGTCCACCAAGCAGCCATCTTTTCCTCCGTATCGTCATGGTAATACACGTTGTGCTTAAACCCATGCTGTGAGTGTGGTTTATAATGTGTGGTGTGTGTGTGGTTGACAGTTCCCTGCCTGAGGTGGGCTCTGGTTGGCACCTGTGGCGTTGTGTGAAGACTGGCATCCTACCCTACCTGAGAGGAGCAGCACTGTTCTTCCACCACCTTAACGGAGTTCCTACACCCCCAGAGCTGCATGGTAACTACAACATATAGTGAGGTGAAAAAAGTATTTGATCCCCTGCTGATTTAGTACGCTTGCCCACTGACAAAGACATGATCAGTCTATAATTTTAATGGTAGGTTTATTTGAACAGTGAGAGACAGAATAACAACAAAAAAATCCAGAAAAACGCATGTCAAAAATGTTATAAATTGATTTGCATTTTAATGAGGGAAATAAGTATTTGACCCCCTCTGCAAAACATGACTTAGTACTTGGTGGCAAAACCCTTGTTGGCAATCACAGAGGTCAGACGTTTCTTGTAGTTGGCCACCAGGTTTGCACACATCTCAGGAGGGATTTTGTTCCACTCCTCTTTGCAGATCTTCTCCAAGTCATTAAGGTTTCGAGGCTGACGTTTGGCAACTCGAACCTTCAGCTCCTTCCACAGATTTTCTATGGGATTAAGGTCTGGAGACTGGCTAGGCCACTCCAGGACCTTAATGTGCTTCTTCTTGAGCCACTCCTTTGTTGCCTTGGCCGTGTGTTTTGGGTCATTGTCATGCTGGAATACCCATCCACGACCCATTTTCAATGCCCTGGCTGAGGGAAGGAGGTTCTCACCCAAGATTTGATGGTACATGGCCCCGTCCATCGTCCCTTTGATGCGGTGAAGTTGTCCTGTCCCCTTAGCAGAAAAACACCCCCAAAGCATAATGTTTCCACCTCCATGTTTGACGGTGGGGATGGTGTTCTTGGGGTCATAGGCAGCATTCCTCCTCCTCCAAACACAGCGAGTTGAGTTGATGCCAAAGAGCTTGATTTTGGTCTCATCTGACCACTACACTTTCACCAGTTCTCCTCTGAATCATTCAGATGTTCATTGGCAGACTTCAGACGGCCCTGTATATGTGCTTTCTTGAGCAGGGGGACCTTGCGGGCGCTGCAGGATTTCAGTCGTTCACGGCGTAGTGTGTTACCAATTGTTTTCTTGGTGACTATGGTCCCAGCTGCTTTGAGATCATTGACAAGATCCTCTCATGTAGTTCTGGGCTGATTCCTCACCGTTCTCATGATCATTGGAACTCCACGAGGTGAGATCTTGCATGGAGCCCCAGGCCAAGGGAGATTGAAAGTTATTTTGTGTTTCTTCCATTTGCGAATAATAGCATCAACTGTTGTCACCTTCTCACCAAGCTGCTTGGCGATGGTCTTGTAGCCCATTCCAGCCTTGTGTAGGTCTACAATCTTGTCCCTGACATCCTTGGAGAGCTCTTTGGTCTTGGCCATGGTGGAGAATTTGGATTCTGATTGATTGATTGCTTCTGTAGACAGGTGTCTTTTATACAGGTAACAAGCTGAGATTAGGAGCACTCCCTTTAAGAGTGTGCTCCTAATCTCAGCTCGTTACCTGTATAAAAGACACCTGGGAGCCAGAAATCTTTCTGATTGAGAGGGGGTCAAATACTTATTTCCCTCATTAAAATGCAAATCAATTTATAAAAAATGTTACCTGCGTTTTTCTGGATTTTTTTGTTGTTATTCTGTCTCTCACTGTTCAATTAAACCTACCATTACAATTATAGACTGATCATTTCTTTGTCAGTGGGCAAACGTACAAAATCAGCAGGGGATTAAATACTTTTTTCCCTCACTGTACATGCGCACGCACACCCAGGGCTGGCACGGTAATTGTATAATTGTGTAACCGACGATTATGGATGAAGACCTAAAATAAAATAACTCCCGTAACCGTTTAATCCATCAATTTTAAATAATATTTTCTACTTTATTTTTAAGTAGTAGATATATTTTACACAATAGCGGTAGTGTAAATGAATGATTATGAACAATTTTGCTTCCTTAATCTGTCTAGATATCCAACTGTTTCCATCTCCTCCCAACGCACACTCTCTCCTTCAAAATGCACTCCCTTTGATGCTATAGCTAGCATTATCTGTACCAGCTACAGTGCGAGTAATTCTCAGGTTTGTAAAGGTGTAAAAAGATGCTAGAATCCGACCTGAATCACCACTCTGTCTGCTTGGTGAGTGTGGACATTTTATAAACGAAAGTGAATCGGCAATGTTATAAAAACCGAAGTTGAAATCCACTAAGTTCGCAAACGTTAAGGGCTCGATTCAATCCATTTCGCCGAAGTTCAGCGCTATAGCGCACTTACAATTTTAAATGGAATTTTCGATTGAGCCGACATGCAGCATTTACCGTGAATGCAGTCTCCGTGAACGTGGGAACATTGCCTTTAAATGTCAGTCGCACTATAGCGCTGAACTTTGGCTATATGGATTGAGTCGAGCCCCAAGTTTGTATGCATGACCCAAAGGCATGACCACTGCGTGATAGATTGTTTACTTTGGTTGCTAGGCAATACAACACCCCACTGGCAGTGAGTGGGCCACTGCTGCAGCAGCAGAGAGGAGGGGAGAGAGGAGAGACAATTAGCGTGCCTTAATTTTTCAGTTCGAACTGTTATACAGTGCCTTGCAAAAGTATTCATCCCCCTTGGCGTTTTTCCTATTTTGTTGTATTACAACCTGTAATTTAAATGGATTTTTATTTGGATTTCATGTAATGGGCATACACAAAATAGTCCAAATTGGTGAAGTGAAATGAAAGAAATAACTTGTTTCCAAAAATTCTAAAAAATAAATAACGGAAAAGTGTTGCGTGCATATGTATTCACCCCTTTTGCCATGAAGCCCGTAAATAAGATCTGGTGCAACCAATTACCTTCAGAAGTCACATAATTAGTTAGATTGCACACAGGTGGACTTTATTTAAGTGTCACATGATCTGTCACATGATCTCAGTGTATATATACACCTGTTCTGAAAGGCCCCAGAGTCTGCAACACCACTAAGCAAGGGGCACCACCAAGCAAGCGGCACCATGAAGACCAAGGAGCTCTCCAAACAGGTCAGGGACAAAGTTGTGGAGAAGTACAGATCAGGGTTGGGTTATAAAAAAATATCAGAAACTTTGAACATCCCACGGAGCACCATTTTTAAATCCATTATTTTAAAAAATTGAAAGAATATGGCACCACAACAAACCTGCCAAGAGAGGTCCGCCCACCAAAACTAATGGACCAGGCAAGGAGGGCATTAATCAGAGAGGCAACAAAGAGACCAAAGATAACCCTTAAGGAGCTGCAAAGCTCCACAGCAGAAATTTGAGTATCTGTCCATGGGACCACTAAGCCGTACACTCCACAGAGCTGGGCTTTACGGAAGAGTGGCCAGAAAAAAGCCATTGCTTAATGAATAAAATAAGCAAACAAGTTTGGTGTTCGCCAAAAGGCATGTGGGAGACTCCCCAAACATATGGAAGAAGGTACTCTGGTCAGATCAGACTAAAATGGAGCTTTTTGGCCATCAAGGAAAACGCTATGTCTGGCGCAAACCCAACACCTCTCATCACCCCGAGAACACCATCCCCACAGAGTGAAGCATGGTGGTGGCAGCATCATGCGGTGTGGATGTTTTTCATTGGCAGGGACTGGGAAACTGGTCAAAATTGAAGGAATGATGGATGGTGGCTAAATACAGGGAAATTCTTGAGGGAAACCTGTTTCAGTCTTCCAGAGATTTGAGACTGGGACGGAGTTCATCTTCCAGCAGGACAATGACCCTAAGCATACTGCTAAAGCAACACTTGAGTGGTTTAAGGGGAAACATTTAAATGTCTTGGAATGGCCTAGTCAAAGCCCAGACCTCAATCCAATTGAGAATCTGTGGTATGACTTAAAGATTGCTGTACACCAGCGGAACCCATCCAACTTGAAGGAGCTGGAGCAGTTTTGCCTTGAAGAATGGGCAAAATCCCAGTGGCTAGATGTGCCAAGCTTATAGAGACATACCCCAAGAGACTTGCAGCTGTAATTGCTGCAAAAGGTGGCTCTACAAAGTATTGACTTTGGGGGGGTAAATAGTTATGCACGCTTAAGTTTTCTGTTTTTTGTCTTATTTCTTGTCTGTTTCACAATAAAAAAATATTTTGCATCTTCAAAGTGGTAGGCATGTTGTGTAAATCAAATGATACAAACCCCAATTTTTTTTATTCCAGGTTGTAAGGCAACAAAATAGGAAAAATGCCAAGGGGGGTGAATACTTTCGCAAGCCACTGTAACGGTGACTGTGGTTAATTCCACGATAGGCACAGCTCTACACACACACACACACACACACACACACACACACACTTGAATATAAGTGTATCTCTCACTCACTCTTACATTATTTTACTGATCTTTGAACACATACACTGTACCAAGCAGAGCCATACTGTTGATGTTCACTCTGTCTCTTCTAGCTCTGTGTCCTGGTCAGTGGGAGGTGCTGTGTGGATACCTCAGTCTGCCCTCCAACCTGCTTCAGCTTTACCACAGTCAACAGGAGCTACTGGAGCCATTACTGCATGGGTAAGTGTCTCTCTTGCGCGCCAGTAACCTGTCTTTTCTCCTCTTGTATCCTCTGAATGGTTCAGAAGTGCCAGCTACATGGCTGATTTGATGTACTGTATGTCATAGTCACACTATGTGATGGGGGAAAGTTTCTTTAATTTAGTATCCTCCTGTCCTGTAGGTGGTGCTCTCACCCAAGTCTACGACAGACCCTTCAGGGAGGTGGTGTTCTCGTGAGGTCAGTGCTGCTATTTTACTGTCTGATATGATGGGTGGAAAACTCTGATTACTTAGGTTGGATATTGGTATAAATGATTTTGTGTGGTACAGTGTTAATTTTGGCAGCTATTTTCGTTTGTCTTTATGACTAAAATACCTTTTAGTCTTAGTCACATTTTAGTCATTTCATACTTCTTAGTTTATCAGTCCACTAAAACTCTGGACAATTTTAGTGTAGTTTTGCCAGTCATTATAGTCGCATATTAGTAAATGCATTTTTTTCTTCATGAAATAAATAGTATTTACCTTTTAACTTCCATCATATGCACATTAAAGGTACTATGTCTAACTTTGCTTCCCCCTTGAGAGAAAGCTAGGCGAATTGCAACAACACTTAGGCTGAATATAAAAAACTCGGCCCCCTCCCCCGCATCCCATTTCCCGGCAACACGGTGGAGACTCGCGCTGGAGTCTTTGTACTTTTAGTTTGGTCCACCAGCTTCAAACAGCTGAAAATAGTTAGTTATTGAAAATATATTTCACTGTGATTTTAGATGGTACAATGATTCTCTACACTCTCAAGTGCTTGTTTTCTCACAATAATTTAAATTGAGTGAACAGTGGCAGAGCGATTTCTACATGTTGGACGCCTGCCCGTCTGCCATCTTCTGTTTATGCTCGAGGATCTGCCATCTTCTGTTTACTACCCAAGTAGTTGCCATACCAAGTGGTGATGCAGCCAGTCAAGATACTCTCAGTGGTGCAGCTGTATAACTTTTTGAGGATCTTAGGGCCCATGACAAATCTTTTCAGCCTCCTGAGGGGGAAGAGGCGTTGTCGTGCCCTCTTCACGACTCTGTTGGTGTGTTTGGACAATGATAGCTCCTTAGTGATGTGGACATTGAGGAACTTGAAGCTCTCGACCCGCTCCGCTACAACCCCGTCGATGTGAATAGGGGTGTGCTCGGACCTCGTTTCCTGTAATCTACAATCAGCTCCATTGTCTTGCTGACATTTGAGGGAGAGGTTGTTGTCCTGGCACCACACTGCCAGGTCTCTGACCTCCTCCCTATAGGCTGTCTCATCGTCGTCGGTGATCAGGCCTACCACCATGTCATCGCAAACCTAATGATAGTGTTGGAGTCGTGCACGGCCAGGGAGTCGTGGGTGAACAGGGAGGGAGTACAGGAGGGGACTAAGCACGCACTCCTGAGGGGGGGCCCCCGTGTTGAGGGTCAGCGTGGTAAATTTGTTGTTGCCTACCCTCACCACCTGGGGGTGTTCCGTCAGGAAGTCCAGGATCCAGTTGCAGAGGATGACCACTCCTCTGATTCCCTTAAAGAGGAGAAAATCTGAGCTTTCCAACATTGCCAGAAATATTACTTGACTCCTAATATCCAGCAAATACTGTAGCATTCAAAGGTCCAATCGGAGAAGAACTGCACGCACATTTGTGGACCGTGACATCGGCAAGACGGATGAATAACAGCTTTGAGCTGACGTGATCAAAGCAAAAATAGCCTACATGAAAGTAAGACCGAGTAAACATTGTTCTGCGTATCACATCAAAAGATTGACGAATGACTGAAGTGACCGCCCGGGAGCTGTGTGGGAGAGCCGGGCAGATCAGCCCAATCAGACCGCGCAACTGAAAGACGTTACTTCTTCCAATGAGAGGATTGCATTAAACATTCTGCAAAGGCATGCATGTATGCTTATGATTGGACAAAACAGATGAAAAGGAGCTTCATGTCGAATTGAATGTCCATAAGTCTCACAAGGAATTCTCGTAACATTTTCATGGCGTCTTGTTATGGGCATTAGTTTTCGTCAGGAAGAATATGTTGACTAATATTTTTCGTCATAGTTATTGTTGACGAAATTAACACTGGTGTGGTCGAGTGTTTTTTTAGAACTGTACAGAAGTTGTTGTTGATTGTGTTAAGAGCTCTAGGGCTGACCAATTCTTCCTCTGTTCAGTTTCCCTCGGGAGTCCAACAGCCTGATTGACCTCCCAGATGACTACAGTGCCCTCATAAACCAAGCATCCAGCTTCACGTGAGTGCCCAACGAACAACTGTCATTGGTGCATCAGCTGTCATAGCACAACACAGCCTTACAAAATTACAATCAGGAGAAATTGGATGTCATTGCTCTCCTTACTGTCCTATAGAAGACATTTTAGAGTGTGAATGTCTAATAGAGTTGCGGTCAAATATATTGGACCTCTTGCACTTTTCTTAAATAATTCCCTATTTCTTCTCAAATAAGTTGAAATTGAAAACTTTTGGTATCCACACCTTTTCAAGGTTTTTCAACATTGCAGAACCAATTTTATTTTTTATAAACTTAATTATTCATTATTTGTAAACTTTAGAAAATAAAGACATGGAATGGACAAATTATTGGCACCCCAGAGCTAGTACTTGGTTGCACAGCCTTTGGCCAAGATAACTGCTAACAAATGCTTCTTGTAGCCATCATTGAGCTTGCTGCACCTTTCTACTGGCAATTTGGATTTGGCCCACTCTTCAGCAGCAAACTGCTCTAATTCATCAATGTTTGAGGGGTGCCTTCCAACAACTGCTGTTCTCAGCTCTCACACATAGGTTATGGAAGTGATCCAGATTTTGACTCTTCGCTGGCCACTCCAGAACAGTCAAGTATTTCTTCTTGAACCATTCCGTGGTGTTTTTGATGTGTGTTTGGAGTTGTTGTCCTGCTGGAAGACCCACAACCTTCAATGGAGACACCGTTTTTGGACACTGGGTTGAAAATTGCACTCCAAAACACCTTTGATAATATGCTGATTTCATGTTTTGTTCAAGACCCCCAGTACCAGAGGCACTAAAGCAACACCATAGCATTATCGAACCTCCCTCATGTTTGATTGTAGGGAGGGTGTTGTTTTCTTTGAATGCTTCATTTGGTTGTTGATAGGAAGGCCCCACTGCTGAAAGAGACACAAGGAAAGCCTGATTTAACTTCTCAAAAACCCACCTAAACAAGCCTGAATCCTGGGGGAAATGGTATGTGGACCAATGAAACTAAATTAAAGCTCTTTGACAATACTGTGTTTTTCCAACGACCAAATGAAGAATTCAATGAAAAGAAAACCCTCCCTACAATCAAACATGGGGGAGGTGTTCAAAAACTGTCTCCATTGAAGGTTGTGGGTCTTCCAGCAGGACAACAACCCCAAACACACATCGATGTACCCTGGAATGGTTCAAGAAGAAAAACTGGAGTGGCCAGCGAAAAGTCCAGATCTGAATCACATCCATAACCTGAAACGGCTCTCACCATTAATGGCTACAAGAAGCATTTGTCGGCAGTTATCTTGGCCAAAGGCTATGCAACCAAATACTAGCACTGGGGTGCCAAACATTTTGTCCCTGCCATTTGTCCTTATTTTCTCAATTAAACTTGTAAACTTAAGTTTACAAAATAAAATTGGTTCTGCAATGTTGAAAATCCAATAAGGTGTGGAGACCAAAATATTTGTTCAATTTCAACTTACTTGAGAATAAATAGGGAATTGTTTAAAAGGCCCAATGCAGCTGTTTTTATATCAATATCAAATCCTTTCTGGGTAACGTTTAGGGTTGACCCCTTTTAGTCGATTGTTTTGTCGATAGGCTGTTGGTCGACCAAGATTTATTTAGTTTAGCAGTAGCATATATATATATATATATATATATATATATATATATATATATATATATATATATATATATATATATATATATATATATATATATATATATAAATACCAATCAAAAGTTTGGACACCTACTCATTCAAGGGTTTTTCTTTTCTGTTTTACAATTTTCTACATTGTAGAATAATAGTGAAGACATCAAAACTATGAAATAACACACATGGAATCATGTAGTAACCAAAAAAGTGTTAAACAAATCAAAATATATTTTAGATTCTTCGAAGAAGCCACCTTTTGCCTTGACAGCTTTGTACACTCTCTGCATTCTCTCAACCAGCTTCATCTGGAGTGCTTTTCCAACAGTCTTGAACGAGTTCCCACATATGCTGAGCACTTGTTGGCTGCTTTTCCTTCACTCTGCGGTCCAACTCATCCCAAACATTTCTCAATTGGGTGATTGTGGAGGCCAGGTCATCTGATGCAGCAATCCATCACTCTCCTTGGTCAAATAGCCCTTACACAGCCTGGAGGTGTGTTTTGGGTCATTGTCCTGTTGAAAAACAAATGATAGTCCCACTAAGCGCAAACCAGATGGGATGGCGTATCGCTGCAGAATGCTGTGATAGCCATGCTGGTTAAGTCTGCCTTGAATTCTAAATAAATCACTGACAGTGTCACCAGCAAAGCACCCCCACACATCACACCTCCTCCATGCTTCACAGTGGGAACCACACATGCGGAGACCATCCGTTCACCTGCTCTGCATCTCACAAAGACACGGCGGTTGGAACCAAAAAATCTCAAATTTGGACTCATCAGACTGAAGGACAGATTTCCACCGGTCTAATGTCCATTGCTCATGTTTCTTTGCCTAAGCATGTCTCTTCTTCTTATTGGTGTCCTTTAGTAGTGGTTTCTTTGCAGCAATTCGACCATGAATGCCTGATTCATGCAGGCTCCTCTGAACAGTTGATGTTGAGATGTGTCTGTTACTTGAACTCTGTGAAGCATATGTTTGGGCTGCAATTTCTGAGGCTGGTAACTGTAATGAACTTATCCTCTGCAGCAGAGGTAACTCTGGGTCTTCCATTCCTGTGGCGGTCCTCATGAGAGCCAGTTTCATCATAGCGTTTCATGGTTTTTGCGACTGCACTTGAAGAAACTTTCAAAGTTCTTGAAATTTTCCGCATTGACTGACCTTCATGTCTTAAAGTAATGATGGACTGTAATTTCTCTTTGCTTATTTGAGCTGTTCTTGCCATAATATGGACTTGGTCTTTTACCAACCCTAACTTGTCACAACACAACTGATTGGTTCAAACGCATTAAGAAGGAACGAAATTCCACAAATTAACTTTTAACAAGGCCACCTGTTAATTGAAATGCATTCCAGGTGACTACCTCATGAAGCTGGTTGAGAGAATGCCAAGAGTGTGCAAAGCTGTCATCAGGCAAAGGGAGTCTCAAATTAAAATATATTTGTATTTGTTTAACACTTTTTTTGGGTACTACATGATTCTATATGTGTTATTTCATAGTTTTGATGTCTTCACTATTATTCTACAATGTAGAAAATAGTAAAAAAAATAAAGAAAAACCCTTGAATGAGTAGGTGTGTCCAAACTTTTGACTGGTACTGTAAATATATCAGACACCTGTCTGATTTACGCATGGCTCAGTGGACTAATCCATTGCGGTAGCCACGGGATGGCTCACCAGTAGTACATTTATAGTTCATTCCCATAATTTGTAATCTACAGTATTTGGTTAAGGTCATTTCTGTTAATGCATTCAATATATTATTATTATTATTATTATTATTATTATTATGCATAGAAGAAGTCCTAGGCTACCTGGCCTGCGCACAAATGTAGGCCTATAAATGTTTCCATTTGGGGATCTGATAGTATTTCTGATTGTCTTATTTCACCACCACTGTGGAGCTTCTCAAAGTAATTTTTTTCTTCACCTCAAACAGCAAGTAAACTAAGTCTGTTTTTACATTGATTGAGGATGACAATAGTTCCTCAACGTAGCCTATGTGAAAAATCTTTACAGCTCTCTTTCGATAACCAGTCAGTGTGAAAGTGGAAAAAGATGTCATACTCTGATCCGGTGGAAATGTAATAAAATAGGCCTACCTGATTACTTCTTATCCCTTGCGCAAATAGCCTACAGCTGTGTCTGTCCGGAGCTCACCGGAGCGGAAACTCTGAGGTCCCAGAATATTTAATACAAAGTTGCAAGTTTGCTAGAGGGAGCTTCAGGCCGGACCAAGTTGATAGTTGATACACTTTTTCAAGTTCCTTGCAGACAGGCCATGCGTAGCCAATGTGATTTATAGGATATTTATTTTTTATCAGGGTATTTTCTACCTGTAGGCTGCAATGTTTTTATTTGTTGGCTTCATGTAGGCTATTTTTACATAGTTGGCAATATAAGTTACTTTTAGAATTTTGAATAACCCCATGATAATGATTTTGAGATACGAAGACTGTATTATAAATGGAGAAAAAAAATGGCATATGAAAATCATAACTGCCACGCAGATCGGTAGAAATGGTAAGATAAATTGGCACTCCAAATGGAAAAGGTTGCCGACCCCTGGTGTAGACTATTACCAGCAACTTCAGGAGCTTAATGGCAGAATCTGCGAAGGCCAGCATCAGCTGGAGGAGGGGGGTCGGGAACATTTTTTTCTTCTTCTGGTTATTTCATCTTGATCTCTGGCTCCCTCTTGAGTCATTTTTGTGTCTTAATTATTTAATCACAGTGTGCTTAAGCATCAGACAACCTCAGTAGCCTGCATATAGTTGATTTTATTAACACATAGGGTGTGTCTATATAGGGAAAAATACACATTTTAAATCTAAAGTCTAAAGAACAGACAACTCTCGGTCGACCAAGATTTTCTTTAGTTGGGGACAGCCCTAGTAACGTTTAAGTACCTTGCTGTAATAAATTCCATTAAACAGTGTTAGTTTCATCAGCTGTTTTACAATATGCTATAAAACACAGGAAAAACTGAATTTTGACTGCACTGGGCCTTTAAGAAAAACGCAAGGGTGCCAATATACACTACATGGGCAAAAGTATGTGGACACCTGCTCATCGAACATCCACATTCCAAAATCATGGGCATTAGTATGGAGTTGCGCCCCCCTTTGCTGCTATAACAGCCTCCACTCTTCTGGGAAGGCTTTTCACTAGATGTTGGAACATTGCTGCAGGGACTTGCTTCCATTCAGCCACAAGAGCATTAGTGGTCCCCTGTAGCTCAGTTGGTAGAGCATGGCGCTTGCAACGCCACGGTTGTGGGTTCGTTTCCCACGGGGGGCCAGTATGAAAAATGTATGCACTCACTAACTGTAAGTCGCTCTGGATAAGAGCGTCTGCTAAATAACTAAAATGTAAAATGTAGTGAGGTCGGGCGCTGATGTTGGGCGATTAGGTCTGGCTCACAGTCGGCGTTCCAATTCATCCCAAAGGTGTTCGAAGGGGTTGAGGTCAGGGCTCTGTGCAGGCCCTTCAAGTTCTTCCACACCAATCTCGACAAAACGTTTCTGTATGAATCTCGCTTTGTGCACGGGGGCATTGTCATGCTGAAACAGGAAAGGGCCTTCCCCAAACTGTTGCCACAAAGTTGGAAGCACAGAATCGTCTAAAATGTAATTGTATGCTGTCGCGTTCAGATTTCCCTTCACTGGAACTAAGGGGCCTTGCCTGAGCCATGAAAAACAGCCCCAGACCATTATTCCTCCTCCACAAAACTTTACAGTTGGCACTATGCATTGGGGCACGTAGCGTTCTCCTGGCATCCGCCAAACCCAGATTAGTTCGTCAGACTGCCAAATGGTGAATCTGGTCCTCCCGTGTGGCTCAGTTGGCAGAGCATGGTGCGTGCAATGCCATGGTTGTGGGTTCGATTCCCACTGGAGACCAGTATGAAAAGGTACAAAAATGTATGCGCTCACTACTGTATTGTCACATGTGCCAAATACAACAGGTGTAGACCTTACCGTGAAATGCTTACTTACAAGCCCTTAACCAAGAAATAGAGTTAAGACAATATTTACTAAATAAACTAAAGGTATAAAATAAAAAGTAACACAATAACAATAACAAGGCTATATACAGGGGGTACTGGTACTGAGTCTATGTGCAGGGGTACAGGTTAGGGGAGGTAATTTGTACATGTAGGTAGGGGTAAAGTGGCTGGAGAAGAGTGTCTGCTAAATGACTAAATTGTAAATGAATCGTGATTCATCACTCAAGAGAATGCGTTTCCACTGCTCCAGAGTCCAATGGCGGGGAGCTTTACACCACTCCAGCCAACGCGTGGCATTGCGCATGGTGATCTTCGGCTTGTGTGCGGCTGCTTGGCCATGGAAACCCATTTCATGAAGCTCCCGACAAACAGTTATTGTGCTGACGTTGCTACCAGAGGCAGTTTGGAACCCGGTAGTGAGTGTTGCGATTTTTACGTGCTTGAACACACGGCAGTCCTGTTCTGTGAGCTTGTGTGGCCTACCACTTCGTGGCTGAGCCGTTGTTGCTCCTAGACGTTTCCACTTCACAATAACAGCACTTACAGTTGACGGTGGCAGCTCTAGCAGGGCAGACATTTGACAAACTGTTGGAAAGGTGGCATCCTATGACGGTGCCACGTTGAAAGTCACTGAGCTCTTCAGTAAGGCCATTCTACTGCCAATGTTTTCCTATGGAGATTGCATGGCTGTGTGCTTGATTTTATACACCTGTCAGCAACGGGTGTGGCTGAAATAGCCAAATCCACTTATTTGAAGGGGTATCCACATACTTTGTATTTGGCCCCAACTGTATGTGTTCATGCTCTCCTCACTCTCCCCCCAGGTGCCCTAAGTCGGGGGGGGATAAGTCCCGTGCTCCCACCCTGTGCCTGGTGTGTGGCTCCATGCTGTGTTCTCAGAGCTACTGCTGCCAGACAGAGCTAGATGGAGAGGACGTGGGAGCCTGCACCGCACACACCTTCGCCTGCGGAGCCGGAGTAGGCATCTTCCTCAGGTACAGACCCGACTCTTTTGTGTGTGTAAGTTTTTTTTTTTTTTTTTTTTTTTTTTTTATGTGCGCCTGTATACAGTGGGGTCCGGAATTATTGGGTCCCTTGATAAAGATGAGCAAAAAAATACTGTATAAAATAACTAATACTGAGCTATATTGTACGCAAAAAAAAAACGGAACAATTATTTTATACTAATACAATTGCTCAGAGAATGATTTTGTTTTCAATACTTCCCCTTGCGAGGATAACAACACTGAGCCTTTTTCTAAAATGTTTTATGAGATTCGAGAACACTTTGGGAGGGATCTTAGACCATTCCTCCATACAGAATCTTTCCAGATCTTTGATATCCTTCGTCTATGCTTATGGACTGCCCTCTTCAATTCAAACCACACGTTTTCAATGGGTTCAAGTCCGGAGACTGAGATGGCCATTGCAAAATGTTGATTTTTGTGGTCAATTAACCATTTCTTTGTGGATTTTGATGTGTGCTTGCGGTTATTGTCTTGCTGGAAGATCCACTTGCGGCGAAGTTTCAGCCTCCTGGCAGAGGCAACCAGGTTATTTTGCAAAAATGTCCTGGTACTTGGAAAAGTTCATGATACTGATCACCTTAAGGGCCCCGGGACCAGTGGAAGCAAATCAAAGATCCACTACCATATTTTACTGTAGGGATTAGGTATTTTCTGCATATGCATTGTTCTTTTGAAGGCCAAAACCACCATTGGCGTGGCCAAAGACCTTTTATTTTCATGTCACCCCAAGCACACATTAAAATCCACAAAAAGTAGTTAATTGACCACAAAATCAACATTTTGCGATGGCCATCTCAATCTACGGACTTGCCTACGTTCATGAGTATGCAAGTATAATGCTGTCCCTTCTGTTCCAGAGTGAGAGAGAGCCAGGTTCTGTTCCTGGCTGGTAAAACTAAGGGCTGTTTCTACGCTCCTCCTTACCTGGACGACTATGGAGAGACGGACCAGGGCCTAAGGTGAACAACACTGCACATTCACTCATTACAGTACAGCAGTGGTTCTCAAAATGGCTTCTCAAAAGGTTGGAACAAACACCTGCGCACACTAGAATCACCCAGAAGCAACTTTGAGACCCAATGCTGTAAATGTTATTGGTCTGTGCTGAAAGATGTCCAATAGTGTGTTTGCTGTGCTCAGCCATTTGAAAGCCTTGCGTCTCTGTGTTTATCCAGGCGGGGGAACCCATTGCACCTGTGCCGCGAGCGCTACCGCAAGATCCAGAAGCTGTGGCGCCAGCACAGCATCACAGAGGAAATAGGCCACGCCCAGGAAGCCAACCAGACCCTGGTGGGTATCGACTGGCAGCACCTGTGATGTCATAGGTTACTATAGGTCACACCCACCAGAGTCGGACACACCCCTTTCTCCAAACATGGGGGACTCTGCACATGAGAGAGCAGCAGTATGGTGGACATGGCAACAGAGCCCCACCTCTCTCGCTCCTCTCTCCCCCTCTGAGAGTGGATGAATGCATATAGGTTTTTCTCCTTTTCTTTTTGCTGTTTCTCCCTGGAAAGAATGTGTTCCTCTATTTTCTTTCTGATTTAATATAAAATAGTATATATATAAAGCATATAGCCGACACATTGGGCCGCCGGGGTCGGGTGCAACATGAATACTCGGAGTATAACTTCTTTATAGGAATGTTATTTAATTTCTGCCTATTCAAATACGATTAAATTATTTATACGGTAGATGGCTGATGTATTGGTTTATTTACAGTTGGATTGCTTTGATACTAAACATTTTGAGTAAGCACATGGTTTTCATCCTTGCTTTTGTCAGCCAGTGACTGCTCATTTCAGAGTTTGGGCCAAAATCTCATCTGATATGTCTATAGGTGAGGTCAGATTGTGCCCTTACCAGGATTGGGGTCAATTCTATTTCAATTCCTTTGAATTTAAGTTTGAAACCAAGAGCTGAAAAATCCTCATTGAAAATAAATTGTACTTTTCAGCTTTGAATTGGAATTTCAATTCAAGTCCTGAAATTGATTGACCCCAACACTCTGTGTGAGAGACACTGCTGACCCATGCAGTGTGGGGGTAAAAAAGGTCTGATGGACACCTAAATACACAGTGCAGTAACACACTGGTGTTTGTTTGCGTGTTTTAACTCCCGAGTGCCTGTGTTTTGGTTTTTCAGTTTGTCAGTGTGTATGTTGCCGTGTGTGGAATCGTTTTGCAGGTTATGTATGTGTCCGTTTTGAATGTATCCAGACTGTTCGTTGTCAATTATTAGTTTTTTAACACTATATTTAAGTGAACCAGATATGAGCCTTTACTGCAAGGCTGTCGCTTCCTTTTTTGGTTGGTTGGATGGAGAGCCATGTATTCTTTCACTTTTTATCTGACGTGGATGTTATGCATTGATGGGGTTTGTTTGTTTGTTTTTGGTAATTGTTTTTGTATTGGCACTTTTTTGATGTCTGAGAAGAGAACGCAGGAACACTTAACCTTTAACCTTTTTCAAATGACTAAAATGTAAATGTAATATGGACTGTGAAGTTGTCATAAGTATGGCCTGTGCGTGTGGGTTTGCCTGACTACCTGACCTGACCTGGAAAACAACTCTGGACCTAGTTATAGCCTATATGTAAAGCCCAGAGTTGTGTTTTTGCTCAGGTCAGGTAGTCCTAGCCCTAATCATAAGGTTGCCTCTGGACTGTACCATTACCACACCTACAGAGGGGGCGGCAGTATGTGACATGACAGGTGGACTGACCCATGGGGTCAAATATCATCCTTCAAGCTCAGAAACTAAACAGGATAATCACACGCAGGCACTTTAGAGGAACACACACACACTGCTCTCTGATGCAGGGTCTCCCTGATGCTGGGACCTGAAGCCGTATATTCTTCCTCCCATATTCTCATGGTAACCATCCACACCCCCATTCTTCAACACACTCCCAATATCGAGGCTGCATCATTATTTTCACGTCACAGACTTGTTAATATGTTAATTATTGTATAAATGAGTACATTGTACTATATTGTAAAATGATACCTAATTAAAAAGGAAAAGTAATGCCTGAGTCTTGTCTATTTGTGAGGTGTACTTTAGATTAGTTACTAGACTATTGAGGGCTGGGGGGAAATCAATATTGTTATGCTTATTTTTTTTGCAATAGATGCAGTAAAGAGATCAATCAAACTCGACCAAAACATTGGAAATGCCTTGAAAACGCCATCACGTGTCCCCATGTGGGGGAAAGATCCCGAATCTCCGCATTACCCCCCCAGTAAATGTACCCTACATTTAGGCTATTGTTTACAGTGGGGGAAAAAAGTATTTAGTCAGCCACCAATTGTGCAAGTTCTCCCACTTAAAAAGATGAGAGAGGCCTGTAATTTTCATCATAGGTACATGTCAACTATGACAGACAAATTGAGAAAAAAAAATCCAGAAAATCACATTGTAGGATTTTTTATGAATTTATTTGCAAATTATGGTGGAAAATAAGTATTTGGTCACCTACAAACAAGCAAGATTTCTGGCACTCACAGACCTGTAACTTCTTCTTTAAGAGGCTCCTCTGTCCTCCACTCGTTACCTGTATTAATGGCACCTGTTTGAACTTGTTATCAGTATAAAAGACACCTGTCCACAACCTCAAACAGTAACACTCCAAACTCCACTATGGCCAAGACCAAAGAGCTGTCAAAGGACACCAGAAACAAAATTGTAGACCTGCACCAGGCTGGGAAGACTGAATCTGCAATAGGTAAGCAGCTTGGTTTGAAGAAATCAACTGTGGGAGCAATTATTAGAAAATGGAAGACATACAAGACCACTGATAATCTCCCTCGATCTGGGGCTCCACGCAAGATCTCACACTGTGGGGTCAAAATGATCACAAGAATGGTGAGCAAAAATCCCAGAACCACACGGGGGACCTAGTGAATGACCTGCAGAGAGCTGGGACCAAAGTAACAAAGCCTACCATCAGTAACACACTACACCGCCAGGGACTCAAATCCTGCAGTGCGAGACGTGTCCCCCTGCTTAAGCCAGTACATGTCCAGGCCCGTCTGAAGTTTGCTAGAGTGCATTTGGATTATCCAGAAGAGGATTGGGAGAATGTCATATGGTCAGATGGAACCAAAATATAACTTTTTGGTAAAAACTCAACTCGTCGTGTTTGGAGGACAAAGAATGCTGAGTTGCATCCAAAGAACACCATACCTACTGTGAAGCATGGGGGTGGAAACATCATGCTTTGGGGCTGTTTTTCTGCAAAGGGACCAGGACGACTGATCCGTGTAAAGGAAAGAATGAATGGGGCCATGTATCGTGAGATTTTGAGTGAAAACCTCCTTCCATCAGCAAGGGCATTGAATATGAAACGTGGCTGGGTCTTTCAGCATGACAATGATCCCAAACACACCGCCCGGGCAACGAAGGAGTGGCTTCGTAAGAAGCATTTCAAGGTCCTGGAGTGGCCTAGCCAGTCTCCAGATCTCAACCCCATAGAAAATCTTTGGAGGGAGTTGAAAGTCCGTGTTGCCCAGCGACAGCCCCAAAACGTCACTGCTCTAGAGGAGATCTGCATGGAGGAATGGGCCAAAATACCAGCAACAGTGTGTGAAAACCTTGTGAAGACTTACAGAAAACGTTTGACCTGTGTCATTGCCAACAAAGGGTATATAACAAAGTATTGAGAAACTTTTGTTATTGACCAAATACTTATTTTTCACCATAATTTGCAAATAAATTCATTAAAAATCCTACAATGTGATTTTCTGGATTTTTTTTCTCATTTTGTCTGTCATAGTTGACGATTTCACCACTATTTTGGGGTAAAATCTGAGTATAATGCTTGTATGGATGTCAACCCCAATACATGTTCATGTCATCGTCACCAATCAACTGCATTACACTTAAAAATGGCTTCAAGACTTAATCAAGTAGCACCACCGTTTTCTATATGGCTAGCTATGCTACCAACTCATATAAACGGGAGTTAGCATTTAGCAGAACTATTTTTAGAACTCTGAAAAGGAACATTTCAAAATATTATGCAGTGAAAACAGCTAAATATATCCAAATCGGATTTTAGTAACCACGTTGTGGGCCTGTTGGAACACAGAAATCATGACTGTTTTGGCGAATATCCACTTTGTAAGATCAGAATTTTTGGAATGTGCGACATTGATCTCTACCGCATCTATAGTGATTTGATTCAATGGCTTACAAATCTTGGAATCGTAATATTTGGTTGTGTTCGTTTAACGGTTCAATTACATACAGTGGGGGAAAAAAAGTATTTAGTCAGCCACCAATTGTGCAAGTTCTCCCACTTAAAAAGATGAGAGGCCTGTCATTTTCATCATAGGTACACGTCAACTATGACAGACAAATTGAGGAAAAAAAATCCAGAAAATCACATTGTAGGATTTTTAATGAATTTATTTGCAAATTATGGTGGAAAATAAGTATTTGGTCACCTACAAACAAGCAAGATTTCTGGCTCTCACAGACCTGTAACTTCTTCTTTAAGAGGCTCCTCTGTCCTCCACTCGTTATCTGTATTAATGGCACCTGTTTGAACTTGTTATCAGTATAAAAGACACCTGTCCACAACCTCAAACAGTCACACTCCAAACTCCACTATGGCCAAGACCAAAGAGCTGTCAAAGGACACCAGAAACAAAATTGTAGACCTGCACCAGGCTGGGAAGACTGAATCTGCAATAGGTAAGCAGCTTGGTTTGAAGAAATCAACTGTGGGAGCAATTATTAGGAAATGGAAGACATACAAGACCACTGATAATCTCCCTCAATCTGGGGCTCCACGCAAGATCTTACCCCGTGGGGTCAAAATAATCACAAGAACGGTGAGCAAAAATCCCAGAACCACACGGGGGGACCTAGTGAATGACCTGCAGAGAGCTGGGACCAAAGTAACAAAGCCTACCATCAGTAACACACTACGCCGCCAGGGACTCAAATCCTGCAGTGCGAGACGTGTCCCCCTGCTTAAGCCAGTACATGTCCAAGCCCGTCTGAAGTTTGCTAGAGTGCATTTGGATGATCCAGAAGAGGATTGGGAGAATGTCATATGGTCAGATGAAACCAAAATAGAACTTTTTAGTAAAAACTCAACTCGTCGTGTTTGGAGGACAAAGAATACTGAGTTGCATCCAAAGAACACCATACCTACTGTGAAGCATGGGGGTGGAAACATCATGCTTTGGGGCTGTTTTTCTGCAAAGGGACCAGGACGACTGATCCGTGTAAAGGAAAGAATGAATGGGGCCATGTATCGTGAGATTTTGAGAGAAAACCTCCTTCCATCAGCAAGGGCATTGAAGATGAAACGTGGCTGGGTCTTTCAGCATGACAATGATCCCAAACACACCGCCCGGGCAACGAAGGAGTGGCTTCGTAAGAAGCATTTCAAGGTCCTGGAGTGGCCTAGCCAGTCTCCAGATCTCAACCCCATAGAAAATCTTTGGAGGGAGTTGAAAGTCCGTGTTGCCCAGCGACAGCCCCAAAACATCACTGCTCTAGAGGAGATCTGCATGGAGGAATGGGCCAAAATACCAGCAACAGTGTGTGAAAACCTTGTGAAGACTTACAGAAAACGTTTGACCTGTGTCATTGCCAACAAAGGGTATATAACAAAGTATTGAGAAACTTTTGTTATTGACCAAATACTTATTTTCCACCATAATTTGTTATAACAACAAATACATTCTGACTGAGTTGAAAACTGAATAATCAGCAATAAAGTGCTCTTCCTGGCAAAATTGTAAAGACCTTCATAGTATCATATTTAAAATGTAATGCATTAAAACACTGTTTCACCCTATTGCAAAATTGAGTCACAATACATACAGAATCTCAATATATTGAATCGTGACCTAGCTATGTATCGTGATTTGATTTAAACATTTTATTTGTGATCTGAGTCTTATCATGAGGTCCCTGCCAATACCCGGTCTTAAAGGGATGGTGTGAGATTTAGGCAAGTAAGCCTTTTTTCTACTTATCCAGAGTCGGATGAACTCATGGATACCGTTTGTATGTCTCTGCGTGCAGTTTGAAGGTAGTTTTGCATGCCATTGCTAACTAGCGTTAGCGCCATGACTGGAAGTCTAGACTCTATGGTATGCTAGCTGTACCTGTAGACTTCCAGGCATGGCGCTAACGCTAGTTAGCAACTTCCCTCAAACTGCACACAGAGACCTACAAATGGTATCTAACCCTTTAACGCGAAGACAACTGCTGGGCTTAGTATGTTGTGTGTGTGACCATGTGTAATATCAATATCCCTATTGCTCTGAGCAGCACTTGTGCCTGTCTCCGATCTGTCAGGGCCTCCCAGCATAACCACCATGGAAACCGGCCAGGAGAATAAAGTGGATTAGGCTCCCAAGGCCCAGTTGGAGAATAAAGCTGATGGTGTAATGAGAACACTTAAAAAGTTAACCAGCGGTTAACCAGGATTACAGCGAAGCTGAGGTTAGAAAGATTCAAGGTGAGGTGAGTGAGATATTTTTGGAAGCTTCTTTGAAACATTCCCAGACTCAAACTTGATTTATAGGGAAGTCACAAAGTTGGATTTAGTGCTACATTCCTATAGTTATTAATAGGTCATAAATATTTTAATTGAATACATTTTGAATTAAAATTGCTCCCTTGGATAATTCTCATATGATATATAAGATCAATGAAACTAACCTAATCTCTTTCCCAGCCACTAGCCTGGGGACGAGGTTAAAACTAACCCAAACCTCTTCAGTATTTAAATGTGCATCACTACGTTTCCTAGTTGTTTTTTTTAGCACCAGTCATTAGATCTAATGTTCTGGCACAGATATCAAGGCCTCCTGAGGATTGGAGAGGAATTGGGTTGTATCCTGCAGGAGAGAGGCTGCCCCGCCCCATCCGGTCAAAGATGCTTTGGGCATCTCCCTGCGTCAGAGGCACCTGTCCTTGCAGTCACCTGGCGGGGCTAAGCTACACATCAAAGCCTCTTACTGCTCTTATCTCCTCAGCAGCTGTTTATGTGTTTTAGGTCCTTTTAGGGTATATTCCAGAGGACAGATGTCCCTACTACCACTCTCACGTATACAACTGGATTTACTGTACTTGCTCAACTGAACCTACCCCTCAGGTAAGGATACCTCCGTGTATGGCTTAGTTGGACATATCAGGGGACACATTAAAAAGGGTATATGTAAGCCTAAGTATCTTTTAAATTGTCTTTGCTAAATTGACCTCAACCCTTCGGTATGTATTATCCAACACTTACACTTATTAAACCTTTATTTAACCTGGAAGACCCATTAGTCAGAAGACCTCTTTCTCAATTGAGGCTTGATAACTAGAGACAACCTATCTCTTCTGAGGGTGTTCCAGTTAAAGTGATTTTAGTTACTTGTTTGTCCTGGAACTGAGGATTGGATCCCTGCTGAGTGGAAACCGCACGTTCCTGCTGATCCCATCAGGTAAAGCTGGACTCCTACTGGGTTCTTTACATGTACCCCTCATCTCCTGTGAACCTCTGGTTCTCCTTAATTGGGATTTTTCATAATTTGGATATGGTACAACCCTACGCAACCAACATTGTGAAACTAGCAAAAAGTGAGAGAATGAGGGGAGAAATGTAAAGCATAGGCAGCATGGACATGGTGAATAAAGAGTTTAAAATACTGTATGAATGTGAGTACATGCAGAATATGGCTGTGACAGGAAGTTTTTTAAGTGTGCAGTCGCAATTTAGAAATGACTCATGACAGACAAAACATTATGGACAAAACAGACAATCAGACTCTTGTTCTCTTTATATATCTTTATCTTACACAATATCTCAAAATCCAAATTTACAGAAAAGATTAACTCTCAATATTACAAAGGAAGAAAATAGTGGTCACATAGAAAGTAAAAATATGACAACTGATAAGACTTTTTGTATCCACTGCAAACTGACCAGTATCTCTATCTGCTCATACAGGGTATGCTGATTTAAACTGCCAATCTGATCATCTTTCGCTCAAAAAAGTACAGAATCTTCTTATTTTAAGAGTTCAATCTGCCTCGTACATGAAGCAGACATATAACCCGATAGCAACACTGATACATAACCGATAAATGTTCAAGTCTGTGCTGTATAGATTTGAATGCATGTGGCACCGCTCTGCCGGGACGTGTATGGGGACACTACAGTGCCCGGGTCCATGTGTCCCCCCTCAGGGGGCAGTGTGAGAGGGGGCTGGGAGGGACAGCTAGGACACCGGTTCCGCTGCTGCCTGATTTAAGCTGCCATGAGAGAACGTATGTGACCGATTGACTGGGTGCCATTAGGCATTGATAATGTGTTTTGGATTAGAAAATTCAGTTGAATTGAGCAGACTAAGAAAAAATTCAGATTACATATATCTTTGTGTAGCTATCGGGTTGCATGTCCACTTAACACAAGTTGTGGAGTCTAGCAAGGACATAGGGGTAAAACTATTAGACATGAGGATAGATAAACTATGTTAGGCTTGATGGTTTCAGGGTAGGTCCATAATTTTTCATGGAGAGTATTGCCGGGGAGGGAAGGGGAGATTCTTTCATTATTTCATTACATTTTCTTCATATTCACAAGCCCAAATTCATGTATACTGTACAGATCTTTTGACAACCCAAATATATTTTTCATAATTTTTCTTTAAAAAATATACTCTGATTAACATATATACAGAATTATTATGGACAGGATATACATTCACATTTTTGAGTTTGGTTCTCACTTCATGTGAGTAGATTAGTTGTTCACTTTTCAAAGGGTGTGTGCATGTGTCCATTTTTGTGTCTGTGTATGTATGAGTGTATGTGTCTGTGTGTTGTTTCACTGAGAAGATGTCTCTCTCCTCGCACTCCTTCTATTTCTCTTTGAGCTCCCGTCAATAGGAAAAGCCCCTTTGGGTGGGACCCTTTCAACTCACAGTGGCCACCCCCTCCTCCCCCTCCCCCTCCCCCACCTGGTTCCCTGCACCGACCAGGCCCTTGATCTTTGTTATGACGTCTGCCACCGTCTCCTTCACACTCTTCTCCAGGAGCCAGCCCTCGCTCTCACTCTCCGGGTTCTCTGGATCGGCCATAGTCTCCAGAGAAGTGGTCAGGTACTGTAAGCCTACCATCACTACTGCCTGAGGACCAGACAAAAAAGATACGTACATCACTGACAGAGCCTTTACACAGACACTGCAAACATCAAACAATCAATGGCCTCTGAACCACCAGAGAGCTCTGCTACCCATTCTTGTTTAGATTTAGAAAACAGTGATTCCAAATGTATTAATCACTGATCTAATTCAACATTTATTTATAGTCACTAAGGCTTTCCACTGGGCACAGATGTCAGTTCAACGTCTAGTTTTGATTTACATTTGTTTGAGTTGTCAGCTACCGTGAGTTCAACATGAATTCAAAGTGAAATCAACAAAACATGTCACCATATTATTGGATTTAGATTAAAAGTTGGATGAAAAACAGACCAAATTCCCTTACGTTTATGACTTTTTGCAAATCCAATCAGTTTTCCACGTTGATTCAACATCATCACATATAATTTTTTTGTTGAAATAACATTGAAACAACCTTGATTCAACCATTTGTTCCCCAGTCAGTTGGATTTGAGATAAAATCTCCCATTGACGTCAATTGGACATCAATCAATTGACAGTTCTCAAATTTGGATTTGGCACAAAATGCCAATTTAGTGTTGTTGTTTTGACCCAGATAGCAACCCAGTTAGTGCTCTGTCTGTCAGTTAGTACAGTGAGATCCTGCTTTTAGGAAGGTCTCTGCTCTGGCCAGATTAACCCCTCTAAGAAACCCTGATCCTCCCTTACGCGTATATCACACCCACACAGTGGTGTAAAAATACTTTAAAGTACTACTTAAGTAGTTTTTTTGGTTATCTGTACTTGACTATTTATATTTTTTAAAACTTTTACTTCACTACATTCCTAAAGATAATAATGTACTTTTTACTCCATACATTATCCCTGACACCCGAAAGTACTCGTTCAATTTTGAATGCTTAGCAGGACAGGTAAATGGTCCAATTCACACACATCAAGAGAACATCCCTGGTCATCTCTACTGCCTCTGATCTGGCAGACTCACTAAACCCAAATGAGTGTTGGCGTGAGTCCCTGGCTATCAGTAAATCAATAAATAAAAACACGTCTGGTTTGATTAATATATGGAATTTGAAATTATTTTTACTTTTGATACTTAAGTATATTTGAGCAATTACATTTACTTTTGATACTTAAGCCTGGGCAGATAGATCAGACACTAGAGGTCTACTTGAGATATCCTTTTGGCATGTCATTTAGATGAAAGTCAAGTGAGTGCTAAGACCAACCTTGTAATGCCATGTTTTAGTGCCTGCTTGCAAGAAGGGCAAAGTTATGGTGGTAGTTAGGCTTGGTGTGTGCCCACTGAATATATTCAGGAGGGTTGGCATGTGTGCCCACTGAACTGGTCAGCTGTGGCCAACTTGGACCAGCTGAACCTCTACGTATACTCACTGAGCTAGATACTTAGAAATGGCCACCTTCTACCAAATGGCCAATAATGGGAAACGTCTTTTATTATTTATTTGTAATCCTCTTCTCCACACCACTGGGCCTAGCCTACTCTACTACTTACCTACATATGCCTTTAAGACTGCAATTGAATCAAATCAGCTAATCAATTAGTTTGTCAGTCCTGCGTGTTATCTTTAGCATATGTAGCCAGCTACCCTCTGACGTGAAGGACATTGACAGGACATCCAGAGAATGCCCCCAGCCATTTCCCTTCCATTTCCCTATTCTTCTATTTCTCACCTCCAGTATGATGTACAGTAGCATCAGGCCCCCGATGCTGTTCATCATGCCTCCGTAGTAGGCGACAAGGGACTCGCGGCAGCCCCGGGTCCAGATGTTGAGCTCCTCGGTGTGGTGGTCGTAGTCATAGTGGGCTGAGTTGTTGGTCAGTTGGTGCTGGATGCAGGGTCTGGGGGAGCCAGGGTTGCAGCAGCTGAATGGAACACTTTCCATCAGAAACTTCCCCTCCACGTTGCTCAGGACACGGCTGTGGAAAGGCCAAGAGAGACACGTCAGACCCGTCACAAGCAATGTCAGCCATGTCACACATAAAGTATGTCATTCACGTGACAGGTGTACATCAGTGCCATAACACAGACATATGAGGCATTGAGATTGAAATGATGCAAGGGAAGTTATTATGAATGGTGAACCCATGCGCCTCGGTAGGAAGAGTGCTCAGTCCCCTCCTGTACTCCCTGTTCACCCATGACTGCATGGCCAGGCCAGGCACGACTCCAACACCATCATTAAGTTTGCTGACGACACAACAGTGGTAGGCCTGATCACCGACAACAATGAGACAGCCTATAGGGAGGAGGTCCGAGACCTGGCCGTGTGGTGCCAGGATAACAACCACACACTCAACGTGATCAAGACAAAGGAGATGATTGTGGACTACAGGAAAAAAAAGAGGACTGAGCACGCCCCCATTCTCATCGACGGGGCTGTAGTGGAACAGGTTGAGAGCTTCAAGTTCCTTGGTGTCCACATCACCAACGAACTATCATGGTCCAAACACACCAAGACAGTTGTGAAGAGGGCATGACAAAGCCTATTCCCCCTCAGGAGACTGAAAATATTTGGCATGGGTCCTCAGATCCTCAAAAAGTTCTACAGCTGCACCATTGAGAGCATCCTGACTGGTTGCATCACCGCCTGGTATGGCAACTGCTCGGCCTTCGACCGCAAGGCACTACAGAGGGTAGTGCGTACGGCCCAGTACATCACTGGGGCCAAGCTTCCTGCCATCCAGGACCTCTATACCAGGCGGTGTCAGAGGAAGGCCCTCAAAATTGTCAAAGACTTCAGCCACACTAGTCATAGACTGTTCTCTCTGCTACCGCACGGCAAGCGGTACCGGAGCGCCAAGTCTAGGTCCAAAAGGCTTCTCAACAGCTTCTACCCCCAAGCCATAAGATTCCTGAACAGCTAATCATGGCTACCCAGACTATTTGCACTGCCCCCCCACCCCCACCTCTTTTACGCTGCTGCTACTCTGAATAGTCACTTTAACTCTACCCACATGTACGTTACCTCAATTACCTTGACTAGCCGGTGCCCCCGCACATTGACTCTGTACCGGTACCCCCCTGTATATAGCCTCCCTACTGTTATTTTATTTTACTGCTGCTCTTTAGTTATTTGCTTTTATTTTTTTTACTTAACACTTTTATTTTTTATTTTATTTTTATGCATTGTTGGTTAAGGGCTTGTAAGTAAGCATTTCACTGTAATGTCTACACCTGTTGTATTCGGCGCATGTGGCAAATACAATTTTATTTTATTTGATTTAAACATAAGGTAGCAGCTCATATGGCAAAGTATGTGATCTTAACTGGCCACATGTCAAGTGTCAGTTCAGACTAACTGTATGACTAAATCATCAATCAGCTTTTGGCAGCTTTATCATATAGAGGCCTTGGCTGACAGGAGAAAAGTTGGGATTGCTTCAGGCTATTATTGACAGGTGAAGAGTTTAAACCGGGTTCATGAGGATCCTCTTGATGGGATCATTTGTGAGTGAGAGAGACAGCAGGTATCTCAAGTAAATTAACATATAAACACACATGCTTAATGCACACATTCAAGTGTACTGTACATGCACACACGTATACATATGCAAATGGACTCACTCAAATGCATTTAAACATGTACACTTTTATACATGTACTATTCAGACATTACCACCCACTTGCAAACATATTCTTGAATTACTTTCTCAATGTCCAAATCATCCATCCTAAATATTCTAAAATGTATTGTGTAGTTACTTATAGATGATGTGGATATGAAGCATGAAAATGCTAATATAGGTACCGTTGACTTGCATTGGATTTGTGCCAAGAATACCTAAAAGATAGTACTTGAAACAGTGGCCAGGTAAACAAAACCAAAGCATGGATTGCTGTTATACCTTGTCCATAGACTGCTTACAGGGTAAGGAAAACAATGTGTAATTTTGTCATTTGGGTGAACTATCCCTTTAATCAATGTCTTAAAATCAGAATCTAAATCTACTAAATATAGTATCAGTTGCCACCAAGACACAATATTGGGGAGAGAAGGGGGTAGTGTGTTTGTGTTAAGTGTCGGAGTCTATTAGTGAGAGTTAACTGCCGTCTTATTATGATTTAGGGGGACAGTAAACTCTGAAGGACGAGGAATTTAGATCCAGGGAGATTATCTACTTATCAGAACCTGGCACATGAGCCTGACTCCACTTACACTGGTATCCTCTGCATCCCACTTAGACTTCTTTAATTCTCTCTACATTTATCCTGTCCTGACCCCCTTTAAGGTACACCCGTCCACCCCATGAATATCACAATAAGTGTTGGTTTAAAAATGTTAATAATTGAAAGTAGTGACTAATTAAAATAATTGTTTTGTATGTTTTACATTAACTAAGTTGTCACTACCATACACTAGCAACAGCAAGCGCTACCTTGTCCCATTTGCTATCCCCAGCTTCCTGCACAAGATCACAAGAGACCACATGGGTAAAGATGGAGACTATGGTCAGGAGTGAGGAAAACTCTTATGCAGCAGCAATGTTGGATATGTTGCATAAGACTTAGCATGAATTGAACAGTATTTATTTCCTAAAATAGCCTTTGTGTCAATCGAAGGCCAAGGAGTTTTGGTGTTAAGGCAGAGTTATTTGTTCTGGCTGACGCCCAGAGACACTGTCAACAAGTCATTTGCTTACTTTTACTTTACATGCAATTTTTTGGCCTATCTTGGCCTTCTGCGTACCACGATCCACCCAACATTGCTCTACTGATTTCAGTACTCACTCTTTAATTTCATCGTTGCTGAAGTCCAGATAGCGGTTGCTGATCCACTGGACCTCAAACCAATCCCTATAGTTGTTGTTACCACAGCAGCGGAACTCGATCTGGGTCATGTCCAGCGTCCTCTTCATGAAGCAGCGTCCAGGTGTATCTGTATCCTTGTAGTATTTTATTCCATTCTTCAGACCCTCAGCCAGGGCAAAGTACAGCTGGAACTGCATGCAGAAGCACAGCAAAGCTGTGAAGAACAGGAGGATGTTGAAAGCGAAACAGCCCATCAGGTAGCCCTTGACCATGGGCTTCCACTTTACGAACTTCATAGCATCCAGAGAGTCGTGGCACACCTTGCCGCCAAAAACATTTAGCCCGCAAGCAGCTAGGCCAACTAGGATTAACAGGTTGGGCACAAAATGGCTCTCGTTGTTGTCCATCATCTCACTCCTCTTCCGGAGCTCGATCTTAAAGAACAGCCCCAGGCTGAAGACCAGGATGCCGGTCATCACTGCCAGCCAGTACATGAGCCACAGGCCCTGGGCAAGCTTCACCCGCTTGGGCAAGTCAAACTTTACCTTCATCAACACCATGCTTACCTCAGAGTGTATGCTATTCCGAAATCAAAACTTGGATAAAAAAAAAAAAAAGATACAAATTTGAATATACAAAATATTCAAAACTATTTGTTTCAATGTTTTTTCTTCAGTAACAGTTAAGACCTCAGTTGACCTTAGGCAACGATGTTCCCGTGGAGAGTTTCAGTTGGAAAATTGTAATCTGTTCCAGAAAGGAGCTGCAGAATGTGTTTTGGCAAGGGTTCCCCTCTTCATATCCATTATGACCACCCTCAAATCAGGAAAGTCCATAGTGCTGGGTGGACAGAGGAGTCTGACACCAAAAATTATTACAAAATATTCACATAAAATCCCCCAAAATGACAGGATAGCGGGCTACACAGCTATTCCAGGTGGATCTTTTTCCTGCAAAAGGAGGTAGCCAGGCGAGTAGCAGAGTGATCGAGACACAAAGTTGCAGTACGTCATCCTAAACCCTGCTAATCAGCCCTGATCCCATTTGCAGCAGATAAGCCCTGGGCTTTAATCTCTTGTCTTACCATGTAATTGATTTGTTGCTTAAGCGTCAGCTTCCTCCATCACCTGCCTGCGCTGGGCTGCACTGGGATGGGAAGACCTGGGAGATAGTCTTGTGGCTGCAGGAACTTCCACCATGTCAAGTGTGAACCATTGGGTGACAGTGCGAGTGGTGTTTTAAGAGTAAGACTGTACTGCCTCAGGTGTTTGCCAAAATAGCTACCTAATACACCAATATTGGTACAGCATACACTGAGTGTACAAAACATTTCCATGACATAGACTGACCAGGTGAATCCAGTTGAAAGCTATGATCCCTTATTGATGTCACTTGTTAAATCCACTTCAATCAGTGTAGATCAGGGTTCCCCAACTGGCGGCCAGCGTGTGGTTTTATTTGGCCCCCCAAGTTTTCTGGGCAAAAAAAAAAAAAAAACGTATTTTTGGGGGAATGTTCATTGTTGGACATAAAAGACTGTAAAAACACCAGGAAATCAGCTCCAAGTGATTTTAATTTAAGAAATCTGTTCCCAAGTAATCCCACACGTAATAGAGAGACACGACATGATCATATACAAATGTTAGCAAAGTTTGAAATAATTATGTTTTAGTCAAACATTATATCTGTTTGGGCTTCTTGCGGTCAATTTGCAGTCTACAAATGATTTGTAATTGTGTTTTGGCCCCCCGACCATCCGCTCAAGAAAAAAATTGGCCTGCGGCTGAATTTAGTTGATGATCCCTGGTGTAGATGAAGGGGAGGAGACAGGTTAAATAAATATTTTTAAGCCTTTAGACATGGATTGTGTGTGTGCCATTCAGAGGGTGAATGGGCAAGACAAAATATTTAAGTGCCAGGCACACCGGTTTGAGTGTGTCAAGAACTGCAACTCTGCTGGGTTTTTCACACTCAACAGTTTCCTGTGTGTATCAAGAATGGTCCACATCCCAAAGGACCGCCAGCCAACCTGACACAACTGTGGGAAGCATTGGAGTCAACATGGGCCAGTATGCCTGTGGAACGCTTTCGACACCTTGTAGAGTCCATGCCTTGACGAATTTAGGCTGTTTTGAGGGCAAAACGGGATGAAACTCAATATTAGGAAGGCGTTCCTAATGTTTTGTACAGAGCATTTTGGTGCAATTTTCACAATATGTGGTACATTTTCACAACTCTAAGTACAAAAATCTAAACAGATCATCAAAATGGCTCATGTTTCAAAACTCTAAGCACATTTTCAATTGACTGAGTACAACAAACCAATTCACAAAGTCACTTGTTCACTGCACCAAATCACTCTTTCAATTTGGATACATATTCAATCTAAGTTTCTGCTTTTCAAAATGCACTATTCACTTTACTTTTGATATGATTGTCTTGTCATTTGTTAACAATACAACAAAATATCACTTAATCAAACTGCTCACACTGATAACTACTGATGTGATGAGATGATGTCGAAGGAGTCAGGAGGGTAATTCACAGAATGACAGGATTTATTCCGCAAATACAGGATTACGCAGAAATGCGTCAAACACTCTAGTGCGCAAAACAGGCGCACTGGAAAATACAAGGCACACAGGGAATTATCCCGGCGATACAAAATACACAGAGCTCCACCAAGCTTCACTATCCTCCACAATAAACAATCACACACAAAGACAACGGGGCAGAGTGAACACTTATACAGGTACTGATGAGGGGATATGAACCAGGTGTGTGTAATAAACAAGACAAAACAAATGGAATGATGAGATGAGGAGCGGCAGTGGCTAGAAGGCCGGTGACGACGAACGCCGAAGCCTGCCCGAACAAGGAGAGGTGGCAGCTTCGGAGGTAGTCGAGACAACTGAGGCAAAATGATGTAGTGCCTAGTTAACTTATATAGTTTGATAACAGCTGAACACTGTAAATATCTATATTTTACCTCATAAATGTATACATTTTACATCAATTTATGTTGGAAGGTAAAACCAAATCATATATCGATGTGGCTGTCATTCTCCATCAGCGAGTGTGCTTCAATAGGAAAAAGTGGAAAGAGTCACTTATGTGCTACCATTTGGAACTATAGTGGTGTACAATGCACTGCTGAATATATAACAATATATTCCACTCATTATCTGAATTTCATTGATACACTGTAAGCTGATGGATTTCAAGTGGAGAGACAGGCATAGAAAGTCATGTAGAAAAGATGATCTTGTACAATGTTGCATGGGGCACAAATGGCAACAACACTGTGCTACATTTTTACACTAGCCAACTGCTTTGCAATACCCCTATTTCTGATTATTTCAGATAATGATAGGCTCACCATTTAGTCATTTTAAGGCTACCTATCAATTTTGAGATATTCTGGTATATTAATATTATTTTCAACAAAAAAAACACAAAAATGTCAAACTGGACTATATTTAGTAACTTACTTTCTAGAGATGTTGATTGGGTCTAAATAGGCTTTTTGCATTTGGTAGTCTAATTTCAATGTACTTGTCTTCAACTGCCATTTCCACTTCCCACACTTAAAACTATTTTTTTTTTCTCTTCAGAAGCATCTGCATTCACTACGTTTTGTGTGGTTATGCTTGGATATATTCTCCAGACTTGCCAAGAGGGAATTGTTGATATATTGTCATTTATTTTAATTTTAGATCAAATTTATTTGAAAAAAAAAAATCTATGTATTAGTATTTTACAGACAGAAAGATTAAAAAAGTAGTTATCCATAATTTGCTCTGGACAAATCCTGGAGTGTCTTAACAAAATGAAACCAAAATATTTAGACTGACTTCATCCAGTGCCCAGAAAAATGGATCTGCGCTATATGCAAATATGTGCATATGTAATTAGATATTACCTGCATATTACATTATTTCGGAAGTGTTTTAATACAACAAAGTATTATATTTGTGTCTACATTCAACTGGTAAAAGTTAATTGTGATATGATTAAAATAACATTTCTGCCCTTTTAGGGTGTGATGCCTGGCCTTAACTACCATTTAATCCAATAGCAAAAAAACACAAAATACACAGTTCAAAACTGTTCTTTTTGAAGTGCTGGTTAGAAAGAAAAGTAGATGCTAAATATAATTTTCCATACAGCATTTGACTAAAACTGAATGTTTCAAGCTCTCGTTTTCTCTGCTGGCTCTACATATCACTGAGACACACCCTGTTCCAATTCTTTAGTTGCTAGTGTTTAGAAGAGTCAACAAATATAACTAATTAGAACGTGAACTTTCATAGGCCATGTCCATAAAATTGACAAATTGCAGGTGTCTGATGCAGTTTCCTTTTCCAGTGCAAAATTGAATAATTATGTGTTTGGCTCAGAGACTTGGCGAAGTCTCAAGCTTTATTTAGGCCAACCGTAATCCAATTTGTGGCCCTCATTTGTTTGAGTATTACTACTCTAGGCCTATCAGTATTTTAACAGTATGAATAGGCATTTACAAAATGCGTTGTTCCCCACCCCAACAACATAAGCGAAACACTAAAAGCTGTTGTTGACTGTCTTGACCTGTAGCCTATCTGAACCCCAGGTTGGTTGTGACTTCTGAGAATAACATTAGCCAATGCTCACGTGAAGTCATGTGATGTTTATAATCCACCAGAAAGCCTTTATTTAGGCCTACTCAGAACCTTAGGATGTTCAATGGAAATTGGCTAGCTATTTAATGGAGGTGTCCTGGCAGATAATGACAGAAAAAATACTCAATAGGCAAATTCAATTTCAGTATAACCTACTAGCACAGATAGGACATAAACATTTCCCTACTAGTATGGTCTTCATGTGATGTGACAGACATTATAAACTGTACATGTTAAATTAGCCTACCAAATTAGCCCGCTTCCAATTGGGAATTTGTAGTTTTATTATTCACATCCATGCACTTTCAGGACAGAATTTCACTGGGCTTTCCTTACCTTTGAGAGCCTGTCCCTGAGGTATAAGAGTGTCTGCTAAATTACTTAAATGTTAAATGTAACGTAGATAAATTGTTTCTTTTTTTAAAATGATGAGTTTACTGTAGCTTAGGCCAAAATATTCGACTGGCTAGTTTAGGACAAATGTGTGGTCGCCTAAACAAAAGATTAGACAGAGATGGTTTGGATTAGATACTGTAGATTACCCATGTAGTCTCCAGCGCGCATTTCAAATTTCAACATAGACAAACCTTGTCGTTTCATGGGTTGTTCTATATCCGGGTTGCATCCGGTTTACACAGCCCAACTTCACATGCACACTATCACTCAGTGAGCACAGAGAGCAGCGACATCACTTCATCCAAAAACATGGCAGACATTGGATGAATATAAAATGTCAATATCTTTGGCTGAGTGATGAAAACTTTTTTTTTCCTCAGTGACAATTATTTGAATAATTCAATGAATGTTTTGTGCACAAAGGTGATGACTAAAGTGTCTTATTAGTGTGATGGAAAATGTTATGTTTGTGCTTTTCTAATAACCAATTTCTGTGTTCTATGTTT